CAAAGTCAGTTTTTTTTCCAAAAGCAATTGTTTTGTCAGCACAAGCAATTTTTTGTATATTTAGCCCTGTATCTTCAAAATAGCTGGGCCTGCCTTTGACAAAAACTAATAGACATTTCTCCCAATCATTACTAATTGAATGTTCTGCACTCTTTTCTCTTTATCTCCGTATCGGCTGGACCTACCTTTGCCAAAAACTAATCAGCATATCTCTCTATCAATTGGAATCGAATGTTTTTTTAACCGTTCAAATCGGTTGATCCGTGCGCCCGAAAACGAGAACAAAAAAATGCGTGCACGCAAAACACACAAACACATCCATTTTTTCTGAGGTATGCCAAAACGTTCAGAAACTTTCAAAACGTCGAGAAATGCAAAAATTTTCATTTTCGATTGTCGGCTCATTAATTATTACCTATTTAAAGTTCATAAATTTCATCTAGTTTATACTAAAATAAACAAATAAAAGTGTCCGAAACTAAATTTCCAAGGTATTTGACAAAATGTAAAAAAAATCCCAAACACTCATATTGCTAATTACTAAAAATTAATCAAAATATGCAAAAGAACTTCAAATTTAGTAAAATGCGTTTAAAAAACACGAATAAAACATTCCATAGCCAGTGGTGGATTAGACTCTCTGCCGCCCTAAGCCCTATCCGTTCAGGCGCCCTTTTTCATTGACAAAATTTTACATTTCTAAACAAACATTTTTTTTTAAATTATTTAGATATAATTTTTAACTTTGCGTAGGGTAAGTTATATTAATCGCAAATGAATTGAAAATTGATATTATTTTTTTATCTTCACGTTTCAAGGGCTTCTGAACATTTTAATATACCTCAAAATGTATATGTGTGTATGTATGTATGTATGTTCTCATTGATTCTGATTAGTTTTCGCTAAGGCTGGTCCATCCGTTTCGAAGATTCTAAGCAAAATATGCGAATAGAAGTCAGAACCTTAGGCCCTAAATCTATTACTTACGTTGTATTTTTGTAGGTGGTAACCCGAGTATTGATCTTTTCATATTTGATTACTTCATTATTAGAAATTATCTACTAGGGCTGACTTGCCGGAAGAGTACTTTGTTTAAAAATTTAGAGCTTTTTTGTAAAGCAACGTTAAGATAAGTACTTATTATTAATATTCTAATAAAGTATCTGATAATTTGATATGCGTATGTCCAATGATCATTTTACATCACCAAATTTTATTTTTATAACTTTATTCTAGATCTCCATAACCGCTGAACCTGCCTTCCCAAAAATTTGTTAATTCTTCATTTCATCAACATAAGTAAAATGTTTTTTGAATCATTCAAATCGGATGCTCCGTTCTCTCAAAAACCGAATTTCCATTTTTTGTATTATTTGTAGGAATCTACTAATGCCAATTGGTAGTCAAAAATGATCAATGAACCTAAGCACACCAAATTGTCAGATATTTTAGTTTAGGTTCAATTTTATCTTATAGAATTCATTTTAAAAACATGAATTATATACGAACCAAGGAATAATTAAATTATCACAAAATAACAAATAATAGATTATGTTAATTCCCAAAATAAAATAAGAAACCATTTAAAACTATAAAGCGTTTTGTTTTGTATGTGAGATTCACCTTAACAAAGACACAAATAATGAACAGATCTTCAACATTTGTTCAAAATTATCAATTTGATAATTTTATTTTAAACATGATACATCAATAAAAATATTAATGACGCGCCCTCAAATAAGTTTGATTAGAAAACGAATAACATTCTACTTCATAGAAAATTATCTAGACCAGCATCAATCCTTAAAATAAATTGCCGTCACAATTTTTTGAATTTAAAATTTTGACCCCTAGGCCCGAGCCTCACAGGCCTATGGGGTAATCCAGCACTGTCCATAGCAGACTTTGGTATATAGAATATAACAGTACTGTTAGCTCGCTAAGAATGGCATTTTAAAGCATATCGCATTACTGTAAAAATATCAAATGTTAAAAAAAATTATAGGTAATTTAATTTTGTGCAATCTTCCTAAATATTTCAGTAACCTTAGACAAACAAATAATTTTTATTTGATCAATCAAATTTAATGTATGGCACTTATGATTCAAAAGAGCAGAAGAGCATATATATTTTGTATTATTAATACACTAATCAGGGGCGTAGCGTGCTTTGGCGGGGCCCCGTATCAAAATTTGTTTGGGGGCCCCCTCAATAAGAAATTTTTTTTCACAAAATATAGTAATACATAATTTTAAAAGAATATTCATTTATCAATCTAATTATTTATCTATATAATTTTGTCTAATTTTCTGAATTTTTCATAAATGATTCCAGATATATTTTCACTCACCTTACCTTTTTTTGAAAAACTGACTCATTCAGTCTGGTAGAGATACAGATATGGTAGACATTTATGTCCTAAAGTATTTACGCAATTTTTAATTAGTTTTAATTTAAAAAAAAATTATGAGTTTTGATTTTAACTGTAAATTGTAATTAAGGACCAAGAAAAAATGTTACATACCGTTATTTCGTCGGGCAAACTGGATGCAAGCCTATTGCATCCATCATTGTACCTTAATGAAATAAATTTATTAGATTTCTGTATTCAAACCTCTTTCTAGAACTATCAATTGGTCATGATCATATGAGATATTTTACAATATTTCTTTACAGTAATTCAGTCGACAGTTTTCCGAAAACGTTTATTAATTCTCGATTTCAAAAAGACAAATGTTACTACTTACGTCGCAAAGGTTTTGAAATCTTAGTTTGGTTTGTGAAATTAATTATCCAAACAGCAATAGTATATATTAAAATGAGATTTCGGGTCTAAAATTCTCTCATCTTGTGATAATAACGCTTCATTATCTTTTGTATTTTGTTCTTGAAAATAGTTATTGCAATCCATCTTTTTTGCAAATTATTTGTACTTCTTCAACAAACTATTTCAATAAATTTTCATATGGTAATTCGCACAGTCTATTCAAAAGATTACTTAATAAAATACTAGTTTTTTGTAAGTCATTACTGGCGTGTTGTAAAGTTTCAGAACAGAAACTTATATTTTTAAACAGTGAAGAAAGAAATTTGAAAATGATTTAGTTGATCATATTTATCAAAACCTAACCATTAAACTGACGCGTCATGCAGACAATTCAAGTTGTAACAACAAACAAAAAACGTTATAAATTTAAATATAAAAATTCCAAATTCCAATTTTTGATGAAGATAAAGTATAATTTGAATTAGTTTTATAGATTTGTCAGCTTATCGAATGTGGAAAACCTTTACTAATTGAATTGTTTGCTAGAGCTTGCAGAAATATTGCAGTAGAAATAAATTCTTCTTTCTGCTTGCGCTCGTTGGGGGGCCCTTTGACTCGGGGGCCCCGTATCTTTGATACGGCTGATACGGCGGTAGTTACGCCCCTGACACTAATATATATTAGTGTATTAATAATACAAAATATATATGCTCTTCTGCTCTTTTGAATAATAATATGACAAATATTTGTGTTCAGAGAAAACATTCAAAAACTTATTTGCTTGTTACCTCTTTTGAAATATTTTTAATTTTGAATAGTTTTAAAAAAGTAAGAAAAGATGAACTAAATCTGAGCTATTCCACTTAATTATTAAACATTTATTTATTAACAATTTTAAAACACATTTGAAAATGAACCTGTCACAACAGACATTTTTAACCTGAAAACAGCCGTCGTCAATTTTGACGTTTGGTGTGGTTTGATGTTTGACGTTTGACATTTCTAATCTCAAACAATATAATTCAATTTTGATGTTTAAAGCAAATGTTACTACTTTAAAATAAAAATAATTATTTTGTACTTACTTAAATCACAAAAAACACACTTTAACTTTAAATCTATTTAAATTTATGGTATGGATAAATATTGTTACAATTATACAAGGAACTTGTTCAACCAAGTCTCAGACAACACAGACTGTTGGTTTATTTTAAAAATATTTACAACCAAAATTAAACATAGAGCATAGAACATATATTTATATAGACTGGTAACATAGCTTTCAGTATAAACATACAGCAGTTAAGTTTATTTTAATTTAGTTTTCTCTCTATTTCTATTATCTGGATTGTTTTTATCAATTACGTAAAGGTTTATTAAGTATTTATTGATTATTAATTAATTTAATAAAGATTAATAGAATTATAATAAGAATTTCAATTTATGGAGGAATAATTGCATAGATAAAAGAAGAGAATAATTTCAATGAGACCTTGTCTGAAAATTTTATCGTACCTTTAAGCAACACATGTTTGTTTTAATATGGTGGCAAATAACATTTACATTTTAATTATGAGTACATACCTCAATGAATCTATTCAACAAAGCAATTTATTTCTTCGTTAATTTTCAAAATTAAAACAAAATTCACTTTCTTATTCATGCGCTTTCTTTACTTAATATACGCACATGATTGGTGACACAGATATGCCGCACTATTATTAGAAATAAATAAAAACTGCGATTATAAAAACCATCTCTAACAAGCATATAAGATTGAATAAAATCTGTCAAAATACGAAATAAAACCTGTCAAACGCAATCTTGTTTGGGCCGTCGGTTGCACTTTTCGGCCACCATGAGGACTCGCCCGTTCCCTATAATAATTAACTATTTTCAATTGCAAATTTGAAGTATATCAAGTTCATTTAGGAACTTACTTTATTAAAGAATGTAGATTTAATTTTTCTTCTTATTAATTTGATGGTTCAAAAGTTACGAGATTTAGTAAAAAAGACAGCTTTTAAAGTAAATTTAAAGTGCTACAAATTATTCAATTTTGCAAAAATTTGCTGGAATACTTTGTATATTACACATACAGTACAAGTAATAACATACACATTAAGTTTTTGTTTTATGATCTATTTTCACTTATAATATATACATATATAATAATAAGAAATGATTTCTCATCATCATCATACATTGACTTAAAAAAATTACTCTTATCGCCTAAATAATATTGATAAATATTAAAAATAAAATTAAATCCATAAATCAGTCTAATATTTACAATCTTTATTCTACTCCTTTGGCATTTCTGCTTGTCACTGAGCAAAGAAATCCATTACCGGCAATCTGAGTAGCTTATGTACAAAATTTCTTATAACTCTAAATACATAAGTAATACATAGTCTATGTAATAGTCAAATATATCCGCCTGTCTCTTATCTTGCAATTAGGACCCCTTGCCAATCGAGTCTCGACAGCTCGTTTGGCATCTTGAGGATTACTGAAAGCCACTTTAGCATCACCCGTTGGATTACCTTGATCATTGAATCTTCTTATAATATTCTCTCGAGGTATATCAAAACCTCTAAAGAATTCCAAAATCTCTTCGACACCTGCTCGGAAAGGCACATTCTCCATTGACACAACACATCCTGGTGCTCCAAAACCATCGACACCGGCGCTGTCAGGACCTTGATTTCGTGGAAAACCACCCATACCATTAAATTGACCACCGATACCGCCACCACCGCGTCCTCCTCTGGCAGGAAAACCAAGACCTCTGCCAGCGCCTCGACCGCCACGTCCTGGGAACACGGGAGGTGGTCTTCGCATTCCCATGTGAGCATCACCACGCATCATCATCGGAGGAGCATTGTGACCCAGCATAGTCTGGGGTCCATTAAAAGGCTGGCTGATGTTCAGGTTCATCAAAGGCGGTGCTTGGGAATGTTGTGGAGGCGGCTGACTCGTTTCGATCCTGGTGGGATTTATTATAGGTGGCGGTTTGAGAAAGACCGATGGCGGTGCTTCTTTGGATCCGGTGGCGGATTCGACCACTGATTGCTTGACGGGGGCTACCGAAATTCGGGACATGCCTAAAGGCATACCATCTTTGGTGCAAGCGCGACGAACCTGAAAGAAAAGAAACAAATATATATATATATATATATATATATATATATATACGAGTATATGTTTTTTATTTTTTTATTTTTATTTTTATTTATATTTATTTTATTTATATGTTTTTTATTTTATTTATGTACATATGTATATATAAGTATTGTGTATATATATATATATATATGTGTGTATATGTATATATATATATATGTATGTATGCAGGTATATATATGTGTATATATGTGTGTGTGTACATATGTATATATACATGTTTATGTGTATATGTATGTGTATACGTGTATAGCTATAGTTACATAGATAGGTATGAGTATATGTATGTTTCATCATGTACATGTACGTCGTTGTGAATATACATGCACGTTGCATATATGTATATGCGTATATTTTTATATGTATAGTCGTACATGTATATGTGTACATATATAGGTATATATTGTTGTATCTGTATATGTATATGTGTTTTATATGTTTGCATGTGTGTGTATATGTATATATGCATGTATATATATATATATATATATATGTGTGTATGTGTATGTGTGTATGTATATATATGTATATATGCGTAGGTTTATATGAGTGTACTTAGATATTTTTGCCTATATTTTTTAATTATTTATTTAATTCTAATCTCTACTACCTTTCCTATCTTTTATATTTGGTTTGTTGTTAAGTGTTGCTGTTTGTTAATTTTTCTCTTATTGTATAGTTACTTTACCAATCCACATATATTATAATTACCTAGATATACTAATTTTCATACTGTTTTTAGATCCACTGATGATGACATTAAATTGAATGTCGAAACGTTTGGAAATAAAGATTATTTTATAAATCTTTGGCTTTTCTTTGTTTGATGTATCGCCCTCAAGAACTCACTCACATATTTCAACATCAAAATTAACTACTAAATCATATATATATATATATATATATATATATATATATATATATATTTATATATGTGTATATTCGTCGAAATAAAAAAATAAATATAAATAAAAAAATAAATATGTATATATTGTTAAGGGTTTCTTTTCCGAACAATTAAATAAATATCAGAAAAGAAACTCTAATCAATTTATTAAAAAATTCAGGAAATATTAATTAAATATATATAAATATATATATATATATAATATATATATATATATATATATATAAGTATATATAAGTATATATACATATTTTTATGCAAATCTACTTACATCGTCTGGTCCACCTTCAAATCTGCAATAACAACGTGCACCATCGACTGATCGGGATTCTCCTCCGGTTTGATTCCCCGGCAAGAGATGCAAACGGCTAGGCACCAGACCAACGTCTGAAAAGAAGTCCATGATGTCCCTATCACTAATTTTTATGGGAAGATTCGTCAAAACAACCCAATCTGTGTCCTGGAAATCATTCGACTGTTCAATGTTAGGCTGATTTATCAAAACTGGTGGTCTGCTGTTGAAGTCCATCGGCATCTGGTTATTGAATCTATTTTTATCGAACATCAAGGAATTGTTGCCTAGCAAGAACTTGGCGTTGATATCGTCCATGCGTTTTTGTCTGGGATCTTTCAAAAAACCAGTTTTCATATCATCCGAGTCCAAATTGTTGCCGGAAAATAATTTATTCCCAAAACAACTGCCATTTTTAGCATCCTGCATCTCCCTTTTACTGCAAGATGTGACTGCTATTGTTTTATGCCCAATAACATGCCTGTTTTCGTCATTCAAAGCAAACGCAGCATCTGCTGGTCTGTGGAACTCCACGTAAGCCAAGTGTTGTCTCCTTGATTCCTTTGGACACATTGAACCACCGTTTTCTACAACGTGGATATTTGCAACAGAATAATCAGAAAACATCTTCATGATGTGATGTTCTTTGGCAAATGTGGGCACACCATCTAATTTCAAAACAGTAAAACCTAAATTTAAACCGTCATCAGGCTTCTTATTATTACCATTCGATTCATCTGCAATGTGCAGTTCACCATCAGTGTCTGAGTCAATTTCTATGGATGCGCTGTTGGTTGGAGCAGGAGGACGGCAGGAATCTACAGCTTCTTCAAACTGTTGATCATCAATAGTTCGTACTTCTACTAATTTGCCGCGGATCTGCTGTCCGTTGCAAGCCAAAGCCTGAATTTTGTGATCCAAGCGAGTAAAACGAACATAAGCTGTCCTTTTATTGGCTCTTTTATCGTTCACAATTTTTATACCATTCTGAGCAATTTGAAGCTTTGAGAATATGGCTCGTATTTCACCATAACTAGTTGTTTGATCCAAGTTGATCATATGGATGCATGTGCCTTGTGTGCTGTTGAGCATCAGTGGTTTGTCCTGATTGAAAAAACTCGAATTAGAGGTTGTGTTCTGAAATTAGACAAATTTTAAAGTGCCAGCTTTAATATTTGATAAAATTTCATAATAAATTGTCTTTTTATTACCTGGAATGCTGCAGGATTTCTTCGACCCTCCAAATTCTGCAACCTCGACAACTGGTCAGCACTGATGTTTATTGGTGGTGGTAATGACCATGAGTTAAATGTTGTTGTTGGAGTAGGTTGTTGCTGATTGATGGTTCCGTTAAAATTGATATGTTTGGTATCATTACCATTGGAGCTATTGTCCCAAACTTGTATTGGGTTACCTGATTTCTTGTTAACTGGTGAACCTGAGTTGGACTTAGATTTGTCACTGTCATCGCGTCTGCTGGACCGTCTGGAGTCACGTTCACGCGTCCTGGATCGATCACGCGATCTGTCACGCCTGCCGCTTCTTCTAGAACTTCTCCTGTCACGGCTTCTGCTCCTTTCGCGGCGTCTACGTTCTCTGCGCTCTCTAGATCGTGACCTTTCCCTCCTGCGGTCTCTGGAACGCGATCTGGTGCTCCTGTCGCGATCTCGTCCACTTCTCTTGCTAGAATCATCCCTGGAAATGGCCCTGGTGTCTCTACCATTTTCCTTGGAATCATCATTCCGTGTATTACAATCATCTTTACCATCGACTTCGATTGGCTTTGTGCTAATTTCTGGTTGAGGCATGGTTTGAGGGAGGATATTAGTTATTATGGGTGGTTGTGTGGGGATGCCCATGAATGCCATAGCCTGTTGGCGAGCTGCCTCGATAATTTTCTGCATTTCGGCGCGAGAGGACAGAAACAGTTTAACTTGTACGTCTTTGATTTTGCCTCCATCGGACATCATCGCTTGTCGAGCATCTTCATCGGTACTAGAGATTAAAAAAGTAACTTAAGATATATTGAATAAATTAATTACACGAGATCATTTTGAATTTCGATGCTCAACCCACAGGAATCCATTGAAAACCAGTTGATTCGCATTGACGATGTCTGACGAAAGTTTTAACTTCTGATTCTCAATGATTGACTGATGAAACAGTACCATTCTTTTTGAAATTTGGAAAGACAAAATGAAACATACGAGTATTTGGCATATTAATACATATACATATTTTAAAAATATGTTGTTATTATATTTAATATAGATTATTTAAATATAGATATTGTATATTATATTTTATTAATGATTTTTTAATTTAATTCATTATATAAGGTTATGGAAAAGCCGCAAAATCTACAATAGGCACAAATACCGAAATTGTGAAGAGAACCTGCATCTTTAATATTAGTTACTTGCTATAGGTTTTATGGACCGAATGGAGAATATATTTCACATCGTTCGCGCGATAACAGAACTTCCAATAGTTAGATGTATAAGGTAACAGGGCTGGACTCAAAATCAGATACAAGATTCGATTATCAAATATTTAAAGCGCTTGAATTATAATAAAATAATAATTATAACAGAAACTTTGAAAAATACAATGTGCATATTTGAAGATCGTATTACAAACAATACTTCCCGCAGAGCTCGAAAAGACTAGGAGCTAAACAACCTATTACCGTTTACAGGCTCATGCAAAGTATAATATTTAGAAAAATCTTAAATAGTAAGAGTACAAATGGTTCGTTCTCTACACGGAGCCGGTCTTGCAAACCATGCCAAAAATGCGGGCGCACCCCTTAATTTATATTATAGTTTTTTTCAATATCATTCAAGAAATATATAATTTATTTGCATCTTTTACTAACATTTGGATAATATTTTTAAAATATGTTAAAATTTAACTTTAAACCAACAATCAGACACACGACGGGAAAAAATATGAGTACATACAATTCGGCCCTTACGATATCCATTGTATGTTTACGAAGCAATTTGGATATTTTAAATAATGAAAAATTAAATTAAAATAATCCAATTGGATATTTTAAATAATAATTAAATAGATGAAGTACCAGTGTTATGTTTAATATTATATCTAATGAAAGGCTATAATCTTCTAGATTTCCGCTAGAAAAAAAAAATGGCATGCCACAGCTCTATAAAAATGCCAGTCGGTGGTAGATTAGCATTTTGATTAACATTTTCATGTTCATGCCTTAATATGAACAATATGAAAATGGCATAAATAAAAAAATGCGAAATATTACGAATTTCAAAGTTGAATTTCAACGGTCAAAGAGATTATAATGTCATGGATCTTTCAAGAAGTGCATTTTTTTATTTCTTTCGAGATTTTAATTAAAAAAAATAAAGTTTATGTATATATATATATATATATATATATATATATATATATATATATATATATATATATATTATATATATATATATATATATATATATATATATTAATATATATATTAATATATATATATATATATATATATATATAAATGTATGTATATATTATAAGTTCAAATTCCGATCCTACCCTGCGCTTTAAGCCCCCATTAATTATTGACTTAGACTTCTATCTAAACTATGGTGTCCGTGAACACTTGAACGGATTACCACATCCAAGTGTCTTTTGCTCAAAATTAATAGGTCTTTGTAATGAAAAAACGAGAATTATCTAAATACAAACTTGAAACTGGCCATTGGACTAAAAAAGATATTAGTAATATAAATTATAATAAATGTATAATTGTAACTAATTAAATATTATTGAACTTAATAACTGCATCTATTTCTATTTAGTAGTTGTTTCTATATATAATATTTTCATGTCTGTTTTCAATAAATGCATATACAGTAATAATAATTAGATATATAAATAGATCTTTGATTCAATCTTCAGGGCAATACATCAATTAAAAACTTATAACATTTTGATTGTTTCTATACATTTCGACACATTGTTTTGTGTCATCTTCAGTGGAATGAAATTGTAATATTCCTGATAAATTCTTAATAATAATTGTTCAAAATTGCACTACTAAAACAGTTCTTGTCACTTTAAATAGAAACAATTTATACATTTTTAGAGAATTTCTTATTGTAAAGAGTAAATGTTGTAAAGTCGATGTCCGATGCGACAGTAAAAACAAAAAAAAAGAAATAGATTTTAAATGGATGGAAATTAAATAAGTAATTAGTTTTTCTCTTAGCTTTTTCTCCTCGTTTGAACATTTTTGTCCAGTGTAATATTTTTAAGTTATGAATATAAGTGTTGCTAAAAAACAAGTTACTCTATAGTTAGGCAACATCGTTTATGAACTAATCATTTCATCCAAATGTACTATTTACAGTAAGTAGTATACTTTTAAAATTGATAAATGTGCTTTTGATGAATTTTGTGTACCAGATTTTAAAAGCCACTAGATACTTATAAAGTGCAGTATTTCTAAAGTTCCATATGGACCGCCAGGGGTCTAGGGCAACAAATGAATGCGAGAAACAAAGCAAGGGGTCGAAGAGATAAACTAGTGGGGCGCATGGCATCGTGCCTTAAGGCAAATTACTGGAACTTCATGTACCAAATTTTTTTTTTTTAAAGATTAATATTTTTGAAAAAAATTTACTCTGAAAAAATAGATTTTTGTGAAACTATAAATTTTTGATAAAAATTAACTTTTTCATGATTTCAAACCGCTTCATGATTTTTTTCAGAAATCTAATCAGTTCTTCATCTCGTTAATACAAGTAAAATGTTTTTTGAATTATTCAAATCGGACGCTCCGTTCTCTTAAAAACCGAGTTACAGTTTTTGGCACTTTTTGCCCCATATCTTCAGAACGGCTAGACCTGCCTTCGCCAAAAACTAATCAGCACGTCTCTTTATCTATACGTCGAATATTTTTTAAATTATTCAAATCGCTTAATCCGTGTTTCCGAAATCGTCGATGAAAATTTGTATCCGCACATACATACACACACACGCACACACACACATGCATCCATTATTTCTAAGAAACCTCTGAAACGTAAAGATATATAAAAAAAATACATTTTCGATTTTTTTGCGATTACTATAACTTACCCTACGGGAAGTTAACAAGTTGGGAAACTAATGTATTAGACAAGATTGTAGATTATTTAATTGCAAAAAATTACCCGAGTATATCATTTACAATAATATGATGTTTCAAAAGTTATTGTAGAAATAAAAGGTAAACGTACCTTGCCTCGTGCATTTTGTATTTCAAGAATAGCAACTTGGAACAAAACTGCTAGTCCGAACTCCTTTCAACCACTTTCATGTTCAAGCTCCTATGAGTATAACGAGTTGATGCAAGGTTTCATGATTTGTAGATTATTTATTTTCGTACAAATTTCTCAAACGCATTATTCATATCAATCAAATTGTTTAAAAGCTACAACGCATTTAATACAAAAATGCACTACGTCAGAGTACACGTATATCATCCTTTTATGTTCTGAAGCATTTTGAAGTCAACTGATTGTTGTAGGACTCTATAATTTCAGCCATTATTGTAGATTATTTTACTCACAGTACAAACTTACCAAATATAACATCAATATCAACCGAATGGTTTAAAAATTATAAGAGATATAGTAAATACATGCACTTTAAGCGCGCTCACATAAATTTTAAAATAAGCATTTAAAGAATACGGAGTTGCTATAGATTATTGTATATAGTACAAGTATGCTAAATACATCGTTCAGATCAATCGAATACAAAATATATAATAGATAATTGCATAAATTCGTTTAAGGCTTCGTGGATCGGTGTAGATTGTAGATCAATTGCGCATGTTTAAATACGATTTTATAGTTTATAAAGTAAATAGACAAAGTTAATCTAGGTCTATTTAATATTTTACAATATTATTTAAATTATTTAAATTGTAATAAATATAGGTACTGCGTACATCATTCATGCCAATCGAATGGTTTTCAAGCTTATGACTAAATAGCAGATTTACTCTAAAGAAATGCACCTCAGACCTCACGTATTTTCAATATTTCAAGTACCTGAAGGCGATGAAGGCATCGCCCATCTCTCCTCCGACGATGTGAACGCCTCCTTCCGGAATCGACAGCCCCCGGAAATAAGTACGGATGTCCATAGCGTTCGCGCTCCACGGCAGGTTCTGCAGCCTTATAATGACGCTCATTTTGATTGATTTTGTGTTTTCGGTTAAAATCTTTTATAACAAGGACGATAATCAGTTTTAAATCGTCATTTAACTATAAGATCGATCGAAGAAGGATTGGGGTTTGCCTATAAACAGAAAATAAACGATTTGTTCTTGAACCTGAGAGAAATTATGGACAAAGGAATGAGAGGATATTCTGGGGTTGAGAAGATTCGCTTAATATATTCTGTATCATTTCAATATAAATGGAATTAGAATAAAAAAGTAATTATACTCACCAAGTCATAAAAAATTATGTTTAAAGATAAAATATAAAATTAAAGCATTATGAAAAAAATACAAAATGAATTGTGTCACAGCACTTTTAATTAGTTTTTAATTAAATTTGTATAGGAAATTATGTTTTACATATCTATTTCGGTTTAAAACAAATATTTAAGAGGGATTCTGGTCTAATGGCATGAATTTTATGAGATTCTTGAAAGGCCGTAAAAAAAGAAATAATATTTTCACTATAATAACGTTCATAAAGTTTTAATTCTAGAATATGATAGAGGAGCGTTTAAAAAAATTGGCACCTGACCATACCCATAGTTTAACCACCCTCCAAATACCCAAGACAAGTTAATTTTTTTTTTTACAAAATTTATTACTTTTTTAAATTATCGATTTTTTTTAAAATCGGAATTTTTACGGTGAGTGTAGTTCATACTGAAAAAGTTTATGAAGGATACTCTGTAAAAATTTCAAGTAAATCGGTCCAGTGGAGGGTGAGAAATTGTGGGTATCGTTATCGTATAGTAACGTAAAGATCGTTTAAAATTTCACAGAGGTCGAAACTAAGAAAGATTGTCCTGGTCAAACAGCTATATCTCTAAAAGTAATTTGAATTATGAAAAATACTCTTGTACACATATTCTTGAATCTCTGAAAAATCGATTTTTAAAAAATTCTGAGCCAGAATACCCGCTTAAGTGTAAAGATTAAATTTTAATAAATCATTTCTAACCATGGCCCTGTACGAATTAAACATTTGATTTTTTTATCATTTTGGAGCTAAAAGAACAAATTAGTAGGACAGAGCAACAAAAATATAATTGGTTTATTTTAATAGAAAATCGAAAGCTTACAATTTTAATAATCGGTAATTGTGATTTTATTTAAATAGAGAACATTTTGATTTTTTTGTAGAAAATGATATAAATTCATAAATAAAAATCAAATTTATTCATATACTCTGTTTTCTAATTAATTTTCATAAACCTTTTCGTGTCTTATGTGCGATGTATGAACTTGATCTCTATGATTTTGTAGCTACATAAATAAATTTGCAAATGAAAATAAAATTTACTCATATACTAGATTTATACTAGTTTATTTTTCGAAAATAAACCTCCAAAAATGATAAGTGCGATCCTGTACGAGCTAGAAACTCTGAATTAAATTAATAACTGACTAATTTATTTTAAGACTGCAATAAGGCGGCAACCATTAGTCATGTGAGGAGGGGGGGTGTTGACAAAAAATCTCGAAATATCACGTGGGGGATAGAGGGGTCTAGTTGAAGATATGACTGTATTTATTTTTTACCTATTTTTTTTAAAAAAAAATCAAGCATTTTCAAAAAAATGACAAAAATTCTACAGATTTTTCTCGTAACTAAAAATACACATTATGTTTGGTGGAAGAGGGGAGAGGTAATTTTGAATATCACCACGAATCATCAAAGGGGGGGGGGTCCAAAAACCTTTAAAAATAGATCACGTGATTAATGAACCCCTCTAATATAGTTGTTTTTACAACTATATTATTTATAACATCTCAAAAAAAAAAAAATATTCTGCAGGCTTCATTTCACAAAAAAGTCTCTAGCTCAAACAGGACTTTCATGTCTTTCTAACATTTTATGAAGTCATTATTCAAATCGAAGATATGACAATTAGTGATTCATCAAGTTTGTGACCAAATTTTCAATATTTTAAAATCTAGTAAATGCAAAACCTCTGCTAGAAGACCTGTGAAATGTAATACTTTCTTATAGTAAATAAAAGAGAAATGAACATATACTGCTGAACATTGTCCAAAATGCATAAATCTTCAGAGCCAACAAGCTGATAATACTTTTATACAACTCATTTACATGCATCATCAAAATATCAAACTAGAGAACATTCTACAAATGTCATAAGAATTTTTAGAATTCAAGAAAAACATTTTTTTTATGTTTTCGAGATTGATATTTAAATTCTGAAGATGACTTATAAAATATATCAGTACTAAATTTGCTTCAACTTATCAAGACCAGAGAAGTATAAATAGATAATTTAGTAGTTAGCACTGAATGTTTGATTTAGCCAATTTGTTCTGTAAATGGTAATTCCTAAATTGTGATTCTTAATATGTTACAATAAATATCTCTAATAGTCATTAATAGATTATTGATTGATTGAGATCATCGAAATTTTATAACACCATGTATCAATTTCAACTTGGAAAAATATATGAAATCGATTCATAGAGATACTAAATCAGGGTGTAATCAAGAATTATTTGTGTTTTCAATGAAGATTCGTTGATTTAACGGTGACTCGAAACAGATCAATTAAGAACCCCAGAGAATTTGTACTTATTCATGTTCCCAAATAGAAAGGTTCGAAATTTTATGACCCCATGTTCAAGACATAAATTGGCAGATTTGAGATATATAGATAATATTAAAATAATGACCCTATAACTCCCATAGTCAATAAATAATGTCTAATTTTGCTATCTAACTATAATTGTTAAAATGTATGTCAACCTCACAGTACAGGACATTGCAAATAAAAAGATTTTCCATTGTGCAAAAATGAACATTTAGTGGCAGTGTAAACAGGGCAAAAGTTCTTCAAATTTACAGCTTAATTCGATACTGAATAATTAAGGTGCTAATAAACAATGGGTAAAAAATCTATGTGACCAAACCCACGGTTAACTTTAGCAACTATATTTTTTTATAATGCAGTAGAATCTCCCTAATCCGACACCTATTAAAAACCAGAGGATGCCGGATTAGTGGATTGTTCGGATTACTAATATATGTATTATAGTGAAAAGGTCATATTGAAAATGGTGAAGAATTTCCAGCCAATTTCCACAAAATTATCCAGTGCTTCGATCGCTGGGGGCGTCGGACTATCGAATTGTCGGATTAGCGAGTATGTATGTGTGTATATATATTTATATATTTGTTACATCGGTATTTAAAATATCTGTTTCAGTAACATCATGATGTTTTGATGTAATTACTTCATAAGAATTATCATACAGCTACAATTGCAGAAAGTCATCAAGCAAAAGCAGAAGTATTTGATTCCATTAAATAATGTGGTTAAGAGCCAAGAGTTTTAATTTTACAGGAAAAAAACAATGATTACTTTATATTTTTAGTCTAATGTAAATCTGTGTTGATATTAATTTTATTCAATTTGAAGCAAATGTTAACCCTTTTCACGCGGCTATCGTTATATCATAATGTTTATTAGTATATAACAAGATTTTTAAATTAATAGCAAGTGCGGCCCACCATAAAATTTTAAAAATAAAATGCGGTCCGCGAGTTGAAAGTTGCTTATTCTTAAGAATAAGTTTATGCAGTGATATTACAGTCCAGTCATTTAAGCTTAAATTAGGTAAGAATCTCGGAATTCGAGATACCCAGCTGTAAGTCTGTAAATACTTGTACATTGACACCCTAAAGTTGTCTCAAATACGGTAGGGTGTCAATACCACATGTAGGGCTTTTGAGACAACTTTAGGGTGTCAATATACAAGTATTTACAGACTAACAGCGAGGTAAACTTACTCTAATGACTGGACTATTAAGTGTTTTCTCGTCAAGATTTTCTATCAGTTGTTTTCGAAGTATATTCTACTTTTTTTTATTACCCCACACTTTTCTGTAGAACGATAAAAAAACTGTCATGAAACTAATTATTTAAGATGCTGGAATTGCGCTATGCCATTTGTAAATATTTTGAACTTTAACATACTCTAGAAGAAAATAAATTTAAATATTATTTTATCAAACAAACTGCATAACAAACAATATCATGTTTCCAGCAGGTATGTTTTCGTCAGGATGTAGAACCGAGTTGCTTTTGAATCAGCGCCGAGCCGTAAGGGTTAATATAAATTTAACTGGCTAATTTTTCATAATTAGTTGAACCTCCATGATTTTTCAGCCTTCTTAATTTATTTTATGGATTTATTGCTATAATTTAAGCTACTGGGAGCATCTCGCTCTAGTACATGGATTTTTAGTGATTTATCTTGTTTTTATTCTAGTTGCTTTATCAGGAGCAGTATTAAAGGATATAATCATACTATCCTGTGTCTTTCAAGCAGGCAGCTTTCAATATAACTGATTTTAAAGCAAATAATTCCTGGAAGACATACTTTTAAATCAAATTTAATGAATAGATCTTATATGTAATCTTGTAATTCCTGTATCATACATACTCATCCAATAACTATTAATTAAAGGAAGCTTTTGTTTAAATTTATCATGTTTTTTTTTTCTTTAAATAACCAGTTTTGTATCATAAGCAATATAAAAATAATTTTCCAAGCCAATAAAATATGATTTAAAACGATATTTCAATTTTTTAATTACTGCTACTGATATTAGAGGATTGCCTTATTATGATTTATAATTATGAAATTATTTACCATAAGTAGCACTAGTCATCAAGGTTTTAAAATTTTCTGAATAGTTATTGATATTTGCAGAGTTTAGATTTTGTTTTGTTTTATGATCTAAAAAAACATTTAATAGTACTAGTTTGGTGCATTAGTAAGTATACCTATACTAATCAATATTCTGGACCACACAGCCAATTCCTATTATATCATTGCCATAATATCATCAAATATAGAAATCTTATTTATATAAGCAATAAACTGAATGTTCATATTCCAAAAAAAAAGAAAAGATATTGGGATATTTTTTTTAAAGATGTATCATTTAGAATTAAGAAGAATTTATGTGTTTAGATAATGGAAATAATTTGAAGTTATCAAAGACTTCCATGATACTTCTAATAATCGAATATTTAAATGATTTAATATTCTTGAAGAATTTAAATAATGTTAATGGACAGGCATTAGGTAATATATATTCATTGAATATATATTTTTGAATATATATATATATATATATATATATATATATATATATATCATTGAAAAATGGCAAAAGTATAATTGGGTTTTGTTTACATTTATAATACGACTTAATTTATATCATACAAAAATTCAAAGAATTTGTGTTTAAAGAATCAAGTTTTCTATATAAAATTTAATGAAACAGGAAGTAAGAGTTTTTGATATGGATCGAACATTTATAATAATTCATTAAATGTAAATTCCATTACATGATAAACATAAGCGGAGTCCTTTTAATGATAATGGGCAATCTTTGCATCAGTTCTTAATATTGAATAGAAACAGTAAATAATATAGAAAATAATTGAAATATATCAAAAAAAAATTTGAATGTAATTTTAACGACAAGTTTCCTAATATGGATTTTCATGAATAATCTACGGGCCAGGATACTTGTAATATTTTTTTAATTATTACTTGAATATTTTTATATTACAGAATTACTGATAGAATTAATCAATGGGTGAACCTCATACTGAATTAGTAAAATAATTACACAAAGATGCACATTGAACTTGAAATGTACTGGGAATCATATCAATAAGAAGAAAGTTTGTATATTTTTTTATGGCCGTGTATCTTACGTTATAAAGTTATTAACGATTTTCCTTTAATTTAATCAATAGTTGCAGCTGAATAATCAACACATAGCACAATAAGACATCCCAACTTTTAGCATGGTACACATGTTTATCAGTTTAGGTATAAATGAAGAACACAATGGTACATTAGTCATCATTAACTAACAATCCTTTTCTGATACAACTGAATGCTAAGCGTTCAATCAGAACATAACAATGTCACCAATTATCAAACATTACTTAATATACCTAGCTGAAAAATGTAACACAAATTTGAGATTTGAAATAACAGATATCACCAGCTCAGGATAATTCAGGAACTTTGCAATTCAGATACTGCATTTCATTGTAGTAGCCTGAAGAAATATTACATATAAAGTTTGGTTTCATACGAAGAATAACCCTGGGTTAAATCTAATGTTACATGTTAACAATGTACAGAATCAAATATTTAAATATACCCAAATCGTTTTCTGTACTGAATAAGCTACAAAATTAAAAATAATGCATGTCGATAAAACCACAGCTAGTGCGTAGTCACTCGACTTGTTTTGCTATTATTGCTTTGTGTCTTCTTACCTTAGAACTAATTTATGTTATAAATCAATCTTCTTTCCTTGCTATTTAATCCGTTTATATTAACTACTTATTTTACGTGCCCCCTTGCAATAAATATTAAAAATTTATACTATTTTCAGTCACACTCCCGAAGAGTCACGAAGAATTATTAAATTGCAAATGGCGAATGAGTGATTTAGTTCAATCGTAAGATGTAGCACTTCACAAAATCGAAAATATTTAAAGACAATCAAAATTATTCTCTTGTTTGAGAACGATAAATGATTTTCAGATGTTCATGATGGTTGTTTATATTTAAAACACAGTTTTGAATTTTGTTTAATTTTTAATGTTCGAAAAAGTAAGCTGATGCATCGAGTTATGATGTTGGTACATTTATAACATGACAGGAGGGTCAAAGAAATGGCGGGAAATTCAAATCACCAATTTGTATTTAACGTATTAACCCTGGACAATATAATAATGGTATTAACACGTAAAAGATTTATGTCGAAAAATGTGGATAAAATTACCTATGTGAAAATTTAATATATTTAAATAAAATTTCAATGTTTCGTTTATGATTAATGAACAAGTATATTGTTTTGAATCAGAATATTTCCACTATCAAAGTAAAATACAGTTATTCTTGAAGTCTAAATAATTCAAAATCCAATGATTCAAAAGTGTGTAAAATAATCCTTATAAATATTCAATACAATCTAAAAACACTTATACAAAAATCAGTTTTATTTACATTGCATTGATATATACAAAGATTAATTTTATTCAATAGAAATGTCTCCACGTTGTGACTTATCATCCTTCAAATTTGGATACAATCTGGCAGGCCCACCAGCAGCAAGAATCCTACCACTAAAATCTAATCTTTGAGGCTGGACTTCCATACTTGCTAAGATATCTAGCAAATTCCTGTAAATATAATGTAATGTATATAAATATATTGCAAATATATAATAATGGTGAATGTGTGTTCTACTAACTTGTTCTCTTGTCTTAGCTTGCGAGCAGGGGGTGGTGACATTGGTGAATCTGCAGTTGCTCTTATAACACTAGGTCGTCTAGGTGGTCTAGTGGCCATATCATCCAATTCACGCAAAGCTCTGTCAAGTTCCACCTTCAAAATTTAATATATTTATATATATATATATATATATATATATACAAACATATATACCTTCTCATCTGTTCCTGAGCTGCTTTGTTTGCAGTCCAGTAGGCAATGTAGCACTGCTGAATGACCAGATGATGGACCTCCTGATCTAATTAAACTTTCCAATTCATTCCATAAACACCTCCACTGTTCTTCACGCTTTTGGCCTTTAACTCTATCAAAATATTAATTTTTTTATGCACACTATTTCTTTCAATAAATATATTAATTTATATTACCTCAAACTGGTATTAGTTAATGGTAAAACATCATGTTTAGCTTCAAGTCCAACTAAATTATAAATCACTTTTTTGCATTGCAACACCTCATCTTCAGTTAAGATTTCTTTTGATATAAGTTGTGGTAAAGGATCTACATACTATAAAATATACTTATATAAATATAACAAAATTTAAATGTGTATATTGTTATCTTACTTGTCGAAGGTTATATACTAAAGTTGAACTTAAAGTCAAAGGCCAAGATGTTGTTTGCCTATTGAGTTTTGCCAAAACTCTATTTAGTGGATTAAGGGCCTGTTCAGGATCTGCTTGTAATGGTACTAATTTATTTTGCTGCATGAGCATTGCAAAATCATTAATTCTGTAAAAAATATTTTTTTACAATCATATATATTATACATATACATAAAAAAAATAGGTTAATTACCGATAATCTGTAACTCTTCCACCACCACCTTCTGATATTGATGGTGGATCTTCTAAAATACTTCTACCAGTACTCAAAGAGTGTATAAAAATTTCACCTCCATGAGCTGCTAATAAATGTGTCCATAATCGACCACCTGATTTTCTATTTGTAAAATATTAAATACATATTATTTAAATATTATACTTTATGTAAATGTATATATATATATATATATATATATATATATATATATATTATGTGCTTGTGTGTGTAATTATAATAACCTTGGCATTTCTAAAGTAACTGCCCTGCCATTAAGTAAAAAATTAACCAGACATGAACTCGGTCTAGCATTTACATCAACAGGTGTTATTCTGTACTGCGCAGAACAAGGTTGCAATTCAGAAGAACCGGCACCGCCTGCAGCACCCCTGGGAGTACTCCATTTAAGTGTAGTCTTCAAGAAAAAAGAATGAACAAAATGCTATAATTAATAAGATACATGCTTGATACTTACAGTTAAATACTCTGCACCTTCCTTTGGTCCCCTTAATAAAGCAACATCAGCTGCACTTAATGTATTATGAGCCGCACTACTATGATAAATTTCAACATCATAATTTGCACTTGTGCTTGCGTTTAACTCTTCCTAAAAGGAATCATGTATTTTTTACTAAATATGAGTTAAAAACATTATTTTTGTGGTGTTACCTTCATAGGTATTCCAGTGACTGTCGTACTAGCTAAATCATAATGACTTAAAATTAAATGTGATAATTTGTTTGATATGTGTGAAGCTGGTACGCTGTGGACTTCACTAGAAAATTGCGATGATATCTAAAACCAAATTTTATATAATCATATAATACAAATTATTATTACTACAAATTTTACTATTACACACCTCTCTTAAAGTTCTGTTTGATACTTGTGAGGTCATTTTGCATGGATAGACATTTATTATAACTAAATGACAATGCTGAATAGTTAACATTCTAAAAACATACATAAACACGAATTAAAATATATAGCCTACATATTTATAATATTGATAAGCTTTGGTTGACGTACTGTTCATTGCCCATAGCTATTTTATTTTGAGATTTTAACACACTTTGAAAAATATCTTCTAAGCTCTTCATACTCGCATCATCTCTGGCTGATGTGAGACAAATTAAGCGGCACCTAAAATCAACATAATATTATATCTATTCCTAACAATGACAAATATAGATATGTATTGTAATAACTTTTACCTATTACTAACTGAAAAACCTTGGTCTAGTCTCATTTTTTGCTCTATTGAAGGTTCAGCCATTGCTTCTATTGCAGCTCTTAAACCGTGGACTACTGAACATTCCATAGTAGGTGTACCTCTTGGAGGCACACCGATAACTGCCATAGCATTTATAATCTAAATTATAAGCTAGTTATCACATTTCTATCCTTAGCATAAAATAGAATAAATTTAATACTATTGTTAAGGAATTGGTCGTACTTACAAATCCTATATTTTGTTGTTGAGGGCTCCATGTGTTAAGTATATGAGCCACGTTATCGCTAACAACAAATCTTATCTACAAAGCAAAAAATTCATAATTTAGTGAATACAATCCGCTGGTTGTACAAAAGTTCACTTGGATTACTGACCAGCTTTCCTTCAGGAAACAAATCCCAAACTATTCTACAATATTCTATACATGATTCTACACTAGAAGTCCATAAAGATTTTGAAATTGGTGGTAAATGCAAATTATAAGAAGAATTTGATGGTTGTCTTGCTTTCAAAAATTCAAAATCAAATGTATTTTCACTAGCTATACCAAAATAAGGAGTATGGTCCAAAACGAAAACCGTTTTATTTAAAGGTGGCATTGTAAAGATAAATAATATAGCATTTTCTAAAAATAGTTAAATAAATCTGTATTTTAAATGAAAAGATTCTTGCTGTTTTGCATCCTAACATAACCTGTCATTTATGCTTCAAAATTTAACCTAATTTTTTTTATGAGAAGCGATCACCCAACCTTTTTTTTTTCCAAAAAGAAAATTTGCATCTAATTTTTTTTATTTACATGTTGAAGCAAGATATATATTTGTTTATGTGAATGTAATTATATTATATGCATATAGACATATAATTTATAAAATTATTTGTATTTCTGAAATGTAGACAATATTAGAATATGATGTATGCTTCTAGTTATTCTTACTATGTTAATGATATAAGCACATACATCTTTTTTGTCTATTTAATAATAAATGTAATAATAATAATAATAATATATAGATATATATATATATATATATATATATATACATACATAAACAACTTGCAAATAAAAGTCATATTTATAATCAATCGTTTAATAATCAGTTACAAATACTAAAATAATACTAAAAAAATAATCAATTAACAATAAAATTTTCTAAGTCCTCATTAAAAAAAACTGAGATACATTTTGTACAAATTTCGAATCGATAAATCTAATATATACACTCTGATTCTGTTATAACAATTACACAATTTAATTTGTGATGCCTTCAATTAAATTACACAAAATACTATTCATATTAAAATAAATATGTATTATATCAAATACCTAAATATTTTAAAAATTGGTTTCTTTTTAGTCTTTTCATTTAGGTATATGAAGAATAGCCATTAAAATGTACACCTACATAGTTTTATGGATTTTTATGCAACTTAACATTTATTATTTAATACATATATGTAAATATTAATTAAAAAGTATACTATTAGGATCTTCATTATCCATTTGTTTTACATGTCGTAAAACATCTTTTTTAGTTATAACACCGAGCAAACGCCTAAAATATAAATGAAAATTAGGAACAATTAATCAAATCTGTTAGTATTACAAACACAGAAAAATACATACCCATTGTGTGTGACTAATGTCTGACGTAAACCTAGTTTTCTAAACATATCCACCACAGTTTCCATTGGTGTTTGATCAGTCACTGTTATTGGAGCCATATCTAATATTTTCTTTAGTTTCAAAGGTGGAGGTCCTAAACTTTGCACTGTAGGGCCATTTATGAAAAGTACCAAACTTTGTCCTGTTATCCCATCGATCATGCGTCTAGCATTGGCTAACAAATAGATACAAATAAATACAAAAAAATTTTAGAAAATTTTATAAAAATTTATGTATTATACCTATGGCTAGATTTAAGTCCCTCCTCAAAACAAATCCAACAAGATACTGAGATTCTCTGGAAACAACAACTGGATATCCATTGTGCTCAGTTTCTTTCAGTAAACCTTCAACATCATCCACAGTCATCGAGTCTTGAGTGATTACACTTAATGTTTCATTCCTCCTATAGAATATAAAACATATCAGTAAATTTTCTCAATTCTACATACAAACAATATTATTCTACTCAAACAAATATTTGAAATTTCGCGGCGCGTTGTTCAACGTTATTATGTTTCATACTTAGTTTTAATATATTAATTCTGCTGTAATAATCTTTCCTGCTATTTTTATATATTAAATTTGTATGAATGATAAAAGTACGCTAACTTTTTTTTAATATTATTTCTTCTAAATTTTAGATATTTTGTAAGATAAAGAATTTAATGAAAAGAACAAACATTAAGGGCGTGGGGTTGGTATCAGTGTAAAACGAAGCGGTAGTCGGACGTCGACTTCTGGTTCAGTATGTCGCTTACTAATGTGAAAAAAAAAAAGTAGTAATTGTGAATATAACGTAGTCAGTGAATAAATTCATAAAAAATATATAATTATATAATTTAAAAATAGAAAATGGGAATTCCTAAACATGTACAGTACTCTGGTAAAGTGATCCAGGTCATAAAATATCAGACACATAAGTCAAAGTTTACAAATACAAATACGCATAATATATTAAATATATTTTTTACTTGGGTTGCATGACATCTGCAGCTAAAGATGTATGTGCAAATTCATCTTTACTGTCCAAGAATGGATATCCATTAAGCTGTATATGGGCATCATATATACCCTGTCTGCCCAAAGCATCACCAACCCATTTGGAAGCCATAGCTGCTGCCATTAAGGGCACGATATAACGTACACCACCAGTCAGTTCAAACATTATTACCACCAGAGAAACTAAATGCAAAAATAATAATAAAAACATGCTGAAGAAATTGAGTATTAAGCTGATTGAGTAAATAAATTGTTGTACCTGTCATTCTAGTGACACCACCTAAAACAGCTGCAGCGCCCACCATAGCATACAGGCCCGGTGTGATGCAATTGTCTCCAGTTGAGCATTCACCAGAAAAGAACCATAATTTTGGATAATAGTAAGCCAATTGTTCAATTCCTGTTATAAATATAGAATAATTTGTTATAATATATTAGACAATTAGAATATTATAAAAAAACACTCACCAATGCCCACAATTCTACCCATAATAGCTCCTAGGCATAAACTTGGGATAAACAGACCACATGGTACTTTCATACCAAAGGTAAATACAGTCATTCCCAATTTCAGTACCAAAGCAATCAGGAGCAACCACACAGCCTGGTAGACACCAGGACCAGCTGCTGCTATTTCTATAGCTGATTTAACATCAGTGAAATTGCGATTGTAATCACTAAGAAAGATACATGTAAAGAGTTTTACACATTTTATTCCTTTATCTATATAAATCAATAAAAAAAAAAAAAATAGCACTCACCACAAAGGATCAGAATTGGAAATCCCGCATTGGCTGAATAGTAAATAAATCAGTTGACTAGTATTCATCCTGGTGTAAGGATTAGGATAAGCAATCACTGCTGTTGCAACAGCAACAACTAAAACTTCTGCAACGGGGTACTGTCCTAGTTTAGAAAATTTACGGTAGCGACACCAGTACAAATTAGCTTTTATAAACAGCGTTGCTACAACACCCTAAAATTAATTCAAATATATCAATGATTCATATTTGTAAGATTGTGCTGAATCTGTTGTACATACACCAATTATTCCAAGGCCTATGAAAGGTATCAGTTCAAAAAATATCCAAGGTTTATTGTATTCCACATAGAAAAGGACAGAGTGCTCATTTCCAAATGGATTTATGGATCGCAATATGAAAGCTGCTATCAAAGCACAGAAGAATGATCTCCATAAGGTCTTCAATGGGAAATAGTAGCTCACCTATGGATAATGGTGATAGTAATTAGCAAATTTATTATAAATAATTCATGTATAGGTCCACTAACCTCTTCCAAACTGAAAAGCACACCTCCAATAGGTGCTCCAAATGCAACAGATACACCAGCTGCTGCAGCTGCTGATAAAATCTCTCGTTTCTTTGCTTCATTCCGACCATATTTAGGAAACAAATAAGACAATATATTACCTAAAATAAAATACAACATATAGATACTAAAATAAACTGGTGGGTTAATATTTTTTTAATAGTTAATATTTTAGGTTACCTATACAGCTGGCAATGTGTACCATAGGACCTTCTTTACCCAAACTCAATCCAGCTGATACAGACAACATGATTCCTACACTTTTAATAATCAATGTCCATTTTCCAAGATATCCTCTGATGATGAAACCACTCAGAATGGTTTTAATCTCTGGTATACCTAAGGTAGTAAATATAAATAATCAGTTAAAAAAAAACATGTAAGTAATATAGATATTTTTTTTGTATTACCTGACCCACAAGCATAAGGTGCAAACATGCGCACCAAAGAGGCTGCCAAAGAAGCAAAAATCAATGCCCAAATAATATAAAACAAATAAGCAATTATGTAAGCCCCCGCTCCAGTTCTAGGTTGTCCAAAAACCTCAGGCCAAGTGAGCCATTGTGAGCAATTTCCATCATCAAAGGTTGTTTCATTCAATGACCAACAACATTGTTCTCTATTCAACCAGAAGGCTTGTGGGCAAACACCGTTCTTTAAATCCGTCATCCAACTTGCTCCGATATCTATGACGCCTGCAATAGCTCCTGTCACCAGCCCGACTAGGAGAACACACACCCAACCTGACCAGGCATCATGGGCACCCTGTTGAAGAGAGAAATTGAGTCATATTAGTTATTTATCATGTGTGACTACTTATTTTTTGAACTATTTTCAATATAATTTGAATATTTAAATATTTAAAAAAATAAAAATAATACTAATAACCTTTATCAGGTCTAGTATAGAGTCTTGTCGTTTTTTAACAATATATCGATGTCTCATTCGATCTCTGGCTATATCACGTTGCCAATCTATCGTATGGAAATCATCATATTGCCCAATCCCAGGAATATCATCGCTTTCACCTGGAAAAAGAAATGATTATATAACTGAAAAAATATTTTTAGACTAAACTTTGTTATTGTTATAAAAGCATGTAAGTTGTACACTCACCTTGCATACCAGCAAATGATATGCCACCTGCGAACAATTAAATTTTTATTTGTTAGATAACTTTAAAGTATACAAATATATAAAAAGAAAAGCTTTTAGTGAAAAAAATTAATTCAAGAAGCTCATAAAAAAGTTTTACTCACCACTAGAGAGACCCTCAAATTTAATTGCCACTTGAAAAAAGAATAAAATAAAAATGTTAAAAAAAAATAAAATCCGGTTGAAGCAAATAAGAAAATGCATGATATGGTTTCAACATTAAATAAGAAAATTAGAAAATTTATATTAATTAAAGCATATTAGTATAGCGTGATATATATATATATATATATATATATATATATATATATATATATATATAATCAATCAATATCGGCCCATTGCACTATATTTAGCAAAACAAAATTTTATAACTTGAAATATTTATTCTCACAATTTGCTGATCCATTATCATCATCCAGGGTCAACTGTGTGGATCCGGGAGGAAATATACGTTTGCCGAATTCGTCTGGCGAAAAATCGCCCGAGTCCGACACTGGATTATGCTGTTGGGGTCCGTCCGAGGGCATCGTGCCGCTCAAAGGATGATCCACTCGTTCCACTATGTGATTTGTGGAGTCTCCTGGGCGTTTCTGGGGGAAAAATGGGGTGAAAATCAGTAGAGAAAAGGGAAATAGATAGATTAACACTGTTTAATGTATAAATCAGCTAATGTAATTGTAAATATGGTTTGTGATATCTTAATTAAGCCTATTGAACTATACACATAACAATTGTGTTTTAGATTTTTTTATATCGGATAACTTTTAATATAGGGCTGTAGGGCGCTAAAGCAACTAGATCTACACATGAATTGCAACAATAGAATATGAATATTATTAAAGAAAATAAATTAAAAAATACAAAATATCATAACTGTTATGCCCATAAATGTTATATGATATAAATTATATCATCTTTTACAATGTCTATAAAAAGTCTTATAGCAATTCGGTTCACTTATAAAAATATTACATAATGAAAAATTATTTCAAATAGCAAAGTTAAATAAAACAAAATTGACTATTGATAAGTTATTATGACTTATGACGATTATTTATCAATTCAAGGGGGCCTGTAGCGCTACGCCTCTGAATATGAATAGAGATTATGATTTTATGAGTCAGTGACTACACTAAAACTGCTGATAACAGATTCAATTAAAAAAAGATTTATACATTATAAATATATATATATATATATATATATATATATATGATAAAATTGTTTCTTGGGAATCCATCCAGTAATTAAAAAACAGTCTTATTGAAAAATGTTTTTATTCAGAGAACATAGGTTTTATGCAATAACCAATTTTATCATATTATTTCACCATCTGAAGTAAAACCTCTCGCTTCATATATACATATATATATATATATATATATATACACCTAAGTCTGTTTTTACACGGTCTTTTTGTACACGGTTTTGATATAACACGGTTTGAAAATTGAATATTTTTAATTTTTTTACACGAATTTATTCCATTTAGCACGATTTGAAATTTTATGTACCTAAATTTTTTTTGTCAAATTAAATTTTTGCGAAATATGTTCATATCACAAAAAAGTATTTATGAAAGGAAAAAGTCTGAAACCATCGATAGTATCGAAAGTTTGCGAACACTAGCTTAAAGATTTAAGTGAATTCCCCTTTAGCGCGTACAAACAATTTTTACTGGTCAAAGCAAATGTGAATAGCACTAATTTAATTCTTGTTCTTAAAAATTCTTGTTTTTCACCAATTTTAATAGGTTTTAGAGATTAGGAACAAATCACCCATTTTTGTATAAGATCAATGTCTTTTTTTACACGTTTTTTTTTACACGGATTCTTCTGGAACCAATCTCCGTGTAAAAACAGACTTAGGTGTATATATATATATATATTGTATGACTCTGAATTTGATGTTGACATATGTATTAACAAAGTCTAATAATCGGGCATAACATCAATAAAAAACATAAATTTCTTTCAAAAATTTATTTTAAATCCATACGTTTCGGCTATAATCTTAGCCTTCATTCAGTGGAAACTAAAAATAAAATTAAAAACTAAAACAATTGAATTGGAGTGAAAAGAAAAAATAAAATAGTAAAAAGTACTTACAATTAGTTGATCTTAGTGTTACATTGGAAAATTTAAAATTAGTATTTTGTGAAAATATTGTGTAATTTCAAGTTAATGTTTATAATACATAGTGTAGTGCATTACCATATCCTGATACCATGGATTATTAAAATTTTTCAAATTAACACTAAGATCAACTAATTGCAAGTACTATTTACTATTTTATTTTTTCTTTTCACTCCAATTCAATTGTTTTAGTTTTTAATTTTATTTTTAGTTTCCACTGAATGAAGGCTAAGATTATAGCCGAAACGTATGGATTTAAAATAAATTTTTGAAAGAAATTTATGTTTTTTATTGATGTTATGCCCGATTATTAGACTTTGTTAATATATATATATATATATATATATATATATATATATGAAATTAATTTTTCAGATCTATTAAACTCTGACTCGTGTTATAGATCTTTTTTAAGAAACTCATATGGGAAGCTTTATAGATTGCATATTACAATTTTGAGATGGAAATTGTATATTATCCTTCATAGTATTTATTGTGACAAGAAATACTAATAACGATAAGTTTACTGGTAAAATTTCGAGTTTCAAGATATTTTATCAAACAGTAACTTGACACGTATAATGATAGGTAGTACCCTAAGGCAGGTCTGTGAGCTGAGCTAAACTCCACCTCGATTCGGGAAGAAGTAGTGTGGGAGTTTTTCCCATTTCCATTTCAAACCGCAGTGCCCGAAATTGACTTGGAAACATATTTTGATCTATATTTTCAATTGAAAATGGGCATCACGCTGCCTGATATAATAAATTAAAAAAAATATTATTTTCATCAGTGAAATTGTAAAGTTTTTTAGTGAATAACTAAATAATTTATGAATGTTAATATAAATCGTATACTAATAGATTTAAAATAAAATATAGTTAGTATAGTCAGTAATTTAAAACAACTCTTAGAACACATTAAACCTTGTATATATTTTAATAATAAATAAATAAATTAGTCCCACCGTGAAAGTTAACAAATACCTTTAATCATCACTTAGTTATTTGATTCGACTCATTAAAATCTCAAAATAATTATGAGAACCTTGAATTATAATTCAGTCATTGAAATGTAATGGAAAAAATAACATCTGTATGTGTTTAGAAAATATAAAAGACTTACTTTGCGATACACACGGCCGTTCAAGGCAGTTGTTTAATAAAAGTTTAAATGTTATTTTTATCAACTATTTGTTAACTTCCCGTACGTACGTATATACATTATATATATATATATATATATATATATATATATCCATGTGGCATACGGTTCCGGAATGTTATCGCTTAAGATATAAAAAAAATTAATTCGGTTTCATTTCGCTTTTCGTCATCACACTTAAACAATAAAAATATATTAATAATTTAAATAACATATATATTAAATTTTGGGAAAACATCTGTGTGTATTTTGTGTATGCGTGTGCAAAAATAAGTATTAGTGTTTGAAAATACGGTGAGTGCTAACAATAAGTTTTGGAATTTGTGTTTGAACGGTATTACATTTTTATTTTCTGAGAGAAAACCGCAGTACTGCATTTCGATGTTGAAAATAATCTTATATTGTTTAATATTATACGCTTTTGCCTGCTATAAGATTATGTTCATATTATATTTCGGAATTCTTTTCTTTTGTCAATTTTCATATTAGATTGAAGTTTATGATTAGATCAAACTGGTTGTTTTATGTAGTTAATAGTTAACCATAATTCAACTTTAAATTTGATAAAGACATTTTGTTAATTAGATTATAGAGTAAGTTGTAACTGAGTTGCAGGGTCTTGTATTGGTAAACAATGTTGTTCATGTAATTGTAAAAAAAATTGCAGAATATTTCATCCGTATTAATCAAATAATTTAAAAGTTATTACAGATATATCAATAACCGTAACTTTGACATAGTATAATCCGTAATAAACCAGGACCTTCTGTTAGCATTTATCTTTTTCTTATGCCTTCTTTTAGTATGTAGAGATATTGCAGAATCTTAGACAAACCTATTCTCTATCTAATAATGAACGAAGTTTTTAAATATATTATTTATAGTATAAATGATTCAAATAGTTTAAATTCACAGGCAATATATAATAACAAAATGCACAAGTGTTTACTATTAAATTTGTTTACTATATACGCATTAATTTTGAAGTATAAGGAGTTGTTGCAAAGTGATATAATATTAAAGAGCATTAGTTAGTTTCAAATTAGTTAATTTAAGATGTGATGATTTATTTGAGGTTTTAAATGCTAAGCAAGTTGTTCGTAGTTGATCTACAATGAAAATGATCAATAAACACTTGTGTATACGTTTTATTGTATAATCCGACAATAGACAAGTAATTTTAGATTGGCAGTCAAATTGTGTAAATTTGTTTTATGGACAAAACGTATTAACAAGTTGATAACGTATTTTCTTACAAATATTTGAACAATGGAGACAATTAGTATTTGTTTTAAACATAAAACTACGAGAAATATTGATATATATATATATATATATATATATATATCGCAGTTAAGTAGTTTTCTAAAGTTTAATTAATATAGCATACGTTTGGTGCCCTAATTTGACTCACTTTCGATGCGATTTCTTAAAAATAATTAAAATAAAAATAAAAAATAAATCATGATAAATAATTGAGTATAACCAATATAATTAGATGTGAAATCAAAAATGAAAAACTACATAAAAATAATATTTATGATATAAACATCAATTATAATTTATACTTTTATATGTATGTAATTTAAAGTTTTATTTAAATTATTTTAAATGAGTCAAATAGACATCTAAGCATAAATATTAGTTTAGTTTATTCAATTAACTTATGACAAGAATATTGTTAATGAATACCATTCTAAATTTTATATATATATATATATATATAGGTATCATGTTTCCGATTAATCGAAACAAATTAAATTATTGCAATCGCATGCTATTTAAAAGGCATAAAATTATAAATGATAAAACTTGCGAACGTTATCGAAAATTAAAATGCATGCCAAAAGGTCTTAAATTGCACAAACACTCACTCTACAAATCAGCAGTGTAATATTACGAAGCCATTGTGTCGTAAATGGAGCGAAAATAAAAATTATAAATGATTTAGAAATATATATTTTATATAAAAATAATAAGATAGTGTATAAAAATTATATTATTTGTTCATAAACGTCAAAGTGACGTTTCTCGATCGATCGATACCAGCATAGAAAAGAGAAGGACGGTAAGATAGGGCACTCAAGGGGCATCCTTAGGACATAGAATTTGACAGTTTTGACCGCCTTTTTTAAATTCTAAATTTCAGAATGCAGTATCAAATTTTATATTAGATATTAAATATATACTACGATATTTTTAATATAGCATTTATAATAAACATTTATCAATATAAAGCCTAAGACAATTTAAAATTTAATTTCATTTAATTATTTTTTCCAAATACAATTATCTAAATAATAACTGAGAATAGCAAAAAAATATGCACTTCTAATATATTTGCTAGAATTGCATATTTATTAAGAAACATTTTTATTGTCAGCAAAATGGTAAACAAATTTGTGAACATATATAAATTTATTACACATATACATATATATAAATAAATATATGTGTATACATATATATTTAAAATTTTCAGCAGCAAATGTATATATATATATATATATATATATATATATATATGTATATATATATATATATATATATATTTGCTGCTGAAAATTTTAAACGAATAAACCAAATTTTTATACCAAGCCAATTCAAGTAATATTTTTAACATTATGGGAAACTTAAAATACCCACTATACAAGTTTCCATAAAAATATTGAAATAAATTAAAACGATGATAGGCATGTTTTTACAATGTGATGAATAAAATAATATGAAATATTTATAAACATTTATAAGGCAGTTTAAGAAATATGGAAGCCAAGTAATATATTTGTACTCTTTTGAATATTTTTTGTATATTTGTAGAAATTTTAAAGATTGTTTTTAAAGATAGTATTATTTATATTTTTTGAGCCTTGGAGATAATTTAAATATAAAAGAACTATGTTAAGAGCTAGTTAACTAAGCAAATAAGAGTACTTACAGATTTTTTATATTATTACTATGTATCTGCCTTACTTACTTTTTTAGTAACCGATTGATAAGAAGCAGGACCACTTAAACGTATCGTAGAATTTCCTTTTAATGGATATTTCTCCATAGCTGCTTTAAATTCTAAAATAATTTAAAAACACATCAATTAAGTATCATTATTTTTATCAACACAACAGTGACGTATTGTTGAAAGTACTTACCATTTCTAAGATTTTAAAAAAATTAATTGATTTAAATATGATGCACTTGAATCATTATTTTTTATATCACAAGCACTGTTACATTTAATTAATTTTTGTACTTTTTCTAACAAAACGATTGTAGATAATGGAATAAAAATATAAACTGAGAGGACGTATGGCGTTGAGATTATGATGACAATGACATGTGTGTAGTACACGAGGTTAATAATAGATAACACCATTAGATTGAAATTGTTTTTTGTTTTATTTATACCACGTAAACTATTATATAATAAAATATTAATAAAAATTACTTAATAATTATAATACTGTTGTTAAATGTATCAAACTTAATGAAATATATTTATTTAGATTTTGATTCGTAACACAGGAAGTTCTTGTTCAAGGGCATTTATCAAGATGGCGCCATGTGATATTCGCTTCTTATTGAACTCAATTATTTTCAATTAAATTGTGCTATTTGTTTATATTTTGCTCAAAATAACAACAATGTAAATATATGTTTATTACTTTCAATGAGTTTAATACAAACATACACAAGTTTCATCAATAAATTTGTGTTTACATAACAAAATCTTACATTACTCGTCCTGTCAAAATCTTGTGGACATAACACGCCCGGCGCTTCTCGGAAATTAAAAAACAGTTATATTTTTTTAATTAATTATGAATTAAATACTATAGTTGCGAATAATGTAATTGTAATTCAACAATGTCATGAATATTTTTAATATAAGCTGATGTAATACGCGTTTATTTGTGGAGTTAATCTTTCTTATCACATTTTTTAATTCTAGTCATAAAATAAATTTTTGATGTCGTAGTCAAATTTTATGCGCAAAGATTTATTACAAAAGTTTAGTTATTACAAGTGAATATAATATATTTATTGCTGCGTACTGAATACTTTAAGGTTTTAATTATTGTAATTATATTAACCAATTTAATAACACCTTCATTATAAAGAACTTAAACACTCTTCTAATGATAAATGATAACAATAATTTATAAAATTTACAATTTTAGATATCAATCATGAAAATTACTCAAATTTGTTGTATCGGTGCTGGATATGTTGGAGGTCCTACTTGCAGTGTTATGGCTCTGAAATGTCCTGATATAAAAATTACTGTTGTCGATAAAAGTATTGAGAGAATCAATCAGTGGAATTCTGAAAAATTACCTATATATGAGGTGAAGATAATGATACATATATATATATATATATATATGTGTGTGTATATATATATATATATTATGTTTTTTTTTATTTTTCAGCCTGGTTTGTATGAAGTTGTGAAAGAATGCAGGGGTCGTAATTTATTCTTCAGTACGGATATTGATAAAGCTATAGATGAAGCAGAATTGATCTTTATTTCTGTGAATACGCCAACAAAAACATTTGGGACTGGAAAAGTAAGTTGAAAAAATATAAAACAAAATCCAGCATTTAAAATATATGAAACATTTTATTACAAATTTGTAATGTATTATTAACATGTTCAAGACATTTAATAATTATTAAATATCCCACCAGAGTTTATTAATTTGTTATTTATCTATAGGGAAGAGCTGCTGATTTAAAATATGTGGAAAGTGCAGCGCGTATGATTGCTGATGTAGCCAAAGCTAATAAAATTGTTGTAGAAAAAAGTACTGTACCTGTAAGAGCAGCTGAAAGTATTATGCAAATATTGAAAGCAAACCAAAAACCAGGTTCATTATTTTGTATAAAACTCATAATATTGCACCACATATATAAAGCGCTTATAAAAAATATTTGTTATGTTTTTCTTTGTTTAAGATGTCAAATATCAGATTCTATCGAACCCAGAATTTTTGGCAGAAGGCACAGCCATTCAAGACTTACTACATGCTGACCGAGTGCTAATTGGTGGTGAAGAAAGTGAAGAAGGAAAAGAGGCCATTGAAACTTTATCTTGGGTGTATGAACATTGGATCCCTAAGAAAAACATTCTCACAACAAATACATGGAGTTCAGAATTATCCAAACTGGTATGAAAAATAAATTCTTTCGCACTTACTTGTTTTGAATGTGGGTTTCTTTATTTGTTACTGTTATTTTAGGCTGCTAATGCTTTTTTGGCTCAGCGTATTTCTAGTATTAATTCTTTATCAGCTGTTTGTGAGGCTACAGGTGCTGATGTAGCAGAAGTTGCTCGGGCTGTTGGCTTAGATTCCAGAATTGGATCAAAATTTTTACAAGCCTCTATTGGTAAATTATTACATTAAATTCTATCTCAAAATTTTTCTTCTAATATATATAGATAATTGAATAATTCATAGGTTTTGGTGGTAGCTGTTTTCAAAAGGATATACTAAATTTGGTGTACATATGTGAAGGTTTAAATTTGCCAGAAGTAGCAGCTTATTGGCAAAAGGTTATTGATATTAATGAATATCAGAAGAATAGGTTTTCACAAAAGGTATTCCGGTTAAATATATATATATATATATATATATATATATATATATATATTTATAGTTGATATATATTTCAGGTTATTGAGTCTCTTTTCAATACTGTTAGTGGCAAAAGTATAGCAATTTTAGGATTTGCTTTTAAAAAAAACACAGGTGACACCAGAGAAACAGCAGCGATTAATGTATCAAAGACTTTGCTAGATGAAGGGGCTACTTTAAGTATTTATGACCCAAAGGTAACAATTTATAAAAACTTGTTTTTGAATAATTTTTGAACAATTATCATTTTTTAGTTATTTATGAATATATCAATATTATGTAAGTCTTCATAATGTTGAATAATATTACAAATTATTTAATTTCAAATAAATTTGTCATATATTTTAAATTTATTACATAAGTGGATATAAAGTCATAAACAAACTAGTCGAAAGTTAGTTGAGTTTTAAAATTATAGGTAGAAGAGTCTCAGATCATGGAAGACCTGACTCATCCTTCAGTCACAGATTTTCCTGAAAATATAAGGAAAGTTGTGAAAATTCATAATGATGCATATAGTGCTGTTGAGAACACACATGCTATAGTAGTTTGTACGGAATGGGATGAATTTATAGTAAGTAATAATCATTGGGATATGAATTAATTTACTTTTAATTTTTTTTTAAGAATATTTCATTTCAAAATTAAAAATATATATAATTCATATATAAATAAAATTTTAATCTAATTCCTTTTTTGATTTTTTAAGACATTGGACTACGAAAGAATTTATAAATCAATGATGAAGCCTGCTTACATTTTCGATGGTAGGAAGATTCTAAATCATGAAGCTCTGATTGAAATTGGTTTCCATGTGCAGACAATTGGCAAAAAATTACAGCGTACACTTTCGCATAGAAGCTGGGGCCATAAAGCACAATCATAAATAAGCTTGACGAAAATTATGATGATGGATAAGTGATATATTATACATTTTTAATTAAAAGAACAACACATTGCATTTAGCCCTTGTTGGGAAATTTAGTTCATAAATGTGATTTTTGAAGTTTACACAACTATAGGAAAAAATGCAATTGGCATTGTTAATTGACAAATATTTGATCAAATTATTTATCTAAAGACTTAGTTTTAAACCATATTTCTTCCAATAATGTAATTGTGCAATACTGATACAAATTTATTAAGCAATCGAATATATTAAATAGTAATTAAAAGTATTACAAGTGTATTATAGGATTATATGAATGTATACAGCAATTGTTAAAAATAAAACATAATTATTAGTGTGTTTTTTAAATTTAGTGTATCATTTATTGAAATAAAATTGGTTTATAACATTTAGTAATAAATGGACCGTAAGACTAGTCTTACTATTAATACCATTAATATTAATAGCCATTTTAAGGCCTTTGAATAAATTAATATTTAACTTATATTTTATATTCTAAAATTTCAAGGCAGCTTCATTCAAAATTTCTTAAAATGATACTATGGGGTAATTTTAAACTTGCAACATAATGAATATTTATATTATTTACGATTGTGTCAGAATCGTATTGGATTCATAATTACATTATTACTCACCTAATTAATGCAAAAGCCACAACTATTAATTTAATATAGGTTTAATATTAATGCATTTTGAGTGTCCAATACGTATTATTTTTAAAATAAACAAGACTAATACATTGTTTATACTTTAATACATTTTGAAATGCCACAGAGTATTCTCAACACTTGAATTTGCACACAATTGAAATAAATTTACACAAATTTTTGTTGCAACCATAATACACTTAATACTTGCTTCGCTCTCTAACATTATATGAATTTCATAAACGGCTTATTATTGTTACAACCATAGATAAAAGAAGAGTATTAGTAAGGTTACAACTTCCTTATGATTATTTAATCGTTAAAAATCTGCGTTCGATATCCAGTTGGACAGCTACGATTCGGCCATCGCCAATAAGAATCATCGACACGTTCGAGACGTTTTTCCTAGACAATATTATTAGAATCATATTAGAATATGATATATCCTAGACAATATAATAATATTGACAATATGATAATATTGATGATATATTCACATTATCTAATAGATGATCGTTCGAAACGACAAGAATTGTCAATTTTGGCAAATTGAAATGTATCTGTTCTCCTGGCAGATCAACTCATACCAAATGAATGAAATAGTAACCATATAGTAACATTAAAATTGAATTATTATCTTAAAATTGTAATAACGCGTTATGATACTCCAATTGGAATGCTATGATTCGTAGAACTTTGAATTGTAATCAATGATCGCCAACGTTTGAATTTAATTTATTATTTAAGTTCAATGAAAAATCGCAATTGTCATCCCTGAGATTCCAACCGGGTCTTTCAGAATGCCGCATTACAGAGGAGAGTCTAGGGCTCCAACCGTTTAAGCCCTAGTTTAAGCCATGAGAGTTCGAAATTTCCGACGAATACTTAGGACATTCTGCGAATGTATTGACGATGACGATGACTATGAACGAATGATCAAGATCTAGCACCGGACATAATGTTAAATTTAAAAAAAAATAAAGTATCACACTGGGGGGATTGATGATGATTCCATTTGATTCTAGGGATCTTTTCCAATATTCTGGCAGGGCGTTCAAGAATGAGAAGGTTATTCATTTTTTGCCCAGGGAGTAAAAAATAGAAATGTTTAGATTTATACTTCAATATTTAGATATATACTTCAATTTTAAACAATTTAAGTTTATATATTTCATCAAAATAAATTTACATTCTAATTAAAATATTCTTGTTAAGTAAATAATAAAAAAGAATTGACATTACTAATAATAAAACAATCACATTTATCCAACAATAGGTATCCATACTAAAAATAATATATAATGAGGTGTGGTGTATTTATTCATTTTCATTTAAAATTAATTAAATGCTTAAATTTATGAATCGTCCATTGGTTCAATAAAAGTGTCACCGTCTGCACCAACATCCCCACATGAGGTGTATTTCTTACGTAGCTTCTCATAATGCTTTTGCTCCTAGGAAAATAAAAAGTGATATTGTAATTCAACACTTCAGTATATGAGACATATCCTAACATATAAAATTAGTAATGTAAGTATTACAAGATTAATTTATACTTATTGCTATTACCTCTGATGTTACAGAAGGTCTAAGAGTACTTAAAGCGCTCAAAAAGTGATTTTGTTTAACACACAGCTGTGAATTGTCTTCACTTTTAGTATTATGTCTCATAGATTCACGTAAAGCTTGCATGCTGGCCTGCCGAACTAAACCTGCCAAATCAGCTCCTGTATAACCATTGCACTGGTCTGAGTTTGCAATTGTTTGCAGATTGACATCAGAATGCATTTTCGGCTTTGTGCCATTCTAGAGAGAAATATTATTGATATAATATATATATATATATATATATATATATATATATATATATATATATATATATATATCTATATATATCTATATATATATATATATATATATATATATATATAGTATATATGGATCTGAATATATTTTTTCACTTTACCTTTGTTATTGCTTTCAATATCTCCAATCGATCTTCAGCTGTAGGCAAACCCACATAAAGAACTTTATCAAGACGGCCAGGTCTCAAAGCAGCTGGATCCAGTATATCAGGCCTGTTTGTGGCCGCCATTAAAAACACACCAGCCCTGCCTTCAATTCCATCCATTTCTGTTAATAATTGATTCACAACTCGTGAAGAAACTCCACCATTCTATAAAGAGAAAAGTTTATAAATGATTTACATTAACTTGAAAATTAATAGCAATTTTTGTTTTAGTTTTAGTACCAGTGATGAACCTGATCTTCGTGGGCAAAGGGCATCAAACTCATCAAAAAATATTACACATGGTGCAGAATTTCTTGCTCGTGTGAAGCATTGTCTCACAGCCCTTTCACTTTCTCCCACATACTATAAAAGAGGAAAAATAACATTGTAATGAAATGACATATAAATGTATTAATATATATATTATTATTATCTCACCATATTTAATAGTTCAGGTCCCTTAACCGATATAAAATTAATTCCAGCTTCATTTGCTATAGCTTTTGCAATCAAAGTTTTACCACAACCAGGCGGACCACACAACAGAACGCCACTGGGTGCAGTTAAACCAAGAACTTGCAGTCTTTCTGGATATTTTATTGGAGCCAAAATAGCTAATTGTAATTCCTGTCTAATGTCTTTTAATGAACCTACTTCATCCCAGGTTACATTAGGTACCGTGATGAAACCTTCACGTTTTGCTGAAGGCTGGACAGTCTTTAGAGCCTTTCTGAAGTCCTAGAGGATGAAAAAATTATATATATATATATATATATATATATATATATATATATTGTGAATATTTACCTGCATTGTTATAAAAGTATGTTTCAATTGTTGTGTATTTAAAAGGGGTTCTTGATCATCTAGCCAAGCTTCCATTTCCTGCAAAGTCCACTCAATAGCTGGCTCATTTACCCCATTTTTACAATTGTTATCAGCTGAATTATTACTAACCACAGACATTTGCTCAATATCATCATCAATTTTTATCTCAACATTATCAATTTTGATTTCAGGTTCAGGTTTATTAGTTTTATCTTCTTCACTTTGTTCTTTTTGGTCCACACTGGAGGATTCAACTTTGGTATTTGAACTGTTCTCCTCATCAGTTTCCTTCTTAGGTGGTTCAGAACTATCTTCTGGCTTCAAAGTTTTATCATCTGTTTTGTTTTCTTCACCAGGAGATGAAGAACTTGTAATTACTACATCATCATTAGTTGATTCCACCTTATCATCATCATCATCTAAATCAATAGTTGGAGTTTCTATATCTACAACATCTGATTTTTTATTTGTTTGTAAATCTGTATGATCCAAGTGATCCTGAGATTCATCTAAAATTTCAACTACCGAATCCGCATTCTGAGATTTCAATTCTAAAAATACCCTGTAGGAATAGATGTAGTGATATAAAAATCTTAGAATATTGTCCAACAATGTAATTCCAGTACCTTTTGATAGCAAAGGAAGCTGCTTTATAGCTCAAAGCAACAAGATCACCACCCACATAACCAGGAGTCAGCTGGGCAAGAAGTCCAAAATCGAAACTTGGTTCTAGTTTTAATTTTTTGCAAATAACTCTAGAAAACAAATATATATATTAATTTAAAATTATAAAAATTTAATTTGACTTTGACAAATACCTCAATATGCTCGCTCTGGAATTGCAGTCAGGGATTCCCAGACAAATTTCTTGGTCAAATCTTCCTACTCTACGTAAAGATGGATCTAAATTGTCCACACGGTTTGTTGCACCAATAACTAACACCTAAACAATTTTGCACATTAAAATACAACACATTGTAGTTTTATATTGAAGCATCTGAACGTTGTTTACCTGATTCACTCCTTCTTTATTATCTAACCCATCAATACTACTAATCAATTGTGATACAATCCGTCGGTCCATATCCTTTTGAGCATTAACACGATTTGATGAAATCACATCAACTTCATCAAAAAACAGAACACAAGGAGCTAGACAAGAGGCTTGCTCAAACACCTCACGAATCCTTTCTTCTGTTTCTCCAGAAACACCGGCAACTAATTCAGTAGATGCTATGCTTATCATTGGAAAATCAAGTTTCTAAACAGTAGAAAAAATAATAAGATAAATAGAAGAATATATTATGTGTCAGATAATATATTGATGATTACCCCAGCAATAGCATGCGCTAGAAGTGTTTTACCACAACCAGGTGGTCCATGCAATAAAAAACCTCTTGGTGGTCGTGCTCCTAGTTCCTGATAGATTTCTGGATGTTTTATATGCAACAGAACATCACAAAGATCCTAAACAATAAAATATTCATGTTAATAATTAGCATACGTTAGTTTAGTGTATGTGACCAGTTACCTTTAATATATGCTCAATTCCACCAACATCACAGAATGAAACTTTTGAATCCGTCACAATCTCATCAAATTTCCTTTTCTTCTGTTTATTTTCAGCTCTGTCAGGAGTTTTTCTTTTCTTGCTAACATTATTTGAACTCTCTGGATAACCATTATCCTTTGGAGCCCTTGTCTGATCAGATTTATTGGTTGTATTAGAAGTTTTGCCTGGATTTGGTACTTGCATGATATTCAGATCTATAAAACATAATATAAAAACATTCAAAATACTTCATAAAATGTAAAATAAAAGAAATAGATGTATATAGATAAATCTGCTGTCCCACAAACAATATTATTAATAATAAATACCTGGTAAATTATATTTCATTCTCTTAGCAATTGGATCAGTAGCCGGAACCATTTTAGTACTTCTATTGCAACTAGTAATCTGTCCACTTTCTTCATCTGTAGAATCACTAATATCAATAAGTTCGCTATTTTCCAACTCTGTTGATGGTTGGCTAAAACTAAATAAGTATCTGCGTATTAATATTATAAATGATAAATATTACAATAAGTACATACTTTTGTGTCGGCCTGGAATACAGGTTGTCAATTGTATTTTTAACTGCATTACTAACAGGTACTTCCTTAAATATAAAATTAATTAATAGAAAATAATTTTTGAGAGATTAAAATCTTGTATGTACCTCAATCATGTGCAAATCATCATCAGATAATCCTTTATCTGATGAGGAACTGTCCAAACCATAATTGTGTAGCACAGTTTTATAAGCTGAAACAATGAACTTAAATATAAATGGCTGATATACACAAAATCAATATGAATATAATTTCTAGAAAAGATTTCATGTTCCATCTCTATAATTACATTCTCCAAAAGGACATTTTTGATAATACATTAAATAAATAATATGTTACAAATACCAAGCTCAACCATGTAGCGAAAAGGTCCTTCTTTCCTTCTACTATACTCTACATATTTGTTTCGAAGGTACTGAGTCATGGATGGCACATCTACGTATGTTTGATCCAAGTGATCCTCCAAATACTACAAAAGAATATTTGTTACAAGGAATACAAGTTCAAGCGTTAATTTATTAAAAAAAAAATTATACACAATTTACTATGTATAATTTAGTTAAATACAATTATTATGACCGGTTACTTACTTGACGTACTCTTGGTACGAGCGTGTGATCACTAATTATCGAATGCGGTTTATTTTTCTTCATCGTTTTGACCAATGAATTAAAGTGAGAATCACGGAGCTTTGAGCCCACAATTTTATTTATGTCACCCATGAAGAACTTAAGGTCGTCCAATATAAAACTTAAAACAACTTAAATCGGTACTGATCTGCTTCAATTCAATTCACATCTCTTACACGGGTTTCTTTGTTTAATTATCATACGTGTTTAATAAAAACTTTTATTTAGTAATTAACTCAGATATCCAACTATTAATTACTGAACAATATTTACAATAAGTTTTGTAAATTTTTAGACATTTTGGAAATATTCTACAGCACGAACAAGTATCAACCATAAAAAATGGCACGACAGTGTTGCCATATACCACATAAAATTTTGGCTCGAAATTTGAAATGCAATAATTACAGCATTTAAAATTATATTATAAACGTGTAAAAACTAATACTAATAATATATTATAAAAATAAAATAATATATTAAATTATTATAAAAATAAAGTAATATAAAAGTGTAGAAATTAATACTAAAGATAAACTTAGATTAATAATATTTAAATAGCTAAAATCTTGCTAATAAATAAACAAACATTATTATTATTTATATTCAAACATACATATTATATATATATATATATATATATATATATATATACATACATATTATATATAATTACCAAATAAAGTGTTGAAAATCTGAGTGTGTAGTGTTCATATTTAACATTTAATATTTGTTACACTCATATCACAAAATTTTATAATATATATATATATATATATATATATATATATATATATACGTATATATACTATTTATTTACATTATATTTAAGACAAACTCTCCTTAAGGAAAAACAGCCTCAGTTTATTTTATTTGCAATACATTACTATAACATATTAGCAAGAACATTGACATATCAATAATTTGATACCAAACATTTTCAAAATGTATTTAATATTATCTGTTATAAATTAATTCAAAGCTAGAATAATCGTCTCTTGTGTCTATGTGAAGAAGGCCCCAAATCCGAATGTTCGTTTCATGCTCTCCCAGTAATACCGTTCCCAATTAGCAGTCGTGATTTCAACTTCAGATTTAGGAACACCTACTTGTGTAATGGTTACTTCAGTATGATCGGTTTTCTCATCAATATCAATTGTAACTTTGGAATGATGCCCTTCAGGCCACTGTTTGTATCTCCAGGTCTGCACTATTTTTTTAGCTGGCACCAATTCCTGGAAAGTTCCAGTTATATTACCGCCAAACATTTTAAAATTACCACCTTTGGAAGCATCTAATTGTACAGCGCCTCTTGTGAACGCTGTCACCATTTCTATCCTAGTCATGGCATCATAAAATTCTTGTGCTTTACATTGAAATTTATGTTTGAGATTTATAGTAGTAACATCAATAGTGCAGGGAGATGATTTATTGGATTCAATAGGTACCATATCAATTTTTTTATTAAATCCACTGGTAATACTAGATACGGCATCAGGTTTGATTTTAGGGTCATCCTTTCTTGGTAGTATCATGCCTTTAGAAAATTCTTCTTTCAAAGAACTTACATACAAACCGAGTTTGTTGCGTATTTCTTCACGTCCAACATTGTACATGAAAGTCTTGAGTTTATCGGCGTCAGAACCAGTAGATTTAACTGAAATTGATATATCTACTTCGGACACATCATTCTCTTCGGACAAATTAGGAATTTTAACTTTGCCTTCAATGCTTTCACCATCACCAACAGTGCCTTGCCATTTTAACACAATATCCCATTCGTAGAAGAAAATCAATTTACCTTTTCTATTATTTGCGGATGCTTCGCCTTCTAACGTCTCCACTTCGCTAATGACGCAAGACATGTCGTCCCGTTCAATTTTTAGATTCTTCAATAATTCTTTTAAGCGATCTTTAGACCAAGGACTTGCATTTTTCTCAGTCCAATGCCAATTATTAACATTCGTTGCATCTGGTCTTTCCTCCACAATCCAGCGTGGATCGCCTTCGCCCCATTTAGCCATAATTTAATGCAAACAATCGACAACAAATTAAACGCACTTTTTACGATCAATTATATGGTAAATGTCCTGCAAAATGCACAGAATGGCAATTAGACGTGCTGATTTTCTAATAAAGAGACTTCACAGCGTTTTAATATTAAATTGATGTATCTAATGTCAAATAAACGTGAGATTGAATCCTAAATCGACTGCCATAACCTGAAATTTTCTCGTATTTTCTGAGAACTGAGAACGTTTCTAGATATTTCTATTATCGACCCGTAATGCTGCCATCTCTTAAAGATATGGATTATAGTTTCAATAAATAAATTCAATTACAAACGAACACATAATAAATAATTTTTGAATTCATTTATTATATGTAAAACTATATACAAAATAATTACATACTATTTCATTTCCACTGTCTATAATTTGTACATCAAGTTATATCTTTGTGTGTTACAAAATGTTGTTCATTAGTTAATAGTAAAAAATTAAAAATATAAATAGATTATTTATATTACTATTATTATTACTAGTTTTAGTTGTTGGCATTAACTTGTCAGGCATTAAATTTTGAGAAAAAAACATACTTTTCTTGAAATTTTCTATATCATTCCATATATAAAATTCATTTCTCTTTGAGTACAAAATGTTGATGTATAGTTTTAGTTCAAAGTCTGGCTTGTCAAAGAAATCATTACAAATTTTGTGCAAATTTGTGAAATATTTCACCTGTATTAATGAAGTTGGCAGGATTAAATTTACCTATTTCAAAATAGTACAGCATTAAGTGTCCACTTCAGTGTAGAACATATGTAATAAAAAAATTGCAAATATTAATCATAGTTCTGTCCATAATGAATACTTTATTATATGAATAATGTTATTTATTTGGAAGCATTTCAGAATAAGACATAGGAACCCCACGACGACCAGGAACGGCCAATTGAGGCTGTGTCTCACCCAATTTTTGTTCCAAACCAGTCCAAGATCTTTCTGATAAAGCTGAGTCTTTCAAAACTAAGTCCTTATTGCTACATAGTCCTACAGCATTTGTAGAAGATGAGGAAATGTTGTCTTCAGTTGATAGTATTCGTACTTGTCCAGTGACAAGACTAATGTCATTAATTTTTAAGTGTTTAGTATCATATGCTTTAAAAAATGTACCATTTGGTAGCAGTTGAGGAAAATCAACAATGTACGATACGTCATCTCTTGTCCTGGAAGGATTCAGTGCCAAATCCAATTCAAATACTGTAATTATAGGTTTATAAAAGTCTCTATCATTATAAATTGTATTCTCTGGGCAACTAATGAGAACAAATATATCAATTTCTGGAAAATTAGCTAGTTTAGCTGAATTTGGTTTACCTACTGATATTATATAAGATTTTTTATTCCAGTCTTTGCATAATTTCTGAATATACTCTATAGCTTCTAAGTATCCATTTAAAGCTAAGGTACAAATTAATATACCAACAGTTTTAGCATCTTTACATTTTTCAACCAAGTACATTCTTCTTTTCAACCATCGTGAGTCAACTGGAGATACATGTTTAAATTTATCATCATCATATACAAGACATTCTTTTAAATTGTATGTAACTGATAAATTGAAAAAGGATTGATCATCGCTTCCTATATAAACATATTTAAAATCATCTTGCAAGGGTTCATTAAAACACCGTCCAAGCGCATGCTTTCCTGATAAATCATTGAGTGCTAATTGACTAATCATAAGATTCTCATAATCTTTTAAATATTCTGCTATTTTACCTATACAATGGTAATATTTTACATCATAAAAAAGTACAACTTTAGTTTTAACATCCCGAAAACTTGATTTCCATTCAGTTATAAATTTGTCTACATTCAAAGACTTTTTATCAAATATATACAGTACAGGTAATCTTTTTGAAGAGCTTAGACAAGCATGTCCATAATGTATTATTGCATCTGATTTTACATGTTCAGCAGCAATTTCGTCAACACAACAGCTCCCATAAGAAGTATCACCCAAAATGTACAATTTACTTGTAACTTTTTGTTTCAACTGTAAAAGTATCTGACTAGTGTCTATAAGTAATTTATCTGGAAATTGTAGGCAAACTGTGACGAATTTATTTGTGTTAATCCAATCTGAACATTTTTGTATTTCATATAGTTCCTCGACGTCTTCTAATTTTGTCTCTTGAATACTATCGCAGTCTTCTACATTTTTATGAAGACTTACGTCTTCTGATGTACTAAATCCTGACATAATTATTTAGTAAACAAAGTAATATGGTTTCAAGCATAAAATAATATTGAAGCATGGTGAATAACCTCAGCCATGTTCGTAAAGAACTGTCAACATGTATTGTTACCAACGTACAAATTGTTATTACAGTAATAAATGTTGCAAACTGCACAATAAATAACAGTTATTTTCAAATTGAATTCTTTTAGTATTCAGGGTAAAGGTTTAAACTATTTACTAAAAATACGTATATAATATTTTACTTTCGGTATTTTATTAGCAAATCATATATTAACTTAAAAATAAATCACAATCCAAATATAGCTACAAATATATACACATTTGCTATAAATCTTTAATATCTATTTGATATTGACATATCGACAGACTTAACATAAAAACGTTAGCAAGTATTTTTATAATTTTGATTATTTATCATATATCATATCAAACATAAACTACTCACCATATTTTATTTAAATTTAAATTTAAATTTAAGTATTTATATTAACTATAACACAAATTGATAGTTAAACATTGTGATGTAAAACTTATCAATAATAAGAACTAATTAAAAATTAAAATATTAATATTTAATATAAATATCAACAAATTCCAACTATATTTACGATATATATATATATATATATATATATATATATATATATATCTGTGTATGTGTGTGTGTGTGTGTGGTAAAGAATGTAAACTTATCTAAAATGTTTAGTACATTTGAATATCTATATAAATATATTTATCACAATATTCCTATTTTCAATTTGGTTAAAACCTGACGTTTACATCTTTGGGTGATTATAATATCTATAACATATATATGTATTCGTATTAAGTATCTAAATGGTCACAGATAAAAAATAATATATTAAATATGAAGCCGAAACAAGTCTTTTCAGTTATAAAATTTGGCAACATTTCATTCTAAAAATATCAAATAGAATTATGACAATTTTTAAGACTTACATGCTCTGCTGAGCCAAAATATTAATAATAAATAGTACACTAACTAATCAATTATATAAAAAAATGAATAATCTGCATCATGTCACCAACATATAATTGTTGAGAAATTTTTAGGATTAATAATATGTTAAAATTTTGGATTTTACTAAAATAATATATCTCACTTGTAAAATGACTATAAATGCCAATGTTATAGTCTGGTGACCTCTGAGCTGGTAGCAATATTAGCTTGAGATCTTGGTACAATGGAATAAAATTCTTTCTGTGGCTCTTTATCACTTTGCATGACAACCAAACCATTTTGACAACTGGGATTATCCAAAAACTCGCATGATATTCTGGTATAAGATCCATTTGGATTGAAACTGTTGCCTAAAAGACTCTCTGTTGATTTCGTCGGATGGACATAACGATTTTCATAAAAGTAATGTTCACCATTATGGTTATGGGAATGACATTTATCAGCTAAGACTCTTTTATGCTGTTTTATTGTATCCAAATACCCATAACCATAACCATAACCACCAAAAGCTTTAGCTGTTAAGTTATCCCAAGATTTTGAAGGTTTTGCTTGCACATAATGAGTAGTTGTATAGACGGGTGCATTTGAAGGATTGGCTACACTATACCTGTTGCTACGACAAGACCCTGGTCGCGATTTAACAGAATGATGTCGTACTGGTGGTGGATCTGCTGGGTTAAAAGGTTCCGAATATAATGTATCTGTACTTAAAGATGTTGTGCAAGAATGCCCTGATCTTGAAGTGTCTACAGAGGCACAACTGTGCAAACTGCATTGACTGACCAGACCGTTTCCTAAATGAAAATGCCTGGGTTTAGTGATTGTCACTTGAGATTTTGGTCGTGGAGGACGCTCTACTGAATTCACTTTGTCCTGGAAAAATAATTATATGTAAACATAATTTTTTGCAAGTGAAAAGATCCTATTACATACTTTATCTTTTTGTCTATGTTGATGTCTGTGATTGTGAGAATGATGATGATGCCTATGCTTTCTTCTTGTAGGAACACATCTTCCATCGCAGCACAAACTAGCTAAATCGTAAGCTTCTAAACTTGCAGTTTCATCAGCATCAACATCTTTAGTATCTCGCCTGAAAAATCATAATAATAAAGTAAAAAATCTGAATAATTAGAAATCAATTTTTTTAGCCATACCTGCAAGGATTACAAGTTTTATTAACACTTCCAATAACAGCAGAACTTCGAGTCGAAGATGATTGACTTGATTTCCTGTGTTCACTCCTGGTACGAGGTTGATGATCACTCGATGAACTGTGAAAGATATAGTAATTATAAATTTCTATTAAAGTTAGAAGAGACGTATTAAACATTTACCTAAAGTTCTCAGAATTTCCAGGTCTCAGCACATACGTTCTATAATCCGAATCTAAATATCTATATGCCAAAGTAACTGGGGGAATCTTAGCAACATCTTCCGTAGACAGGGCCGGCCTGCTATAGCTTCCATTTTCCACCAAACCATTTTCAACCACGGACGAATTGTGATTGGAATTTTTCTTTCGTGCTGGGAGGGAATGAGTTTTCCATTTTCCTTCCACAATTTCTCTTTCACGAGCGCACAGACGATCCAGTTCTGCCATTTTGTTCTGAAGGACTCCTTGGAGTTGGATGTATCTGATATGGAGCTCCACCTGATAATAGACAGTAGATGGTAAATAAGGCTTCAGTATTTTATTATTTTAACTTATTGTTTCACCTTTCTGACGCAGTCTTCAAATAGGACAACTATTCTCATCCTAGACTCACAGCTTTTGATGAAAGCAACCAATGATTTGTGATCAGCCTTTTCCATATCAGTTCCATTTATTGATAAAATCACATCACCCTCTCGCATACCTAAAAAATGTATTTTTATAATATCTAAATTTATAATAAAGTATTATAACGATGCGTAATTAATTTCACAAGTTTTTTATAAAAATAAAATATAGGCCAATTGCAAATGTAATTCAACATCTTAACTAAAAAGCTAGTGGTAATTTTATTATTATATAAATTTTGTTTCACATACTTTATATAAAAAGATATACTGTGCTCGATTTAACTAAATGCTATATGATAACACCAGTTCAATAACTAATAGTCAGAAAAAAAACTAGTGAAACGCGTCCTTTTTTTGTAAATAAATAATAAATAATTAAATGTTTTAATTGTCGATTAATACTTTTTACGACTAGCTGTCACACTATCTCATTTCTACACAAATTTTTCTACCAGCTCTTTGCCTAACTCATTCGATGCAAAACAACATTCTCTTTCGCTCAACATTTGTTAAAAATACTAAAACTGAATCATTACTGGTTGTTGTTTACTGGAAACTTTACGATTTACTAGGCAAGCACAAGCTGTCGTCGAGTAGACTTCCAACAAAACAAACCAGCTTCCTCCATTTCCCAATTTCTAATCCATTTTTTCACCTGCTTTGTAAGCCGGTCCGTCGTACTCCACGTAGTCGACGTAGGTGATCATCTCTACTTCCCTTTGTCTCCTGTAGTGTATCCCGTAGCTTTGTAAAGTGAATCCGTAGCTTCCGTCCTCGGGCCTCCTTTCTACGATGATGGTCCTCCTCCGTCTGTCCTCGTCTGGACGGGTGACCGCCACCCTGTCGTTCTGCACACGCTCCAAGATTTGAGCCTGCGGGATGGAAGAACATGTAATGTAGTAGATATATACACACACACACACACATATATATATATATATATATATATACTAGCAAACCCCGTTTCGCCACCAGATGGTTTCGTGGGAAAGATGAAGAAATTTTTTGTTTGTTTTATATTTGAAAAGGAATAATTTGATTTTATTATACAACAGTAATGAATTTATTTCGATTACAAAAATGAAGTGTTTTTTAGTTGAAGTTCTCTAAGTAAATGAAAGTGAATCCGCAAATTATCCGTTTCATTGAAGTGCTCTTTGGTAAACCACATTTTTTGTTTTTTGGTCTGACGTTAACGCAAACAAAGCGGATGGTTTTCCAACTCGTGAACAGGCAACGTATAACTGCCCATGTGAAAAACAATGATTTTCTAAATAATCTATTTGGAATTTATCCCGCAAACACTAAGCGATTGGCCTTGCGACTTGTTATTGCGAACACAAAGCAAACTGGAAATTGCAATCGTTTGAAGTCAAACGGAAGACCAGTCGGAATCATTGGTATGTCACCAAATCGCCAGTAATTTTTGATTGAATGGTGAAATTCAGTGCGTGTACATCATTATTCTTTGCGGCAAGAATTGCTCGTTGACTTAACCAAGCATAATTCTGATAATTCTCACTAATGTCATTACTCGAATTTTTAAATACGGTGCGTGAAGTTCCAGCAGCTTGCATTAAGGCACGATGCCATGCACCACTAATTTTCTTAGCTATAAACCTTGCGGAGCCCGAGACCTTTCCAAGGAATGCAAAATTGGCGAAATCGGTTCGTGCGTTCTGGAGTTATTTCGTCAGGAAGGAAAACCCGACTTATTTTTATATATATAGAAGATAACAAATAAACTTTCATAGCAAATAGACTTCGCAATGTTGAAATCATTATTCTTAATATTGTGTTTTATATTCAAAAACTGAAATCTTATGTCGCAAATATCAGTAAAATTTATGCGTCGTTACGCAATCCACGCATTTGACAAGATGGTTATGAAAACCTGCTGATTGTGAACGCAATCTCTTCTTCTTCGTGGTATATGTGAAAGTTCTCTAAACTGCTTTGTTCCACATCAATGGACATGTAAATAGAATAACACAAACAAACACACCTACACACATGTAAATATTTACTGAACTGGTAAAATGCTACATTAGGTACTTGGCTTTCTATAATGATCAGAGATATGGAATCGTAAGATCGTACCTTCTAGTACCTTGCATAAACTTTCTCAAGAGTTTTGTAGTCTCTTGAACCAAAGTACATAATCAGTACGAGTTGAGATTTAGCAACTTCTAAATTGAGACGATTGAAATTTAAAAAAATCCAAATTCCTATAATTAACACACTTTTTCTATGCCCAAAATATTTCAAGATTATGAACCTGATCATCATAAATAATTTGATCAAAATCGTCGAAGTTTTTCCAACAATAATTTACAAAGAAACGGCACAGCAGATTTTACCAAAAACTAATCAGTATAATTCTTAAATAATATCTATTGAACGGTTTTTATATTTAAAAAATCGTTACAGATTATTTTGAGAATATGCAAGGCTTACAATTTTTTAATTTTTTTTTAAATTTTATTTGAACAGCGATCAGAACTTATGGGATCTATGAGCTGTTTTGATTAATATCTAACAAACTACGTTTGTTTTATTACAGATGACAACCCAAACAGTTGTCACATCTCTGTATGATAATTTTTTATTACAATCTCTGTAATAGGGCAAGTATGGTGCAACAATGCCGGGTGAGGGCTATTTTCACTTGGAAACATATTGCTATCTATATTTCCAAGTGAAAATCGTTGTCACTGCTGCCTGACAACAGGCTGCTCGAAGTGGGTATCGAACCCGGGACCTCTGAAACAAGTCCCGTCGCTCTTAACCGCTTACCTACGGGCGATGTTTTATTACAGATGACAACCCAAACAGTTGTCACATCTCTGTATGATAATTTTTTATTACAATCTCTGTAATAGGGCAAGTATGGTGCAACAATGCCGGGTGAGGGCTATTTTCACTTGGAAACATATTGCTATCTATATTTCCAAGTGAAAATCGTTGTCACTGCTGCCTGACAACAGGCTGCTCGAAGTGGGTATCGAACCCGGGACCTCTGAAACAAGTCCCGTCGCTCTTAACCGCTTACCTACGGGCGAGCTCAAAAAATTTTTTATATTGGTGCAGTCGTTCAATGATAAAACTGAATAAAGAAGTTTCATAAAAAGTAGTCATAATAAAGAAGTATTGTAAAAAATAGTAAAGAGAAGGACTCTGAAGAAAATCAGATCGGACTCATATTTGGAAAAGACTGCCACAGAATGATTGAAAAAACTAGAATGCGAATTAGATACAAGAACGTTAAGGTTCTTTCATGATTAAATGCTACATATGGAGGATTTCGAGGACCAGCAAAACGACAAAAAAGGAAGGAAAGGACAGTATTATCTGCAGGAAACTGGATCAGATTTAATTTGGACAAGAGTATTATATTAGGTACTGCAAACTATAGTTTAATATATTGACAAGGAAGGAGGAGAGGCAAATAAAATGTGTTTTTTTTTCAGGCAGAGAGTTTCCAACTATTTAACATTCACGGTACGCGAACGTTTACGTATGGCAGCGTAACAATCGGAATAAATTATAGAACAATTTATAAATTGAAATATATATATATATATATATATATACATATATATTCTGCACAAATTTCAATCAACTTACTTACTTGTTGGTAATATTTAATTAACTTCTCGTATGGTAAGTCCAAAAATCGAAATTGAAATTTTTGCATATTTTCACGTTTTGAATGTTCTGAACATACCTTAGAAAAAATGGATGTGTGTGTGCGCGTGTGCGTGTGTTTGTATGTATGTATGGATACAATTTTTCGTCCACGTTTTCTGGCGCACGGATCAACCGATTTGAATAGTTCAAATAACATTCGATTCCTAGGAAGATGTGCTGATTAGTTTTTGGCAAAGGGTACTGCCGTTTTAGAGACACGGAGCAACATGTGCAAAAAAATGGCAGTTTTTGAGAGAAATTAGAATCCGATTTGAATGATTCAAAATACTGTCTGCTTGTTTTTGCGAAACCATTGTTTTTTGGGAAAAGAAAAAAATATTTAATTTTTTTTTTGAACTCCAGAAAATGTTTTTAATATCGAAAATAATTCAGATTTTCAAAATTTTAATTCGGTAAAGGTAGTTGCAGCAATTTGCCTCAAGGCACGATATTATACACCACTGGTTTAAATTTAATTTTGCAAATTAAAAATGATTGTTTTTCGCAAATATGACTGTTAACCCAGTGCATTATAAAACATCAAAATGTGTTCTACATAAACTTGCAGTCCTTACTAATACCGATTCTAATGAACTTTACAGAACACATGTGCATATTCGTACTAAAATTTTTAATTTCTAAGATTGTAATTTTGTGTGTCTTGAAATTCTTATTTTATCACTCATAAAAAATCTAATGAAAACTTATCAAATATACAAAAAAAATATGAAAACTTATCAAATATACAAAAAAATAATTTTGCAAATTAAAAATGATTGTTTTTCGCAAATATGACTGTTAACCCAGTGCATTATAAAACATCAAAATGTGTTCTACATAAACTTGCAGTCCTTACTAATACCGATTCTAATGAACTTTACAGAACACATGTGCATATTCGTACTAAAATTTTTAATTTCTAAGATTGTAATTTTGGTGTGTCTTGAAATTCTTATTTTTATCACTCATAAAAAATCTAATGAAAACTTATCAAATATACAAAAAAAATGTATGATTTTACAACCCTACCGAATTTAATGAGCTCTTCAGGACGCACCGTTTGTACCACTGCATTTCAATTCGAATATATTAAACCGCAAAAATAATCGGTGTATTTAGGGAAAAAACTTGAACATCGATCGTACATAATATTTGCAGTAAGATTTATGTAAATGTTTTCTTTGCAAAGTGACTCACGATAATGTATGACGCACGTTGTAATAATTGTTTTCACGTCAAATAATATATTAATATTTACATATATATATATATATATATTATATTATATATATATATATACTATAGAAAGTTTAGGAAATACAATTTCCCAAGGCAGGTACGGGTAATTAGACTAGCAACCAGTCACCCATTTTTGCAATCTGTGTAATATAAATATATTTCATTTTAGAAAAAGCCATTAAGGAATCAATTTTGCACAATTCACACGTCCGAAATTACACTTTGCGTAAAATCTGTAAAAACCTACATTTTTTCTATTTCCAAGGTGATAATTGGCTTAGCGGATCTTCATTAGTAAAAAATAATACAATTATATACATACATACATCCATACATAAATGTGAACGCATATATTTAGTATAATTAATTAAATCATTAATTAATGCTCGTAATGTTATTATGCACTATTAACCAATCATGGTATCATCTTTAACTGATGCGACTGAATTTTGCATTTACAATATTTCTTGTAACTTTTAAACCAATCGGTATATATGAAATGATGTGTTCGGAAAATGTGTATTAAATTAAATTGTCTATATCATTGTTTAATAGTATTTTGGTATACATATAAACAGCGTTTGAAAATGAAAATTGCTGAAAATTTCTCGAACTGTAATATATATATGCAGATTAAAGTTCAGTTTGGTACTCGTGAAACGCAACATGCACAAACCAAAAATTACATTTATTTTATCTATACAATTTGTTATAACTATACCATTCAATTAATATAAATGTTGAACAAAAACTTGTTTTCAATAATAATTTATAAATAATACGGCTTCATAAAACACCACAAATCCCTGTAACAGCTCAGTCTACTCTAAAACCTGTTTAACAAAATTCTACTTTCATTTATACATTATATAGTAGATAACTTATAAACTATTTGTTCATCCTATAAAGTACATTTGGACAAATTCAATAAATTTATATAATAAACAACCAAGACGATAAAATATGATAAAAACAATGTCCGTAAAACAGTCTCCTAACAGGAATTACGTAAGAGAGGAAATTGCATTTATTATCAAACGGAAATCTAATTATTAATTAAATAAATTTATGATAACTGAATTATATATAAATATATATGTATACATATATATATATATGTATACGGATGTATGAATTGATACTCCTCCTAAACGGTTATTCGGATTTTGATAAATATTTTTAGAGTTTGTCAAGGGAAGATGTGAGGAATTATAAAACTACAGTAAATTGTAGAAATAAATGACAAAAATTACAAAAAACCAATTATCATTGTTTGGCATTGAAAACATTTAAACTGTCATCTGCTAGAAATGTCAATTCACTTGAAATTTGAATTTAGGTGAAATTATGAGCCTAGAAAATATTATAGTATAATATGCCAGAAATCAAAATAATGTAAGATACAGTCAACAGTATATGTTTGGCAGATGATTTTATATAATTCAGTTTAATAAATAACGCAATAAATCCAAAATTGCATATAATTTTTTTTTTAGATTATGCATGTTGTATTTTGCTTTATTTTACTGAATTATACTGAGTAATAATATTTATTAAATTATTAGAAAGAAAAATGTAACTTAGCAATTGTAATTGCCAAAAGACAATTAATTATAGACTAAAAATTATAGACTAAATTATTGAAGCAATAATTTTACCGCAGATACTATATTTTTTTTTTGAGTTTTATATACTGATAAAAACTGCATTTGCCAATACATATATAGATTATTAAGAGCATAAATGGAAGGACATTAAATAGGATATTAAAAAGTATAGGATAGGATATTAAAAAAATCGGAACCTAAATTGTAGACGTGGGTACAGGACGTCTGTCGGGTCATCTAGTGTATATATATATATATATATATATATATATATATATATATGTTTGAAATCGATCGAATTATACAATGAATGCAATTCGATAATGAATTTTGTTTATAAAAATTTTATGCATATAAACATCATCGGATATGAATTTCACACTTGCATACATATACATATTTATATATGTATTTATATGGGATTAAAAAAGTAGTCACCTGTATTGTTTACATGTCGATAATTTTAATATATTTATATATAGTATCGAAGATAAAAAGTTGAATTTTTTTAGAGTATATTTTTCATACACACTCAAATATATTTATATATATAAATGTGTTTGATTAATTCTTGGTTACTATAATTCAAAAAACATTTTTAAACATTTGTTTTACAAAATAATTTGCATTTTTTTTTTACTTTTTTATTAAATATTTGTATAACTAAATTAATAAAAGTAATTAGGACCAAATTTAGTTTTATTTTTTAATATGTATATATTTTAACATATAAATAAGTTTATAAGATATTAGAAACAAATTGTTTAAAATTATGAAAACTATTTCTTTGACCATAATAAACATTCAAAACTGAAAAGTTGGGTAAATATATTTTTTTTTTTGAAAAATTTTCTGATTGTAAACATATTTACAAATGTTTTTAGAATTGTTTTCATTTACCGTTTGTAATAAATATCAACAATTAAAATTGTATTTATATAAATACATTAATTTATTTCTTTTCATTTACTTCTACTAATAATAAAGTTTATGGATTTCAATATGTATATGTTTAAATAATTACTTTATCATTAACTTTCATTTCGATAAAATTTTCAATTTGTTTTACTTAAATATACTATTTGTTTAAACTGAATGCATAATATTAAACAATTCGATATGATTATTGTTTCTTTCAATGAAAAACCATTAAAATGGAGGGTTGTCAGTTTAAAATAAATTTTGAATCGGCAATGACTATATATATAAAATTTGTATATCAAAACGTTTAAAATACATCTAATAATATATTTAATGTAAAAACAAACAAATTGGATTATTATACGTGTTTTTTTTTAATAAATTCTATTCATGTCACTAAGTCTATAAATCAATAACAGACACGGCGCTCACACGTTTGAAAACATGAAAAATTTAGTTGATAATTTGGAACATATTGCATTAAATAATATTTGCTTTATCAACCTTGGCAAATGTAATAAATCAATACCATTATTTATAATTGTTTCCATAAACATACCGCGGTCGATTCATTATCCTCGTCCGCATACAAATCCAAATATCCTGAACAACTTCGCGAGCGTTCTCCCATTTTTTTTTTTAAAAAAAAAAACAAACACTTCAAGTTATAAATACATTTGTCACTCGCGCCATAAGAAATATAATACAATCATGTGATATAATTTTAGACTAGAAATGCAAGAATAAAAGTAAAATCGCAAAAAAATCACTAAGAAGACAGGGACGAGAAATACGCATGTGCGAAGCGCACAGGCCGACGGCTCGTGCTAGACTGAAGTGCGCACGCAGGAATCGGGTTTGAAATCGGAAATAAACATGGTGGGAGAAAACAACCGATTTGAAATATTCAAAAAGCATTAGCTTCCTATTGATAAGGAAACGTGGTGATTAGTTTTTGGTAAAAATCGGTCCAGCCGTTTCGTGGACACGGAGCAAAAATGAAGAAAATTATAATCAAGGGGGCGTCCATTAATTACGTGAGGTATTTTGGGGGAGGGGGTTTTGACAAAAAACATACGAATTATCACGTGGGGAAGGGAGGGGTATAGTAAGATATCACTTGTATTTATTTTTAACTGATTTTTTTTTTTAAAAAATCGAACATTTTCAAAAAAAAATCAAAAATTTTAGTTTAATCACGTAACTAAAAATACACGTGATGTTTTATGGCGGGGGGTGGTAATTTTGAATATCACCATGTATCACCAAGGAGGAGGGAGGTCCAAAAATCCTTAAAAACTCGCTCACATGATTAATGGACGCCCCTCAAGGTTTTGAAATAACGAAGCATCCTATTTGAATGATTCAATAAGCATTTCACTTGTATTGACGGGATTGATTATAATTTTTCAAAAGTAGGGTCCAGTGGTTTCGGAGATCCAGGAAAAAAAGTTTAAAAAACGCCATTTGACAGACCAAAATCAGATACTTTCGATAAAACTGATCAACCAACATGAATGAGTATCACAAACCTTCACAAAATTACAAAATTTTCAAAAAAAAAAAATCAAAGTTATAAAAATGTTTTTGTAAAATTAATAAGTTTTCAAATATTTTCAAATTTGTTCAAAATACAAAAATCTGAAAAGGTATCTAATTTTTCTTCAGTTTTTATAAACTTTAATTTAATGTACGGAAAGTTGCAGCAACTTGCCTTAACCCTCTGAGGACGAGCACCGCGCATCATCAAAATTAGCCGAAGAACTTCAATATACGTTTGGCGAAAGCAGTTGTTAGAGCCGAGTAATGCTTATATGTATCTTACCTAAATACATGTTGATGGCCGAGGAACTCAATGCTAATAAACCAAACTGGAGTGCCAAAAATATGCGTTGGCAATTTTTTTCGGCAGGAGCTCGGCACTACGGTACAGTTTACTTCAAACCGTCCCGTCTTCAAAGGGTAAGACAATGCCATGGACCACTAGTTAAAAGTTAATAAAAATCGAATATTAAGTTTTAATATTATATATATATATATATATATATATATATATATATATATATATATATATATATATATACCCGGGCGGCGGTAGCAATCTGAGGTCCACATTAATTATACATGGGTGGTCACAGCGCCGAAGGAATGCTTGTGGATTTCAGGTTGCTGCCGACGCTCACGTCACATGGGTGTTTACTGGGTATATATATTTGTGTGTTCTGAAAACAACCACTGATTGCCAGAAACATTTATTTCAATCCTAAACACTTGCATACACATAGATTAAAACCAACTTCACTCACACATCTATACACATAAATTTACTTATAAAAAACATTATTCAGCAATTCGTATATGAAATACAATTAAAGCTAATAAATAATCAAATAATATGGATATAAATGGAATAATATGTTACCTATGCACAATATGCAGACAAAAATAAACATTTTTTTCTTAATATAATAATTAAAAACATAAAATAACTCTTACTCAAACTTCTATTCACAATTTATATATTTATATTTAATAATTTGAATTATTTGTTCAGATACTTCACTATTAAAAACATAGTGCAACATTGTTTTGTTACATTATAAAAACATCTATTGATCTCCATGTTTAACTGTTTCTGTTTTTGAAAGAGTGCTGTTATCTTCGTCCTCTTCTTCAGCCAATTCAGAATCTTCCAGTTTTATGTTCGCCTTCTCATCACCTGCTGCCTTTTTATCACTGTATCTGAATCTATCATATCTGGAACGAATATATTTTTTTAAATCAGGTATTAATCTGTATTAGCCTGCCATTAGCCTTTTCATGGTTTATTCTGAATAAATTATATAGCAGTTTTATATGAAATAATTATTTTACCTAACACTAGTTGTTCTCGAGTCATCTTCATCATCACTAGATTTATTTGGCTCAACTTCCCTAAGAATATCTCCAAGATCCTTATCGACATCCGCCCAAAGCTTGTCGTCAACAGCATCCTCTTCATCCAGTGAGCCATTTTCTAGAGCATTTGAAATAGAATCCGACTTTGAAGTGTCCAAAATGCCATTGGATTCTTTCTCTTTATCTTTTTTGGGAGTGGATGTATTTGATATATTGATATCTTTCTCTACAAAAATAATTATCACTGATATAATGAAACACACCAAAAAAATTGTCATTTCTGTAGATTGAATTTTATCAAGTGGTACCCATTTTATCTTTTGTTTCCTTGGCTTCTTTAGCATCTTTAGCTTCCTGATTCTTTCTATGCATTTTCTCAGCTTGCTTTCTCAATTCTCTATCATCACGATGCCGGACATACCTCTGTAAGTGTGTTCTAGTTCTACAATGTTTCTTCAGAGCAGGCTCAGGTTCCTCTAGCCGTGGCAAATACATTTTACACAAATCACAGTAGTAAACTTCCACTTTACGAACATGTTCACTGCCTACATTTATCTCAGATTTCTTTTTCTTTGCATCTTTATTGGTTTCTGTTGAATCCTTGTTATCACCCTCAGTCCCTTCCTCATCATCATCTAAAAAAACACATACATATAACAAATACATTTAACAAAAAATTCAAATGGTTATTGGAATTAATTTTTTACCTTCATCAACATCACCAACAGAGTCAAGAGTCATAAAATTATCCAAATCCAATTCTTTCACGCCTTCATCACTACCAACTTCTTCATTATCTTGTTTTTTGTGTTTTACATACTCCAGATGAGCTTTATGCTACAAGAAGACAAGAATCATTAAAGTAACTGCTGACAATTTACTTATAATATTTAATCAAAATTTAAAATAAAAATCAAAAAACCAGTCAACTGTGATTGATAAATATACTTGTCTTAAGAAGTATGCTTGTCATGCCTATTTTTGACTATTGGCTATTTAGATTGCAAATTAAAAGGTAAAAAAACATTTTTAAAAATAAAGATATTTAAAATAATTTAACCCAAAAACAATATTTTTTATCAATTCAGATGACACAAAACTGTGCTCTCAGTTCAATAAGTGTGTTACAGTTAAATGGGTAAGCAATCTGGTAATGTGTGTGTAAATGATAATAAATGTGAATAAATGTTAAACTTACTTTTATGTGTTGCATTGAACAAATATGTACTTCATAACGCATAGGACTTGAAAAAGTCATACGACAAGTCCTACAATAAGGCTTCAAATACTTCTTAATATCGTTATGTGCTTCAGAAGCTTGATGTTCAGCTCTGAGTTGCCTATGAAAGAGTATTTCTTAGATTAAAATTCAATCAAATACTAACACAAAAATGAATTAATAAATAAGTACCTGTAATTAAGTTTGCAAGTAGGACAAAACTTTGTCTTTAAATAATAGTCCTCCTGATTCTTTTCATCGATCTCTCGCTGAGCATTCCTCTGTTGTGCGCGCATTTTGGCCAATCGAGATTTGTGACGTGCAGCTAAACGGCTCATATATGAGTTGTGTATTTTGCTCCTCAAATGGGTAACATACTCCTTAAATATAAAATGAAAAGCGTTAATTTTAATGTTCTAATTAGTATTCTAAATGTTATGAATAATTATGTTTGAGGAATAGAAACACTGATATTTTTCTCTTAAAGTGTACCTTCAATGTAGCACATTTTGTAGAGCAATGCACGCATGTCAACTTGACAAAAGAAATTCCAGGCACTGCTTTTGTTGTGTCATTTTCAGTTGCTTCCTTATCCTCGTCATCATCTTTGCCACTTTCCTCAGCGGCTTGTTCGTCTCCAGATTCTGCTTTTTCTTTTTCTGCATCATCGCCATGTTGGGAATCATCTTTTTTCTCAGACTTTTCCTTATAAAAAAAAGAAAAGTGTTTTAAAATAAATATAGTATAATTAAAGTATAATTTTGCTGAATAAGAAATACTACCTTCTTTGGAGATTTTTTCTTTGCAAGAGGAGATTGACTGCCTTCTTTTTCATCAGACTTTTGTTTTTTCTTCTGATCATCAGCATCAGCGTCCCAATCTTCCTTCTCTGACTCATTAGAGGAAGATTCACGTTTCCTTATAGAGCTGAATTACACAAAAATCAACATTAAACATTAATTCTTAATATCATTATAATCAATATCAAAATAAAAACAGCAAATTTTATTACATAATGGGGATGTGATAAAAATCAGCTACATTATTTTCTCAAAAAGCGTTTCTTGATTCTGATTATCTCTCAGATTTTCAAATATGGTTTGATGAATAATAATTCAATATCTCTCTGAAGAAATACCAAGCCAATTATTAAAAATTATCATTCATCTCGTAGGGTCTACAATCTGTTCTACAGGTGTTGTACATATAATTCATACAGGGTAATTGAACATTTTAGAACAATTCCTCTGCATTATTCTAAAATCACAGAATTCTAGCCCATTTTATTTTAATTAAGTTCTCATGAATTTTGTATTAAAACGCCATCGTCCGCACTGGATTTCTATATCCTCTCACCTTCTCAACTCAGGTTTCATAGAATTCTTTTTAGGAAAATCTCAAAATTATAAAAAAGTTTAACAACAAAATAACTATTCTGTCTGACATTACATTTAGCATCTCCATATCAACTGCAAAATGCATATTAAATTCTGTGCTTAGAATATTACAAAATGATACTTGCATAGAAAATTTCATAACCAACTATGGTACATTTCTATAGATATTTTTTTTTTATCAAAAAACTGTTGTGTAACTCCATTCTGTTAGTCTGAAGCTGCCTTTACACACTTCCCATAATTAGGACATATTTTGTTTGAATATTACCTTCTCAATTTCTGTATCTTTAGACGTCTGGCATAATCTATGTTCCTTACTCGCCTCGATGGTAACGAAATTGTAAGATTTTTACTTCGTCCATAAGGGTCCCTTCTAATAACGCGCCTTCCTCTGATGCCCCGTGAAGACATACGTCCTCTGAAAGAACCTCTGGTTCTAGGGGGGGGCATTGCTGAGGAATCAGCCGCTTTGCTGTACAGGGACCCTTCATTCCTTGAGGTAGCTCGAAAATCTTTTGGTGATCGGCCATGCCTTTCACTGCTATATCTGCGCTCTCCATAACTTGAGTTTTCATAACGCTGATTGCCATAACTGTCTCCTGCTGCGCCATAGCCCCCATCATCCATTCTGCGACCACTAGATCCCTACATCATTATTTAAGATTGTCATCACACCAAAATTACTTTCACAATTTGGAGGTGCATAGAATTATCGCCACGACATTTATAAATTTAGCTCAGCATTTTTAGGAAATCCACACCCCAAGGAGTCTGTGTGTTCAACAAATAATAGTGGATTTAAAGCCAAACATCGCAAAGGCTCTCAGAGAAAATATAATTATCACGCTGGTGATTTGAAAATATTAACATGATTGAAATGGGATTCAAAAAGTTAAGTAATAATTTATTCAATTGAATTGGCTTGTATCGCCAGCATGTTTATTATTCTATTTTTCGAGTTACCAGGTTTGAACAATAAATACAAAAAATGAAGTATTGTATGCAAGTTGGTATATATAGCATATCATTAGTTTTCATTCATGGCCGAAGTTTATGTGGATTATCTTAGTTCTGGCATAAATTTAAATGGCTGGTCATAATGGAACGCATTGATTTCAAGTTAAACTAGTACATTTTTCATTTCTCATACAGTACTGATACAGAAATTGGATGTCATAAACATGCAATGAATGAAACTGTATAAAATATATATTCAAATTTGCATTGTCTTCTAATAGAGCTTCAAATGACAAGGTAAACCCATTGACAGTTTTTGTTTTGGCTAGAAATGTGAGCCACCATAATTCATTATTGTTCTCTCAATACTTTCAATGCTTTCAATGAATTGAATACTTTCAATCAGTTTTCTATGAATAAATAGAAATTTTACCATTCCTTTGAGTAGCTAATGTATACCTGATCAGTTCTCATTCTTTTTCGATCCGGTGATCCTCTTCTTGAACCCGAATAAGAATCGTCCTAATCAACAATATTGATAGAAAACAAATATGAATAAAATGAAAATAAGTACAAGTCATCTTTTCTTTAAGTACTTACAGGTCTATATGATGAGCGTCTGTTGTAACTATCATCTCTGCCTCTACTACTGAACTTTTCAGAATTACTTGGATATCTAGATCTAGAATCTTGATAACCTCCAGATGAATAGAATTGTTTTGAGCGTAACGTCCACCACGTGATGAATTGGATGAATAACCACCTCCACGCTCACTATAAGAATTTCCTCCGCGATAACTTGAAGAGCCTCTATAAGAGCTCCCTCTAAAAGAAGATCGCCCTCGACCAGACATGCTAGAATTGAGATACCTACATGTTAGAAGTAGTAGAGAATTGATTTAAAACAATAAAAAGCAAAAGTTTATATGAATAATGCCATGCTCAGACATACACATACATCTCATGTGTGTGTGAATAACATTAAAAGGATGAAGTGATGCTACATAAACCCAAAGATTCAATTAACGTACCTTCCTCTGTAGTAGGTCATTGAAGAAGCAGTAACTACAACGAAAATATTATTTCAATATACAAATCAAGTATCAAAAACACGAAAGCAATCGTGTCGTTCTTTATAGCCATGTAGTCTAATGGAGGCGCTTAATCTACCAATACAAAAAAAAACAAAATTTCATCTCACCTAATGATATCTGATTATAGTAACACCCTTAAAATTATTAATTAAAATACACAAATTCCTTGGATAATATATTGCACTTGTATAACTGGAATAAAACTGTTTAACTAATTTTATATATCACTTCCAGCGATCAATATGCGACCATTTTGTTTTCACTTTTCCATTGTTTTGCGGCGCCCGGCTAGCTACGCACACGACACAATTTATTATTATAATGTTGGTATGCAATTAACTGGAAAGTTAATTCAAAAATTAAAATCAAATAAAATTGATATTAACTATTTATAGAACACTAAATATTATAGATAACAAGGAATTCAATAGTATTGAAGAATTAAAACGTTTTTTAAAAAATCATTTACTGTCAACGTTTCGGAACTAAGATTTGTTCACAATATAGATCAAATATTTGTTTTCAATTGAAAATCGCCCATTTCGTAAACTGCGGCGTAAAATGGCAGTGAAAAACCTCTCACACTATTCTTCCCTTAATCGACATGAAGCTTAATTTAGTCCACGAACCTAGAGCAGTAGCACTTGTATATGTAGAATATGAGTATATCATATTCTACTATTGTCTAGGGGCAGTAGTATCCATATTAGATATATATATATATATATATATATATATATATATATATATATATATATTATCAATTAATGAAATATCTATACAAAATATATATCCTATGCTGAAGGTTTACAATGGTTTCAAGTTACAAATATTTGTATCTGATATACTTACATAATAAATATGAAAAGCATGAAAACCTTCGAACGATATGTATCTAATTAGATTAGATTTTAAATTTAGTATCATGATTTTTTTAAATATTTACTTTTAAGTATGTATATTTTATTCTATGGTTAGGTTTTTCTAACATGACATCATCCATTTTCTTACCACAGTTAATATTACTTTAAAATATTTCTTGCAACTAAAAATTACATTTTATATCTCCAGTCTTTAAAAAACTTATAAAATCTTTTAATAATGAGATCATAGATTTATTCATTATAATACAAGTTGTTTTCAATTTTTCTCTTAAAAATAATATTTTATGCTGCCAGGCTTTACAATGAACTACAAACTATATATACTCGCAGTAAATATCACAGATCAATAAGTATATAATATTGCACATAAAATCCTTTTTAAAATACTTGCTTTGTTGAAACCAAAATGTCAAACAAAATCAGTCAAATGATCACAGAATCTGGCAAATAAAATTTGATTTCAATTATACTTAAGTAAAATAAATTGCTTTCTAAAACTAGCATGTGTGACACATTATCACTTAAATTACACTATTAAATTAACTGATATTTATTCTTGATATTTTTTACTTCATCTACTTGATATCTGATGGATGTATATGTCTTTCACCCTCATGCAAAAATATATTCATAGCTCGATACAAAAGATAAACTCCAAAATTTTTCTTTTCTTTAGATGACCAACTACTCGCAATTCCATAATATTCCCCTGATTTTAAATTTGTTAATTTCTTCAAAGTCAATGCATCAATCATGGCAGCTTCTCTAGTGAAAGCTTCAACAGGAATAACATGTTGGAATACATTTAAACATATTATACCTTGTCCAGATCTCCAAATATCTAGTATACGATTTATCTAAAAAAAAAAAAAAAACAACCTCTTATAGTACTCCATAACTACACATACTAAATGCTATACATTTAAAGTAACCTTCTTCCTTTCTGATTGTATACTTTTTTTCTCGGTTTTACACCATAATTCAACTGCCTCATACAAATGAGCGTAAGGGCGTGATCTCACACCTTTACCTACATAAAAAATGGAATTGATGAATATTGGCCAAGCTTCTTTCATAATGCCCATTTTATCCAAATTCATTACTGCTAATCTTGCAGGTAAATTATTTGTTATCCTGGGATCCATTAGAAGATATGTAAAGGATGCTTTCTGTAGACCTCCCCTCCATTTTTTTGTCGAATCAACATTTGAAAATTGTTTTGATACAGTTTCATCAAATGCTATTAATTTGGATATGTTTTCTATCCAGCTCACATCCTTCAGGGCTTTGGCAAGCTCCCACGAGTAAACTAGAATATTTAATGTATTATAAATATATATTTATTACTAATAAATTTATGACATATATAGAGAGCAAAGAAAATACTACCTACTTGATTTTGAAGAATGTTCAAAAGGTATTAATTCAATTATAAATTTGAAATGTAGATGTGACATGTTCAATTGTAAATTGAGAAAAAAAATTCAGATAAATAACGGCTAAATTATAATGAACAATATGTATAAATAATTAAAATATGTATAAAATTTGAGCAATAATAAAATTAAACAAATGACAAATTGTAAGGGTGAATATATGATTATTATAGATGCAAGTTGATTATATAAATCAAGATCATATACCATTTTGCAAATTTTCCTCAACATATCTCTCCCCTTTTCTCTTCATCTTAAAGATTTTTTTTATGTATACTTTTTTAGTGAATTTATTGATAGGCCCTGGAATCAAACCATATGCATTCAAATCTTTCCTCAAATTATCCGTATCATAATCTTCAGAATTTGGTAAAGAGTAATCAGTGCTCACACTGGTAAATGTATCCTCATTTTCTGAAACACTAAAAATAGATTAAATTTTATCTGAAAAGTGATTGAAGATTTTGCCAAATATATCTCTCACCATGGTTTCACCAAAAATCTCCGTTCCACTAATTCAGCACCAATTTCATCAATTATAAACTTTTTCTCTTCAGCAACTCCAACAAACGAATCTGACGTTAAATCTTCTATGGGATCAATTCTTAATCTACTTGGTGGTGCCAAATAATTCTTATTTCTTACAAACTCTACTTCAAATGTATTTCTCAAATCCACATCATGAGTTGTAGTACATTTTGCAATTTCATTATTTTCAATTGATTTCGAATGACTATTATTATCATAGTTTTGATGAAAATATGTTTATTTGTTGATGTATTAGTGACTGCATTTACATAATCACATATAGATAAATGATTTTGAATATCAGATTTCAATTTTTCAATTTCCGCATCAGTGATTGAAGTACTATCAATTTTATCACAATTTGGACTTTCTGAATTTAAACTGTTTCTTCTCTCAGTATTATCCAGAATTTTTAGTAATTTTGAATTTAAAAACATTGAATTCTCAGTTTTAATGTTTGATGATTTATCATTCATACCATTTACCAATGATTCTGAATCATGCTTATCAAATTTTTTTCTGCGACTTTCAAACCAATTTGATTTGTTCATTGTCAATGCAGGAGGTGGAAAGTATTTTACAAAATCTAATATGCTGTTAAACATGGATTTGTATGGTTTTCTTATAGTAACATTTTTAAATAAATCAGGATTAGTTTGATAAAGAGAAGAAGTAGTATTTTGTGACAAATCATTTGATATATTTGAAATACAGGAAATCTCATCATCACTTTGCAAATATTTACTATCTTGAAGCATAGACACATTAGCTTTACTACTTAAACAATAGATACCGCTTACAAAATGGTTTAAAGAATTTTTTGACCGCGCTGAAGAACTGCCAACATCAATTGAATTTGATACCAAATTCTCATTGCATATTGATACAATACTTTCATCATTTGAAATGATGCTCAAATTTACATAATCTTCAGGAATAATATTGTTGCTTCGTTGAGAAGCAGCATGAGAAATATGTGACTCACATGACAAAAAAACATTTGAATTTTGTGAAGGGTAACTAGTTTTATCTGCAATAGTCAAAGCCACATCACTACTGTTTTCAGTACATTCAATTATTTCTGATTGTATAAAAGGGGTTTCATTTAATAAACCAGTATTGCCTGGACAGCTGGCATCATTGTGTGATTCAACACAATCATCTATAATTTCAATATTATTATTCAACATTTCATTGAATAATCTTGACACATCTGAAACTTTACCATTTCTGGCATATTCTTCAAAACATTCATTGACTAAATTGCACTTATTATCGCTTTCTTTTTCAATTTCTGAAACAAAAAAGCATGTAATAATATATATATATATATATATGTATATATATATATATATATATATATATATAAATATATAATATAATCATACCTGGTGAAGTTTTATATGTAAGTATTGTATGTATTATACCAAGGTGTCCTTCTTTAAGAGCATATGCATAGCAATCTAGGCCATCATCATCTCTTATAAATGGATCACCTCCTTTCAATAAAAGTAGCTTGAAGACATTTATTCGTCCCCATAATGCACAAACATGCATTGGTGTCAATCCTTCAGAATCTCTAGAACAATAATGATGATACATATATACAAATAAATGCAAACTTAATTTCAAAAATAATACTAATCCTTAGAAAAAGTCGAGATGCGATACATTTTTAATTAGTTGAGTTTTAACTAAGCATTCAACTGAATTTTTACTATAGAATTTTGTTTAATTAATGACTATTTAAAAACCTTAAATTGGGATCTGCCCCATAAGTAATACAATGGTATGCACAGTTCTTTGCAAACTCTTCACATTCATCACCAACTATTAAGTGAAATAAATGACAATCCAATTGATTTGAATAACTATTAGGATCAAATCCATCTTTCAGCATGTTAAAAATTTCGCTAAAATAACAGAAAAAAACAATATTAAACCAATAGTAATATAAATAAAATCAATAAATATAACCAAGTAACCTGTCGTTCCTATCTTGAATGAGTTTAACAAATTTTTGAATGTTTGGACTGTCGCTTTCCATGATTTAAATAAAAAGTACTAGACAGATTTATTTTAATAACTTTAAAACTAAAATTATTTAGGAAATAAAGTAAATAAAGTTTTCTTGTCATTTTATACATTTTTGACGCCATCGAACATAAACAAGTCGAGAGTAGTGACTGTTTTCTTCTTTTATCTATGCAGTTTACATTTTTCTAGCTTCATAAAAAAATCAAGAGATGGCTTCTGAAGTAGTAGAACGCCGGTCATCTTGTCTCCATGTAAAGTGATTCTCTTCGGTTTGCGACCATTAATAACCTCGGCGTTAACTAAAGTCCGTCGAATTTTGCACGTGTTTCTAACAACAATTAATAAGTGAATAGTATTAATCTAATTACTAATTACACACAAAAGTAAGTAAATATTATTGTCAATAAGTTATCTTTGTTTTACTCATCTTTATGCCCCGGAAACAAAATGGCTATGATACAACAATGAAGTACCAAATATAGTCATATACATGAATAATTGAAGATATTCCGTAAAATAATGCGACTTTATCAAAATGTGTTAACTCTCAATGAAAAATGATTTATTTTTAGTGCCTGAACTTACTGAATTAGAAAAACCAACCGCCAGCGCCGCTGAGACTCACGAGGACTCTGGCAGTGAATCGGACTCAGATGACACTATCCCAGAGCTTGAAGATGCAGGAATTGGTGCCGTTCCAGGGGGTGCCGGTCTCCCCATTGATATGGTCTCAAAAGCCAAACAATCGCGCGGTGAGAAGAAAGCACGTAAAATTATGTCCAAGTTGGGTCTTAAGCCCATCCAGGGTGTGAATCGAGTGACTATTCGCAAGAGTAAAAATATTCTCTTTGTAATCAACAACCCTGATGTATTCAAGAATCCTCACAGTGATACTTATATTATATTCGGAGAGGCTAAAATAGAAGATCTTTCTCAGCAAGCCCAAGTTGCTGCTGCTGAGAAATTCAAAGTGCCCGAAGTGTCTCCTGCTGGAGGAGATGCTTCTGGTGCACCTACAGTTGTCGCACCCATAGCTGAAGAAGACGAGGGAGAAATTGATGAGTCTGGAGTAGAAGAAAAAGACATTGAGCTTGTTATGTCACAAGCCAATGTTCCAAGGCAGAAAGCCATTAGGGCACTGAAAAATAATCAAAATGATATTGTTAATGCTATAATGGAATTGACAATGTGATGTTCCAATATTAATGATTAAAATATCATAATTTGTTTTATATCTATAATGTCCTTATCAATAAATTCAGCACTATTCTATCATTTATGGAGTTTGTATTTCATATGTTTACTATTAGCATTTACAGATGTGTGTATATTCAAACTAAAATTTACCTCAGCAAAAGGTATTTCTGTATTTCACATGCAATGCAGTACCTGAACTGCTAAAAATGGTCATACATAATGCAACAAGTAATTTTCTGCATTCTGCTGAATATTAACTTTTCTAAATTAAATTTTCTTTTCACTGCAATTTAGATTTTTTTCACAAAATGGTTTGCTTTTACACACTAAAAATAAAAACTATGTAACAATATTATAAAAGCACTTTTTGTGCATAAATTGTTAAGGAACTTAATAGTAATTCTTTATGAATTTAATATTATTTGCAAATTGAAAAGTTTGTTTAACCCTGAAATAAATTTATAGTGCCACATTTTAATAAAAAAAAAAATATTTGAAATTTTTATGATTTTATTTGCAAATATACAATTTATTCCATTTTCTTAGATGCCTTTTTCTTCTCAGGAACAGGCTTTTGAGACCTCAAAACAGCACTAGCTCTTCTCAAAGCAACCTAAAAAATTTATCATAGTAAGCATGTGTATAGATATACATTTATATATTTTATTAAAAAAAAACAATCAGGTAAGATGGGTGGTGAATATGATTCTTCACAGAAGGCTCCAGATATTTCAAACATCATTTGGTAGACTTAATTGTTACAATTACTCAAAATTAAAATACTTACTTTGGTCAAGTCACTGCGGTATCCATTGGCATTGAGAAGATTACGCAGTTTATGAAGGGAGCGTCTTGGACCTGATTTCATGGTACGTTTAACAGTTGCCTTTGCTGGTCGATGCTGCAAAAAAAATTAATGTTAGGATTCCTTTAACTTCATTAAAGTATGTTAAATCTATTAAGTAAAATCAGACAAGATGGGTGGTGAATACGATTCTTCACTAAAGGCTCCAGATTTTCAAAACATCATTTGGTACGATGTGGTAAAACATGTATTATACAGATAAATGCATCTGTAGTTCAATTGTTATTCAAATTAGGAATACTATATGCATTTAATTACACTCACCTGGCATTTTGGTTTTTTGTATACAACTGTAAAGCCTCCTTTGTCTGCTGGAACAACACCAACAGTCTTCTTGTGGACAAAACCATTGTATCTGAAGGAGCTTAAATTTGTCAAATTGTTTGGCTCCTACACAAAAAACAAAATTAATGTAACTATTTAAATAAAGAAATATATAATAATGCAGGTACGACTTACAGAGCTGAAAGGCTTGTTAATATTACGCTTCTTCTTCAAGAAAGCGTTATTGTTACGAACAATCATCCATGATAAATGAGCAGACATTTTTGCCTGTAAAAGATAACAAATGTAAATTACACGTTCCTTGCATTAAAAAAAATTAGATCATTATTTCGAGCTTCAGATATTTTTATCATCAGAACTTTCAGAGATCTTGGTGTGGTAGTAAAATAGTCATCACGTACAAAAATATGGCGTTCGGCAAAAGCAACCAAACACGTGTTATAAAAAACATGTAAAAATATATATTATTCATACCGATATTTAATGTAGATGAAGCAGAAATACAAAACAGATCGCAGCCTTGTCATTCTTAGCTTAGACAAAAATTAAATAAAAGGTTAAAAGAAAATTAACTTGGATAAGTTTTACCTCGTTCTAGCAATGTAATGAACTGCACTCGTCTAAATGGACTCTGTAAAAGGAGGAAGATGGCGACGAGAGCTCTATGGTGAAGTCATTGCAAGCTGGCAACTTTATAAATAGAAAATGATAAAAGAATTAAAAAAGAAAATGCGGCAAATTTAAATATCTTTTTCACGGGCATAATTCTTATTTTCACAATGTATAAAATAAAATAGACAATTATTCATACTTCTAATAATTAAAGAAAATATTATAATCTCATTTAGATTTTGCATCTACTACTATGTATATCATATGTAGTTAAATTTTGTAAAATTGCCTACCAAAAATTTTGTAAAAATACCTACCAAAAATTTTGTGTATATATATATATATATATATATATATATTTATACTTTTTCAATTTAAAACCGTATCTTATTTGAACATAATGCCACAACTATTCATCTATATGAATCAATATTTAATAGAAGCAACAATACTTGTTTCAATCAATTAATTAAATGAAACTAAAGAAATAATAATACACAGAGGAAAGATATTATATAAAATCAAAAATGTGTTTATATATATAAAAGATCTATAATTCACATATCTGCCATCACATACTAAAATTATTTACATTTTATTTATATCCGAGAACAAAAACATTGTAAACAAATTGCGGTTTATTAAATTAGAATTTATAATTATTATATCTATACAATTTAAATTTAATATTTATATCTCTATAATATTATTTATATTATTTTTATACAAATATTATAAGTGGACATTTAACTAATTTCACTGTAACAAATCAAATTTTATGGTAATATCAAACAGTGATTGAATTTTATCGATTTTTCATGTTAATAGCTTTCATTATAATTTTTTGATTGCAAAAAGATAATGGGAGGTTGTAACTTTTCTTCTAGCGCAATAATATCTTATAAGAAATATATTATGTATGTATTTACAAATTCTCTACTGAGTTTATAATGAGAATGTGATATATATATATACATATGTCGAATTCACAAAGTAATATCATTTGAAAATTTGGATACAATATTCATTGATAATAATTTATTTGTAATAAACATAAAAAAATATGAAAGATTTTTCATCAAACAATATAATACTAAAAAAACTCTTATTGCAGCTTTGCAAGCCACATTTCATTAATTTAGCTCATCAATATAATAAAAAAATTTAACAAAAAAATCTAAAATTAGCAACAAACAGATCACAATAGATATAGACTGGAGCGGACTGTAGGAAACAAGAAGTAGAAAAACGTTGTATACAATTGCATTTGAATAATGAATTTGCTCTGAATATTCTATAACAGTTTAAAATATTTATAAAACAGTCATATACACTTAAATAGTGAAATGATTGATCAAAACATTAATAAATATATAATTTTGCCAACTAGCCTAAATTATTTCAAATATATATATCAACCATAAAATAACTAAATTTCAACACTATACCATGAATAAAAAAATATATTTGTAAAACCTTGATTAAAGTTACCATTTGCAAAATATTCAGAGCAAATTTTAAATGCATTTACTATTATTACTTATATTTCATTTTCACTTGCTACACTGTTACTCTTGCATATCTTTTCAATATCAATATAATGTACTCTTTATAAACTGGGTAAATTCTTGAATCATAACGCTTAACCTAATTAAGTACATATTATGTATACTTTATAATGTTCAATACATAATATATATGATAGCGTAAAATGATAATCATAAAACATTTCCCACAGTCAAGCAATTCATCAGTCTATGCTCCTGACTATTATTTATCAATTCTGTCTTGGATCTAGAATGTGTAATTGGACATATAGTATTATTCTATTTACATATTTGTACAACTTGGCTAAAAATTATTAATTACAGTTATTAGAAAATTTACAAAAATTATATCACATTTAAAATGTGTCTCACTCATTCGTACATATGGTTACAGCAAAATGGATAAATAAAAAAATAAAGTATTATGTTATTCATTATGTATTACAATTATTAGCAAATAATGCACTACAGTTTAAAAAAATCTAATATGTACCCAATTGCATTACATATTATTATGTAAATATAATTTTCACCTATGTATAATATACACATATGCATAAATAAATATATATATATATATATATATATATATATATATATATATATGTATATACACATACACACCGCAATACATCTATTTAGCAAGTCTTGTTTTATATAATTTCAAAAACATGCTTGGCTAACATTATTAATAATATATAAGTCTTACTAAATAATTAAATATATTTATGAATGTAAGCTATATTTACTATTAGCTATCAGCATTACACTATAATATATACAGAGAATTTAATTTACCCGTCTCAGGTGATTTTTTTTTTAAATTTAATTGACTCTAGACATGTGGGACGCGCTTTGTGCACTAAAGTAGAAGAGCTATTGTCAAAATGACATAAAACTAACGAGATAACATAATTAATAATAAATAAGTGAATAAAAACAATCAATCTATAAAATCAGTACATAGTACATATTTAAAAGTGAAATTCTACTAACAACGAATAAAATAAATAATTAATAAATAATAGATAATAACATCTAGCTGAGACGGTGCACGTCTGGTGTTAGTTATATACAGATACATAAGCATCAAAGCGCGCGCACACTGATTTGATCGTTCTCAATCCGAATCTTATCGACAATGAAATTAGAAATTATCTAAACAGCATCTAACTTACCATCGTATCACCTAATCACCTCGCAGTCCTGCGCCGTCACCACGGCAGTTTCCACTTGCTTATTTTCATGTTGTTGCTGCGCCAGAACATATGGCGCGCCAGGAATATCCCTGGAAATTTTCAATTTGATCGGGGATACTTTTGCCATTTTGATATTATTGGGAAGTTCGTTACTAGTCTCCTCCGCCGAATTGTCATAAGCTTTAATAGCTTCTGGCATCTCCAAAGCCAATGGGTCCTGCGCTAACGGATCGTAATTGAAAGGATCTTCCGACGTACTTTCCGTCTTACTTGTACCTGCATTATTATTGCCTCCGAAGCGTATGATCAACTTCGGAGCAGCGTCTTCTCTGTCGTCGTTAGTAATCACCTCCAATTTTCTTTGCTTTTTCTCTCTCTTCCTTTTCTTTTTCGAGCTCTTCTTAGTTTTTCTTTTATCCTTCTGATCAAAATCGGCCATAACCTGCTTTCTATATTTCATACAGTCCCGTTTTAAATCTTCCACGCTGGGCATGGGGATGCTGGACAAACGTTTCTTGGGAGGCCTGCCAGCATCTAATGCAGGTACCGTATCTACCACACTGTTTCCAATTTTAATTTTCAATTTAGGTGTGACCCTTTGAGGAGCTACTGTGGCAACCGGAGGCTTATTAACACGACCTCTTCTCTTGTACGCGAACGATTGATTGTCGTCATCTAGGGCGGAATTGGGGTTACGATCGGCTTCTATAAGATCATGTAAAGGCATGTCCAGATGGCGAAGTTCTCTAGGTATTCCTGGAGCTTTCTTGCGTTTCTTTTCCATATTAGCATCGACCACAGCTTTATAGTCTTCTCGCGTTGGAATCGTGGTCATCGAAGCTACGGCCTTGGGTATCGTAATAGCAGTCCTTATCAAAGGTATGTTTGGTATTGGGTTATTTATAGGCGGAACGGTAGGCGGGTCATCCATATTCATGTCCTGCGTGCAGTACTGCCTCAAGAGCTCTTTTTTCCTCATCCTTCGAAGATTTGAGGTTCCAGAAGAGTTCATGTTATTCGGCATTATAGGCAAAGCACTGGGCTGCATCATAGTCTGTTGTGTGATCGTCTGCGGTGTTTGTGATGTATAATTAGCGTCAAGAAACGGTCCTTTGATTTTAACTTTGAGTTGATTTCTTGAATCCGTCAGGGACATTTTTACAGGATCTAAATCGGAAAGCATCACTACTGGTTCCACTCGGACAGGACTCGGGATAGGCGGTAGTGGTTCCACGACAGGCGGAGGTTGTTTGTTTGTGCTGGCTATTAAGGCAGAATGCAATTCTTTCTCCATCTCTTCATCGATATCGGGCAAAGGCTGTTCAGCGGTTCCGCTAGCAAATGCTCCAAGTAAGTGATTATTATACGCTTCGGTGTTAGTAGCAGGGTCAAAAGCATTGTATGTCCTCATATCCACAGGTCCTGGTAGAACAGGCTGCACGATGTTGGTGAAATTTTGTTCAGGCACAACATTTGTGTGAGTATCGTTTGTTAGGAGTGGCGACGGTGGCGCCAAAGCTTGTATATCAGTTGAAAATGTATTGCGTTGTTTATTCGATGACGCCGTTTGATGCGGAGGACTTGCAAATTTAGGCGATTGAGAATTACTTTTTTCTAAGATTTTATTTTTATCGTGTAGATCAACAGACCGTCTTCTCTCTCGCATAGCTCTCAGATTCTCCATGCTCTCGTTAAAGTCATCGTCAAAATCTAAATCATAAACCGTCCCAGCCAGTTTATTATGCATTGTACCGCTCAAGAAATCCAGATCTTGGGCCGACGGATGATGTACCGGATGAGACGTCGATCCACCTCGACCCCTGCCCCTTCCACGACCTCTGCCACGGCCGCCGGAAGCCCCACGAGCTGATTTACCTCCGCGCATAGATCTGCCGTCGATCTTTCCGCTTTTGGTTTTCATGGGCTCGAATTGTTTCGGAGATTTTCCTGGACTCTTTCCTGGTGACTTATTCTGCAATGATACAACTCTAGCCGAAGTACGCGTAGGCTTAGCGGGCGATCTCTTGCCGGCAGGCGACTGTTCTGTTCCGGAGATCGGAGTCTTGCTCACGTCTGTGACAGGTGACGGTTTCTGGATATCCGATATGGGTAATTGATGCGCAGTTTCCTGAATTGGGTTTTGAGAGACCATAGCAGCCGTCAAAGCCATATTATGAGATGATGAAGTGAAAGCAGCACCACAAGGTTGAGTAAAATGCAAATCGTCCGTCGATTTCGGCATGGATTGCATTAAATTTGTGGAGTACTGCGGCGGAAACATAGCTGGGGACGGGAACGGGAGCTGAGCACTCATTGTGCTGACTGGTGGGAATAAAGACACAGGTCCGCTCGTAACGAATTGGCTAGCCTCAGAATACGGTTGGTATTGAAGTGAATCCATATTATTTTGAAAGTGCTGAAAACTCTGGTACAGATTATCTTGAGAGACAATGCCAGCAGCTTGTGGCATCATAGAATTTATGTTTTCTGAAACACTAGAAGCAGGAGAGGATTCAGATGATCTTCGCAATGGCATTATATTGCTATCGGCCCATTTTTCTTGATGTGTGTATGGTGAACACACCACACTACCTTCTACATCCTGCCGTGGTGTTTCTGCAATATAATTTTGTTGAAACTTCTCCATAAATTCTTGTTGCATAGATAATTCCAAATTAAAGTTGTGCTGTTTTTCTTGATTTGCGCTAGACGCTATCCACCTTTCATCTGGAATCTGATCAGATTTAGATCTGTCTACGCACAAGTTCTGCATTTCTGAGTTATAAAAGGCCGGATGCTGCTGTACAAACTGTGGTATCTCAATTGGAGGATCTTGATGTTTGACTGTTGGAGACTCAGCTGGTTGGCAATTATCAACTAAAGGCACTGCAGGTGTCAGGTCTTCTTTAACAATTTCTTTGATATCTTCCTGCTTTGGTGTTGGAGGTTTAGCCTCAATTTCGATTTCCAGACCGCCAACAGTTTTTTTAGAATATTCCATTCGTAGTTTTTCAACCAGATTCAATGTTTCTCTGGCGCTATCTTCTTTGCAATCTTCCTTGAAAAGCATGTCAGTATTGAATGAGAATCCCAAAGAAGGTGCTTTCATAATTTCCTCATTCTCGGCTGTCATTACCCGGTCGGTTTGGGCTATATCATCTGCCAAATCAAATAATTCAGAACAACTGGCATCCTTATTGGAAGGATGAGGAGAGAATATAGACCTTGTGTGGTGGATATCTTTTACCTCATTCAATATATCATGCTCTAGTTGTATTTTGTTTGATAAATCTGGCAAAATATCTGTTGTCAAATGTTTTCTTAGCTTATATTCTTCTTCCAAAATATCAGATTTTATACCATTCTTATCATCTTGAAGTGCATTATCCAATTGATCTGAAATAGGTGTGTCTGTTTTAATCTCAGAATTCGGCTGGATATCACTTAAAATGCCTGTTGATTTTTTATTCCTCAGAGGTGTTTTCACTCTTTTATTCTTATCCAAACCATGTTCAGCATCCAACATGTCACTGTTGTCTAGTACTAATTCTTTAATCGGACTGCTGACTTCCACAGGAGTAAGTTTAAAAGGACTAAGATTGTCTTTTCTTTTGTCTTTGCTAGGTTCTCTGTTCTCTTTGATATCCTTTTGCGGTGAATTTGTTTGTTGCTTGTCACGCTTGCTCGTAAATAATTTATCTAAAGATCCACGTGATTGTCTTACTGCTGCAGGATCATTTCTTTCAGCTTTTCTATCCATGATTTCTTGTTCCAATCTGCTCACTTGATCAATCACGTTCTCATGATCAATGATATTTGGAATAACAATATCTGATTGATTCAGTTCCTTTTGTGATTGTACCTCTTTAGGTTTATCTGTACGTTCCTCTTTACTCAAATGAACATCGTCAAGTGCTGAATGATCACCTTTATGTAGTGTATCAACATCTTTGTGCAGCCCACAATCATCTTTGCTGATTTCACGGTCGCCTATTCTCGGTGAATGATTATCTTTGATTGGTGATTTTTCAGATTTACGTGATGACCGACTGTCTTTGTGTGGCGACCGAATATCTTTACGAAGCTCCACGGAATCTTTATTTGTAGACCTGTTGTCTTTATGTGCAGAACGAGTCGATTTGTCTGTTAATATCACTTTTTTATCTTCTTTGCATTGCGAAGATGATAACTCACTGGACTCTGTGACCGTTTTGGATTTGCCTCGTCCATCTCCACCTAAATCATTCAATAATACTTCAATTTTTACAATGAGGTATAATTGAGTTTCAATTATAAGATTTAACTAATACTAACATATATATATATATATATATATATATATATATATATATATATATGATAGACAATCTTCAGGGCAATACATCAATTGAAAAACTTTAATAAAATCACAAGAAATAGTGTTACCGTGTTTTTGTGAATTATGTTTATCATCAGCAACAGTTAACTAGGAACTCTCCGATACACATGTAAGTTTTTACGCCATGTTACTTCTCATAAATTAGGTTTAGTTAGTTCCATTTTTTATATTTTTTCTCATTGTACAATGTCAAAGTTATTAACTTCCCGAAGGAGAAGTTTATGTTTTCATAAAAAAATTCTATTCGCTAATTTTATGTTTTCTCGACGTTTTGAGCCATTCTGAATCGAATGAGACCAAATTTAGAAAAAGTATTTGTGTGTGCGTGTGTGTATGTGAACAGATTTTTTCAATTATTTGGAAATAGCAATGTTTAGGTTCAATTGATGGCGATAGCTTTATTTTCCAAATAAATAGTTGAAAATTTAATCTAAATATCTAAATCTAAAATTCGGTTGATTAAGTCAATTATTACACATTGTTTTTCCATGAAATTTCCTTTCATATAATTTATTTAGTTTCAATTTATGTATTTATGTATTTAAACACATAGTTTCGACAACTTGTTAAGTTATCATAATTATTAGTGTGTTTTACCATTTGTGATGCACATACTCATACCATGGATTAATAATGGTTTCATATGCTTAGGATACAAAATTGTAAGTGTTTTATTACTATTATTATTATTATTGTTTTTCCATGAAATTTCCTTTCATATAATTTATTTAGTTTCAATTTTTATAGTTAATTTGATTACCACTGAATGATGGCTAAGATGCTAGCTGAAACGTATGGATTTTAAATAAATAAACTTTTAAAAAAACTCTCATACTATTTTTATTGATGTTATGCCCGAATATTAAACTCAAATTAAACATATATATATATATATATATATATATATATGTTTGAATTGTATATAATATGTAATGATGATGATTTACCTGATTTCCTCCTTTGTCCGGTATGTTCACGACCCCCATCCAAATTTCTTGTCCTGCTAGTAACATTTCGGCGCCTATCACTTTCCTGGTCATCACCCCTTTTACTCCTCCTGGGCACAGCGGCACCTCTAGATGATTCCTCTCTCTCAGCAGTCTGCGCTCTTGAAGTTGCTTTATTTTTGACCATCGCTGATGATGATGTTGTTGGTTTATTATTTGCTTTCTGACTGTTAGCTCGCTGTTGTGTTGGTTCTTCAGACTCTTTCCAGTTGAATTCTTTCTTCTGGGAACGTTGGTGGATTTTGTTGCACCAGATTTATCTCTGGTGTCTTCTTCTGAGTCGGAACTAGAACCGAAACTGCTGCTTGACGAAGATCCATCGGACAACTTCGCTCTCGCCGGAACACGCTGTTGTTGTTTTTGTGTTGGGACCTTGTCAAGAAAGGGCAACACCTTTTTGGCGTTTGCGTTTTTGTCCGATTTATCTTTGTCGTCCTCGCTCTCCGAACTCGAGGAAGACGAGCTAGAATCGGAATTAGATCCCGAACTCGAACCAGAACTACTAGTCGATGAACCAGAACTAGATTTTGATGAGGGACATGGTTTGTTGGGACTAGCGATTTCCTTAGATTTCGATTGCAAAATCGTCTTCTCTTTAGATTTTTCCTTTTCGACATCGATGGGAGGTTGGTCTTTGCTCTTGTTTTCCTTGGATTCTGCTTGATTCTCAGCCGGTTTGCTTCCCAGGCCGCTTTTGATGCCCTGAGCTGCTTTTTTAGCAGCCTGTCGCTGTGGGACATAAGCCAACAGATCCATATTTTCTTCTTTATCAGCACTTTTTTCATTGTCATCCGCAGGATTTATGGACGGTTTTCGCTCCTTGACGGTCCTCGGTGTAGATTTAGTCTTCGGCGTCGTTTTAACGTCGGGTTTCACATCATCGGGCTCTGTCTTTATGGGGTTCTGAGTACTTTGTACAACATTATTACTGCATGTGTTTGTGCTAGTGCCGGTTTTCAGGTTTTCTGACGCCTTCTTAGCGGCCTGTCTCTGAGGAACTATCAACTCAGTAGGATCTTTTTTCGTTTTGGTATCTTTGTCCTTGTCCTTGTTATTGTCATCATTTGCGCTCTTATCTTTGGGCGGTCTGCCTTTGGGCCGTCCTTTGCTCTGTATCGAGAATTCCTTCACAGCCGCCTTTGTCCTGAGTTTAGATTGAGAATCGCTGGCGTTCGCGTTATCTGCACGATTATCTGTACTATCACTATCTGAATAAATGAGCGAAGAAATTTTATCGTCACTTTTATTGACACTTTTTATAGGCATCAACTCGTCGTCCGTATCAGACTCCGACGACAGCCTATCTTTTAACTCGCGTTCCATTTGCCGCAATGTTCGACTTTTTGGTGAACTATTACACACTTTAGATTTACTAGTCAGTTCTTCTTCGCTTGAACTATCAAAAACTTTAGTCCGACCACTATTTACACTGGCACTTTGTTGTTTAGTCTTTCTGCGCTCCACAGATTTCAACAAATTTTCACTAGATTTATGCAAACGCGCCGTCGCCGTCGTCCTTTTCTTACCGTCTTCTTCTTCTGTAGAAGAATCTATACGTCTATGATTTTGTCCTCCTGTATCACTTTCACTAGATAAACTACTACCGTATAAGCTGGTGCTCCTTCGAACAGATCCATTGACATACATTTTTTTATATGGGTTGTCTGATTTCTTACCTTTACTTAGACCACTAAAATCGTTAGATTTTTTGTCTACAGTTAAAATGGGCGATGTACTACCAGTTATTCGAGACAATATTAACTCAAAGTCTTTTGTGTGATCTTCTGCCTTTACATGAGAATACAATCTGTCATAAATAGATGGGCCATGATTAACATGGATTAATGCATTTTGTACAGTCTTATCTAAACTTGGTTCTTTTTCTAAAACCTGAGCTTGCTTGTAAAATATTTGTTCACGCATTTTGAAAAATGATCTTGAAAGTTTTTCACGTCTGGAAACCATGTAACACAGATTTCTTACACGCTCTAGGTCTTGTCTCAATTGGACAAATTTCTTCATTTTTTCTACATCGGCTTGCTCTTGCTTGTGTGTTAAAATATCAACATCATCAGACTTAGGAGGCAGCAAAGGTTTATTATGTCCTGCTTTCCTTTTCAGTTTCCAATAATTGTATATATAATGTATAGCATCTTGATCAACATCTAAGAGGTGGCAACTTATATCCTTCACACTGACATGCTTGTCAAATTCACTTTCTATTTCTTGCAGGCGTACAGCTCTGGCTTGATTTCTTTCTTCAGAAGTCATATCTTTCCTTTTCTTACGCTTGCTATCATCTTCATCCGAGCAAGAACCTGAATTTTTTTCTTTTTTATTAGTTACACTGTGCTTCAAACAATAACTCCGTAATTTGACACCATCATCAGCATTTTCATCCTCAATAATAGCTCTCATTTCTAAACCGTGTTTGAAAGCACAAGTAACATGATAAGCAGTCTTACATGTTTTTACTGAACACTGAATACAAGCACCAAGACGCTCTCTACATAAAACACAAATTAAACTCCATCTACTTGTCGGAATGGCAGAAATTTTGGTGATGGGTTCCATTCGCTCAACACAACCTATACTCACTTCAGGTATCCACAATGCACAAGAAACATGAGCCCATTTCTGACCTGATTTTGTGCATTTCATGGCCCCTCCTTTGTTTGGACATAAAACACAATCTGGCCTCTTGCCCAGTGAACAAGTTCTACACAACCATTGACCTAGAAAAGTAAATTTTGTCAGTTTAAGTAAAACTTTTTATTAATATATAATTATAAAAAATATTATAAAATATCATCAAAAAATAATTCTCCATTTACCTGAGGGTATTGTTGTTATACCGTAGCAAGCTTGATGAACACAAATATTACAACTGTCACAAAATACCATTTCATTTGCTTCCTCAGAGTCTGGAGATCGGCAAACATCACAGATAACATTTTCATCAAATTCTATTCCTAGCCCTTCTTCACTTTTCATAATAGATTGAATCCTATCCCAGCATCGAACCTAAAGAAACAAAATTGTTAAATAAACATTTAGTATTATACAAACTAAGATTTATATCTTATTTAAACAACTTTTAATATCTTAGACATTAAACATACCTCCAGTTCCTCAAGCACCCTTTCCAGCTGTTCTTCAGTTACCGGTCCCAAACCTGACAAAGCCCTTTCACCATTCATCAAACCTAACCAGGCAGAATCACAATCATCCAAGTCATATCTGCAGGAAGCTTCTGCTAAGGCAGGAGCGCTTGATAAATAATGCAGATCTTGAGTAAAACTATCATCCTTTGTAATGCGTATGAATTTATTCTTGGGACTGCAATTAAAATAGCAAGCATTGTATTAAAATAGCATTTGCTCTCATAATTAGAATAAAATATGATAAATGAAGTTAACTTAATAATAAATTGTTTTTACATACAGTTTGAAATCTTGACGGCTGTGATGATATGATTTCTGCAATGTGCTGACAGCCGGTTCAGGCAGTGAATCAGGATTAACTGGAACCTGCACACCACGCTCCCATTCTTGTTTCCATTGGTCTGTAATTACCCAATACTCATCATGTGCTAATGGTTCAGAATCAGGCAACTTCATAGCAGATATCAGATCTTTCCTAAATAACAGAAGAAAAAAAAGATAGAAGTTTTGTTTTATAAATATGACTACTCAAAATATACAAATTATATAAAAGCAAATTATTGTTTTAATTTACATAATAATATGTTACCTGAATAGTTCAGCAGGTGCTTCTGGAGCACTGCGATTATATATGCTGGATATCTTGAGATCTGTCAGAGGCTTGGGCTGCCAGCCTCCGGTTCCCTGAGCGCTTGTGGAGGGGGTGGGAGTCGCGCCGCTCCCACCCCCTCCTGTTGCTGGGCCGGAACTGTTCGAAATGGTACCTTGTCCACCACCTGAACTGCCACATGATGATTTGCTACTAAAATTGATTATCAGTTTATACATATGATTACGGTTATATTATTAACATCAATCATTATGCAACTATGAATGAACACCAAAAAAAAAAAACAGTAAATTTTTATTTTACCTGTTTGTGTTACTTTCGTCTTCAAACTTAGACTTTCGAGATCTTTTAGTTGGTGATGTTACGATGCTATCGTCACGGTGAGGTCTCTTCACTCTCCCTGACATGACTAACTCGCACCTCTACCTACATGAATCATAAGTAAGTTAGTTATAATCATTACTATTTATTTAAAAACAACATAATTCTTGAAAATCTACATAATTCATGTAACAAAAAAAACTGATGAAAACACATTAATGAAGAAGATTAAGACCGCAAAATTAATTATTGAGAAGTCTGTCAGCACCCTATTACATATGTAAAATATAGAACAATTAATTTTATTTGGATGCTTGCACACATTTATAAAGTTTGTACCGAAAACCTTATTGATGACATATTGTCTTCATGCGACAAATACAAATATAAATATAAATGAATTAAAAATGTATGCAAATTTACATAAAATAAATTTTGTTGATCTTTCTTATTGCAAAGATTTTCCATACTATTTCAATAATTATAGTAGCACTTTTGTAGGTCATATTTGCATTATAACAATAAAATTTTACCTTTTCACATTAAAATCTCTATAAGATTATTCAAAACAGTATTATCATAAAGGATCCATAATATTCATATATAACAAAACCCAAATATGTTGCCATATCGTAAGAAGGCAATGTAAAAGCTTCATTTTCAAAAAGGGTCTATTTATTATTTCAATACTCAGCTTTATATTTGCTAACTGAAATGTTAGAGCATATTGTGATATAATCATTATTTGGGCTTCGATACATGGAAATAATAAATTTTATTGTGCAATTTAATTCAGGCTTTGCACATTCAGATGGATTTTTGGACTAAATCTACATAATGTACTGTGCATACTCACTACATAGTTAGATTACTGCTTATGGGTGCTCATATTGTGTACCCAATCTATAATCAACGGTAATCTACTTAATGCCTCCATCATTTGATCAGATTGAAATTAATATCCAGCAATATTTTAAAAGGGGGAGTGGCTCTCTCACAATTTTACAAGACAAGCATATATCATATCATTTTTAAATCCTGTTGATGTGCAAACAGTATTTTGTGATGATATCAACAATGAACATTGGTCAATATTATTGTCAGTGAGAACGGGACGTTCGGAGTCGAGACATTAGACAGTGTCAAATCATATACAATATTGTCTTCCATTCAATATGACGAAAACGAGCAAAGTTCGGCCTTATTGTAAAACAGGAACATATTAGAATCGTCTGTTGATTTGTAAAAAACATTACAAAAGCATATAAACACTACATTCTGACAAATTATATATTATGCCAGACATTGGCATCTATAGTAAACACTGCACCCGCCATGAATCGTAATACGACGTCCAGATCATACACACGCATCACAATTGTTTTAGTTCATTAGAATAATAATTAGACGTCAGTATGTACCATTTGTATGGCAGAATTGCATGTTTTATATATCTTTTAACGACATTTAAGTGAAAGACGACCTCCATCAAACTCCATTTGATAAAACTATGTCTAACAACATTGACAACGTAGGTGGCAGCACTGACATTAAGTCAAAGACGTGGGACAAAACTTTCAATGGCTATGGCTTTCACTCCGAAACAATGGCGGCAATGTTCAAAAGAGTGAATTGAAACAATCTATTTCATGAAAACCGGAGCTTTTGCCATCTGTTTTTAAGTAAATAACTCTTCCAAAATCTAAAAAAAATTTAGTTTTTATAGGCATACATAAATATTCTCTTGAATTATTTTTATTAAATATCCATTAAATGCGCATCTCAATATCTAAAAACATATGATCGCAAACAACTATGACACAAACGTCAAAATATCAATAAAAAAGAAAAGAAATTATTTGTTTATATTATAAAAAAGTTAATAATGAGTAAATAATAAATCTGAAAGAACCCATTTACTATATTAATAATAAATGCATTGGTCATTATTTTGATATTGTTTTTGTTTTGACCATCTCTTTTATTTAGCTGTATACAAAAAACTATATTATAGAGTCTAAAGACTAAAGGAAAAAGGGAAAATGTGTTTTTATAAAGTACGGTTTAAAAATTTAAAATATAAATATGATAATAACAGAACAACTTGATTATATTGAATGTCTAATAAAAACTCAACGAAAATGGCAATTTTTTTATCTAACTTTTGAATTTTTATGTATATATTTGTAAATAACGCCCTAAATATTTTATTTATATCATTTTAAAATTGCGGAAATATAAACGTAAGATAATAATAAAACCTTGAATTTATAAATAAAAAAATCCAGTCATAAAAATGCATTTTTATCAGGCCTGTAGGAAAAATCTAAGTCAATATATGTATGATAAAAATGCATTAAACTATAATTATAATTCTAAAGCATGATGTTTAATACAATTTTTAAAATCTTTTTTGCGCAAAAACAATTAACAATTTAATTTGATTCTATGTATAAGGATAAAACATCCTGCGGACGTCACTGGTCTGCCGTAGTACGCCCTTGATAAATCGACGAAAATCCAACGCGCAGGCGTCTTAAGTCTTTCATAAGTCCAGATATGTTGTATTTCTATCAAAAGAAACATCTGTATCTAACACATTATAGAGTTTCAAACATAACTTATAACAGCTCAAAAATCTCACCTTGATTCTATATCAAAATCCATAATTCATCTCTTATTAAAAGTGTCAATATAATCTTCGTGGAAATCAATTAACCTAATCCACAAAAAAATAATTAACTTTCATAAATCTCTGGTTGCTTTATGAGTGAGAACAGAATGAATGCTAGAAAAATAAAATAACTTGCACAAATGTGATTATTCTCTTTATAAAAAAAGTTAACAAAATGTGCGTTAAAATCTTATTGTGTGATTCATCATTTTGATTTTATTTCGTGTTTATTTTTTAAAAATGGCCATACAAATTTTGGACGAAAACCACTTGGCCATAAGTGCCATAGTAACGGTCGTAATGCAGATAATTTTTTTTATAATAGCAGCAACTTTTCAATTAGATAAACTCACCGATTTTGCGGGCGGCGTGAACTTTATCATTTTGGCGCTTTTAACATTCTTTCTGGGCCAAGTCGGAAGCAAGGTAAAATATAAATGAAACAATGTACTAAAAGCTTACCTTAAAAAAATTCTTTTCTCCAGACTTACGACAGTAGACAATTAATGGTCACAATTTACGTGTGCTTGTGGGGCGCAAGATTATCCTGTTATCTGCTTTATAGAGTTATGAAAATAGGCAGAGACAAAAGATTTGAGGACAATAAAAGCAATGTGATAAGATTTGCAGTTTTTTGGACATTCCAGGTAATGGAAAATACAAATTGATTACAATTATAATTATAAACATGTTTTATTTATTTTAATAGAGTCATTTAATTATTGCTTTTTTTTTCTTCGCCGCCGAGCGAAGTATTCTTGTTCTTTGTTTATTGCCGTCATAAATTAATTTATTTTACGTGTGCTAATTTTATGAAGCTTTCTTTTCGAAATGTTAGTTACAATCGAGCTTTACTCTAATTTCAATGCATTTCTGAAAGACAATATTATAAACAACGCCTAAATGTGTTTATAAGTCCGAAACAAGAACAAAGTTTGATACATTAATTCAAAGAAAATATTTTCCATTAGTAGTACAAAGTAGTACTAATTGAAAATATTAAAGTAGTAGTAATGACTAATGCAATTTAGAGTACATAAATATAATATTATATATATGCAAACACTTTTTGAATGCCGGTTTCATCGTTTTTGAATTCATATTGCCATCATTCGGCTGCGTCTTGTTAGTGATAACCAAACATTGGTATAATAAATTTTTATAATATTTATTTAATAAATACTTGACAAATAATTTTAATATTAATAAATTAAAATTATAAATACTATAATTTCATATTTTGTACTTATGGAACGTTGACTTTAGGTTAATTAACGCACCAATACAGTAGCACCCTAATATTACCATATATAAATAATTTACAACAAATTGCAATTAATTATTCATTGTTAATCATCGATAACACATAATAGTGCGACGAACTGATATTTTTTGGTTTTTGCTTCTACTTACAGCACTCATTGCTAGCCACCTTCAACTAAACCATTCATATGTTTTATTTTTAACATCCTAATCTTTCAACTGATTATTTCATTCTTGTTTTACATTCTCAGTATATTCTTCTCATCTTCGAAACTTGCTTTTTCCCTTTTAATTCTAATTTTTATTCAATTGCAAAGTTTTACAATTTTTCAAATTTATTATTGCCGGGGACTCGAAATGGGTAGTATCCGGAGTGATATAGTCAGGAGTGAGCTATTCCCGCCACATACAACCTAATCAATATCGATAAATATGAAATTATATTTGGAAAGCGCGCAAAAGTTAATACATTAATCGTATTTATTTTTCAGGCTGTCTGGGTTTACGTGGTTAGTTTACCGGTGATAATAATAAATTCCCCGCAACACCGATACCCCCCGGCACCGAAAACTATGACGACGCTAGACTCCGCCGGCACAGGATTGTTTATTATAGGTTTTTTGGCCGAGACTTATGCTGATTTGCAAAAATTTGCATTCCGACAAGATCCAGCTAACCAGGGAAAATGGTGCAATGATGGTTAGTTGTAGATATTGCTATAAAAAAGACCAATAAAATTAATATATATCGACAACATGTTTTATTACAATTAAGGTCTTTGGAGGCTCTCAAGACATCCGAATTACTTTGGTGAAATCGTACTTTGGTGGGGAATTTTTATAATTTCTTTAAACGTGATAGACGGAGCGGAATGGGTGGCGGTGATGTCACCAATTTTCACAACGGTCATAATTTTGTTCTTGTCCGGTATACCGATGTTAGAAAAATCGACGGATGAAAAATACAGAAAGTGAGTTTGAATTAAAGTTAAGGCCAGATTAATTTTTATCCTCAATTGCTTTATTTTTTCTAGCATCGCGGATTATAGGTACTACAAGTCTTCCACTTCACCATTAATACCGATACCGCCGGCAATTTATGTCGAGGTAAGTTCTTTTAAAATACAGATATATAAAATATTTTAATTTTTGATTAATTGTAGGTTCCATGGTTCTTAAAATTCGTTTTATGCTGCGAGTACCCGTTATACGATTCCATGGACCCAAAAACACCCCCGACACTGATAACCGAATCTACGTCTCTTTCACTTGCGCAAACTGGAAGCTCTCAGCACACCTAGCTGCAGGTAAGTAATACAAACGGCCTTTTTACCTATTTTAACCTAAATCATAATTATTTCCATTGATGTCTGTCCCTTCAAGGTTTACGCCAGTCGCGGCGGTGATCAGCATATAACCACCGCGCCAGGCGTCGCTCGGATAAATAATAGCAATTCTTCAAATAAGGGCGAAGTGACAACAGCCCTCTAGGTTCGACAGAAAACCGACGAGCCCTCAAAAGCGCGCCCGAAGGTAACAACAAAAACAACGGCATGCGTGGAAATCTACCAGGAAAACAAAGCGGAAAGGAGCCCTAAAGTTGTACCCAATATGGTTCATGAAACTTACATCTGAGGCAGGAGAATAAAGATTCTCAAAATCAGAAGAAAGCTACGTGTCAGGCAACTTCAATTAAGAAATACTTCTCTTCTAAACTGCATATTCTTTTTAGAAGTGAAACATCCTACTTTCTTAATATCTTTTTACAATTGCACAAATCTTCATTCAGATACCCGTTGTCATAGGCAAAGTGATTATTTGAAGAATTACGAATCGTATTATAATAATTATAATGTAAATATCTAAAATTTAGAAACATTTGACAACACTCCATTGATTTTCAAGTCCGCCAATTCAATATAAATTAGAAAAAATTAAGAACTAGTAATAATTCTTAGGATTCATGAAAGTTTACGAAAGTATTATTAGATTTAAATTAGTTACACAGGTACTTACGCAAATATAAAATTTTTCACATATTTATAATAAATTTTCATTCACAATCGTTATATACAATTATATATTTATTATTATTATCAAAGCGGGAGCACCCTGTTTTTTGACAAAATCATTTATGAATAAAATAATAATATTGACTTATTAATCATTTAAAATAATATAAAATCTATATTATATTACAAGGAATTTATTTATCTTATTGTTTTTGTACTTTACATAATTGTATAGTGTATATTTATTGGTTATATTATTAAATATTTTATAAAAATTCTTTCGGTGCTTCACGCAAATCTGTATTCAATATTGTTAAAAAGGTTTCTATAGATTCAGTGCATTGATTAAAATCACATATATAGAACGAATATATATATATATAGTTTAAATATAAATGTGATATTGCGTTATAATTAGAAATAGTTTATAAGAAATTGTTAAGCACAAAAAATGGACTTCTATAAAATATTCAGAGCAAGTCTTATTTATTAAATAGCACATACCAGAATGATATTAACTGAAATATTTACGAAAAATTCTATTTATTTGCGCTCTTTTAAACGATTTTTGACTAGAAAAATATTAGAAATGCGCTGGCGCTATTTTCCTCTAAATTTAAATGATTATATTTAGGATGTATTTATTAGTTACTAAATATATTTGCAATACACAGGCACATATCCATGAAACTAATTAAATACTATACCCGTGCTGATTAATGGCAATATTATATTATGTCCGTGATATGATTAAAATATCCATAGTAAATGAAATTAAAATTAATAATAGGTAAATTTAAATAAGATATGTATTAGAATACGATAGAGCTGATGGCTTTCTATTATTGAAATCATGCTCAAAAATTATAGTTCCTGTATAATAATTATTTAATCTTACCTCTGTCGTTTCCGGCCATTTTCTTGATCGGTGCCAAGTTTTAAAATTCATTTGCTCGAATTTAGACTTGCACATTTAATTACATTTAAAATTAATAGAACTGTTAAATTTAGAGAACCGCAAAAGTATTGTATGAATATAAATTATGTTTGCCAAGTGATGAATCAATATAAAACTTCTATTATACATATCTTAAAAAATAAATAAATGCAATAATGAATGAAAAATGTGTTTGGTTTTTACAAAATTTATATTATTATCCGGTGCCAAAACAATTTGAAAATCGGTTAATTAGATATAAATAAAAACAAAATATTTATAAAAGTGTTACAAGAAAATAGTTACCAAAGAATATAAATCGCGTGCATATCAAAGACAAATTAAACAGTATATGAGACTTGATTTTTTGGAGGTCGCACAACGCAATCGAATCAACAAGGACCAGCCTTACCTGCACAGACAAGCTGTGCCAAAAATTCGACAATGGTACGGACAGGCCTTCCGGACATACCCGTTCTCAGGTATGGAAAATCTTTGCCATTGGATAGCATTGTAGCGTACGTGTCGAGGTGAATCCATTCTCCGCAGGGCACAAATTCCCATAAAAAGGCTGCGGCCTTGCATGGGTCTCCTCCTCGCCCTTGACCCGTATTTTGGACTTCCACGTTTCTCTGAGAGGTCATTTGTTTATTATAGTATCTCCACAAGGGGAACCGCCAGACGCGGTCTCCGCTGTGCACGCCGGCCGATCTAATTTGTTGCCAAAGTTCTTCGCTATTCGTAAAAACGCTCGTCGCGCACGAACCTAAGGCGTCAGGCAAGTCTTCGGTCAAGGTTCCCACATCCAGAATGAATTTCGGCCAGAAGTTCTGCGCGTATAACAGAGCATCGGCCAGTACTAATCGCCCTTCTTTGTCCGTGTCCTGAATTTCGATAGCTTTGCCATTCATGGCCGTTACGATGTCTCCCGGTTTCATGGCATTGCAACCGGGCATGTGTTCGCACAATGGAATGAGTCCCCGAATATTTATGGGCAGCTTCAAGGACGCTATAGCTCTGCAAGCAGCGACGACCGTAGCCGCTCCCGCCATGTCTCCGCGCATTTCCCTCATGGCTTTTTCTCTCTTGAGGCAGGTGCCGCCGCTGTCAAAGGTTACACCCTTTCCAATGAGAACTATCGGCCTGGCGGTCCTGCCGGCGCCGTAGTAACTCAGCTCCAAGAATATAGGATTCTCGCATGATCCTTTCGCCACGGCCAGATACGCATTCATTTTCTGACTTTCAGCCCAAGCGCGCACTTTGACTTCGACGTTAACGCCAGACTTGCATAGAACTTCGACGGCAGTTTGTGCGAATATGGTGGGTGTCATGAAATTCGAAGGTGTTTCCATCAGCTGCCTGGCTAAGTTTTGAGCTGCGGCCTTCTGCAGGCCTATCTGCCAACCCTCCCAGTCGCAATCGCCATCCGCGTGCATTTCAATGACCGGAATTGCCTTGCGACGTTTTCTCGATTTGAGCTCCTGGTATATCCAAACAGCCAAAGCAGCTCCCTCGGCCGCCGCCTCAGCATTTCCCAGAGTCTCTATATAAATCTTGGTCGGCAGCAGAGGCATGAGCATGCGACAGCCGAGTCCTGCACCAGCTCTGATTGCCTCCTTGCCCTCGTCGAGCTCCTCGTGCATATTGTAGCCGAGACATTCTTTACCCAGACCCACGACGGCCACAGCCATGAACTCAGGCTCTATATTATAATATATTCTAAACTCTCCTCGCTTTGGAGCTGGAGCGATGTCGATAAGCTCGCGCAGCCGGCCGCAACATTTTTTATTATATCTGAAAATAGATAATTAAAACAATTAAATCATCCTAATAAAAATTTTAGTTGTCATTCAGTATATGTCTGAGTGGATGCAAAATTAGTTTCATTTTATTTTATAAATTATAAAAAACTCACCTTTCTGCGGTCGCCGTCAGCTGCCCATTGTCGCCCTCGACCTTGTCATCGACATAGAGACCGAGTACCAGTGCCACTTTTGGCGGTTCCGAACAATCCGGATTATTCGACTGCATTCTGCTAAACATCATTTTCGTTTTCTGCAACTGTAGTCGTTTAAAGAGTAATTTTGAAGCCATTTTTAACGGTTTTAAGTGCATTTTTTTGGAATTTAGTTTATTAAAAATGGCATGGATTTTGAATTTTGTGTTTGTGTGGTGTTGATGGTGATTTTGTTATGTTTTCATGGCCCACCGGGTTAGAGGGTGGTTTATTTCATTTTCGATGATTTTGTTTTGATAAATTGACACATCGTTCAAGGCGAACGGGATACGATAACTTAAATGTCACTTAAAAACTAATATAAATAAATATATTATATATATATATATATATATATATATATAATGATAAATGAAACGTTGAGAAAACATAAAATTAGCGAATCGGATTTTTTGATGAAAACGAACTTCTCCTTCGGGAAGTTATAAAATGTATATATATGTAATACATATATAACAAATATGTTATATTTGTTCAACTTTGAATTTGATGTTGGTATAATATATATTAGTATATAAAGATCTGGCGTTACACCATTAAAAAATATTTAAAATACTTTTTATTGAAATAACGGTCGATCTTTAGTTTTAACTATATATAGAATAGTAATAATGCATTGGATCTGTCTCAAAATAACATGCGCATATAATTAGATTTATTTATAAGAGAGTATGATTATTCATAAATTCTAGAAATACTCTAGATTTGCAACTAAAATAAGCAGGAAATTTACAGCAATCTGCTGGTTTAGCCTTCATTTTATCTTCAGTATTTAAATGAAATAAATCAATAATAAAAAACACCAATATAATCAATAAACATTTACTCTTAATTTAATATAAAATCACTTAAAAAACGATCATCGAAAATTACATGAAAAATATATAAAAAAATCACGATGGATAAGAAAAAAAACGATATAAACCAAAAATCAAAAGGGACTAAGGGCAACTCATCAAAACATAAGACAAAATTTAAGGGCACGGCCCTTCACAACCACGACAGACTAATTGAGCCAAAAACTCGACAATCGTTCGAACCGGTCGCCCAGACATGCCTTTTCTTAAATAAGAATAATCGTTTCCATTAGAGAGCATTGTAGCGTAAGTGTCCATGTGAATCCATTCGCCGCAGGGTACGAATTCCCATAAGAAAGCTGCGGCCTTACAGGGCAAGCCGCCGCGTCCTTGTCCCGTGTTTTGAACCTCGACGTTCCTCTGCGACGTCATCTGTTTGTTGTAATACCTCCAGAGTGGGAACCTCCAGACTCTATCCCCCGTATGTACGGCCGCCGACCTCATCTGTTGCCACAGCTCCTCGCTGTTGGAGAAAACTAAAGACGCACAAGCGCCCAAGCCTTCCTTCATTTCGGCCGTCAACGATCCGACGTCGAGTATGAACCGCGGCCAGAAGTTCTGTGCATATAAGAGTGCGTCCGCAAGGATCAACCTTCCTTCTTTATCCGTGTCCTGAATTTCGATAGCCTTGCCATTCATGGCGGTGACGATGTCTCCAGGTTTCATTGCGTTGCAACCGGGCATATGTTCGCACAATGGAATGAGTCCGCGAATGTTTATGGGAAGATTCAAGGACGAAATCGCCCTGCAGGCTGCGACAACCGTAGCGGCTCCGGTCATATCGCCTCGCATGCTTCGCATATCACCTTCTTTCTTCAGGCAAGTGCCGCCGCTGTCGAAAGTCACGCCTTTTCCGATCAACACCACCGGCCTAGCCGTCCTGCCAGCACCATAGTAACTTAGTTCCAGGAATATCGGATTCTCACACGATCCCTTGGCGACTGCGAGAAACGCATTCATCTTTTGGCTTTCGGCCCAGGCCCGCACCTTAACTTCGACGTTAACGCTGGATTTACATAAAACCTCGACGGCGGTTTGTGCAAATATTGTGGGCGTCATGAAATTAGCAGGAGTTTCCATTAGTTGTCTGGCCAGATTTTGTGCCGCCGCTTTTTGTAAACCGATCTGCCAGCCTTCCCAATCGCAGTCGCCGTCGGCGTGCATTTCTATGGTAGGGATTAAGACACGATTTTTTCTCTTTTTGAGCTCTTGGTATACCCACACAGCCAACGCGGCTCCCTCGGCCGCTGCTTCGGCGTTTCCTAGAGTCTCTATATAGATTTTGTTAGGTTTCAGCTGCATAAGCTCTTTACAGCCGAGTCCGGCTCCGGATCTGATGGCCTCTTTGCCTTCATCAATTTCTTCAGCAGAATTGTAGCCTAAACATTCCTTGCCCAAGCCCACGACAGCAATGGCCATAAAATCGGGCTCCAAATCATAAATGATACGATATTCCCCACGCTTTGGTAAGCAGGTGCATCGCACAATCTGCAGAAGACGACCGCAGACTTTCTTATTATATCTGTTAAAGAGTAACAGTATAAGTATATAATACTTTTTAATTAAATTAATTATTAATTTGTCATGACTGACCTTTCCGCAGTAGCTGTCAGAATGCCATTATCCATGGGATTAGTTTCGTCCACATAAATTCCCAGCACCAGAGCTTTCCTGGTCGGTTCGTGACACTTGGGATCGTCATAAATTACTTCCCGTTGCAAGCCCCTCTTGAATATATTTTGCGCGATATTTGGCAAATGCTTCCGATATAAATTGATTGCCATCATGATAGTCAACGAATACTTTAATAATTTTGAAAGTTAATTTAGAAAACCCTTTATCACAATTTATTTACATTAATTTTTTTGGTTGAAATTTTGTGTCGTAATAAAAGGCCATTTATACCGAATGTTTAAACTGATTCTAATTTGTTTATAATGTGCGAACGGACTACTTGGATTTTGAGAAACCAGCTTTGGTAATGTGATTGGGAAAAATGCAATATTTGTTTCACGGAGAATTTGACAACTATTTAGTGACGGATTTGTGTAAAATAATATCCTTTTTAATTAACATAAAAAGTAATATTTATTATATATCTGCGCTAATTGCGATCGCTAATTTATATAAAAATTATGTATTGTTCTTAAAGCATTCATATCATTACATATTTAACCCTTCATTTAAAATAATTTAGAAATTTTGCATATTTTCTTATTTTTATTAATTTTTTTTAATATAATAATAATAATATAATTTAATAAAAAATCTAGCATATTGAAAGACAAGATCATTCTTTTAAAAATAATATCAAAATTTATTATATAAAATTACAAATTCGAGTAAATTATTTTACATTAACTAAATTTTTGAACAGAATTATAAAAAATATGTTTGATCTATTTATATACATTTAAATATATTTCTTTGCGAGTATTGCAGCTTTGTTTAATATGACTTGAATATCAATTGGAGGAAAATTCTGTAACAGTTTTACATTTGATGCAAAATCTGAACATATTATTTGATCGCGCAATGTGCTGAAAATTCAAACAAGTTAATATTATAATAGTCTATTATAGTAATAAAGATCATATTCATGAGGATATTCACATGATCATAGCACAGCAAATGTGAACAAGAAAATCAAATCTTTTCTCATCTGCAAATAGAGTGTCCCAAATTCTGACAACATCAGGCAAAGGAAATTCTTGAGACAATAATAAAGTTATCCATCTGAATATAATAAATGAAAAAAATATTTTCTGGAATAAAAATAGAAGAAAATTTTGTAGTTTTGATACCTGAAGCTATAGTATTGAGGAAATAATTGTTGCGATTTCAACAGTTGCCATACATCAAAATCTTCAACTTTTAATTCCTCATTAACTTTTGACATCATTGCTTTAATGCCTCCAATAGTTTCATCCAATGTCTTAATAAAAAAATCACGAATTTCCGACATCAGATGAGTAAAACAGAAAAAAGTATCTGCTTCAGCAAACTCTGCATTTAAAAAATTAAATTCTACATGCGCCACATTTATTTAATTAATAGGTTCTATACCTCTATGAATAGGATCAGAAGCACTTGCCAAAACATGATAAATAGGTCCTATAATCTCATTCATGCCTTGTACGTATCCTTGCCCGGGATTGAGTTTCGCATATATAAACAAAATTCTCTGCACAACTTCCCAATGTGCTTCTTGGCCTTCAGCCATTGCTTGATAATCCTCTGTCGCTCTTTTAACGGTTAGAGTTATCTGAAATATTCAATCCATTAATGATAATAAAAACCGAAGTTGCATAAACTTTATAGTCATCTTACCAGCTATAAATCCAATAAGTAAGTTTTTGAATTAAAGAATACTTAATTACATAATCAATGACAGTTTACATTGGTATACTATTACTAATTTCAATTACCTTAGAAGCACCTAGTCCTTTCCTTTCGACATTTGCTGATTTCAATCCTTCTGGAGCAACACGGTTATGAAGTCTTCTTTCACCCCGACCATTTACAGCCAAACCACATGGATATTCAGTGGCCTGTAATATGAAAAATTAGAATCTGCATAATAAATGCTTAATATAGTATATTGTTTTTGCTCTAGCCTGTTGAAAGAAGGATATATCAGGACAAAGTCTTCGAACATCTTTATCAATTTGTAATAAAACTTCATTGTCTCTAAAATAAGCACCCCAAGCACTCTCTGGATTGGCATTTAGGGGATGGTCAGCTGATGGTAGCTGTCCTGGAGGAACAATCATTTCATCTAAACAAAAAAGCAAAAATAAATTAATAGAAATATTTGTTTATTTTGAAAGTGTGTAATAAACTGACCTATAAATTGTTGATAAAGTTCACGTTTTTTTCTTAAAATACTATCCCATTCCGACTTTTTTGGCACCAAAAGCCCCAATAACAATCTCCAACATATTGACCTGTAATTTCCTTCATCGGGAATGCCTAAAAAGTACAAAGTATAAAGAAGTATATTACAGATGCAAATAATTATTACTATATCTACGCCCCTTTTATAATGATAATTACCATGAAAACATAAACTTCTAAGCGTTTTTAAGTCTATCTCTTCACACTGAAGCACTTCATCAAACTCTTTAAGCCTTTTGGAAACCAAGCATGATTTGATGAATTTAATGATTTTATATATGTATTAAATTAATAAATACCTTATTTTAATTCTATTTGATGTCATGATTCATTCAGAAATAATAAAATACACATGTCAGCTGATAACAATTATTGTTGTAGCGAACAAACCATATGTCAAAATGTTTGGTAATAGGAGCGACACCTAACGCTATAGGAAATAAAATGTATAACTATTTGAATTTATAAAAATTTATCGTTGCTTGCTCAAATAAAACTCATAAAACTAACTGATGAAACCAGAATCTTGATAAATGCAACCACTTATCTTTAGTCTACATCGATACATATTGTTTACTAACTTTAATCAGTAAAATAGCTCCCAGAAGCAAAGCAGCCTTTTAGAATAGTATTATATACGCTTTTTTCTGTATACAAAATATTGGCATTATAGAAAAATATTTATTTTGCAGAAATCAGAATATCTAGTGAGCAAATAATGTGTTATTATAACCATAATGAATAAATCAATCCTAGTATTTTTTTATTGATACCAATAAATTTTGACAATCGACAATATTTTACTTAATTGCATGCAATTACTAAAACAACAATACATAAACATAAGAACAATACTTTGTCCATTATCTTCCTGTATTCGCTTATTTTCCGAATGGTTCAGAAATAGAATCGGCAGTTGCACATTTCAATTGGCTTGCTCTTATATTTAGCCTCGCGTCCAGACCGCCGAAAAATCAGTCCGTCGGCCTGGCCGCCTTCCCAGTTTCGCAAAATCCGTCCATTTTAACGTTCTCTCAAAACCGGACATGAATTTCCATCTGTAATTGATAATTGTATTTATTACTATTTAGCAATCGATTCGATACACTTGAAATAAATTTTGTGAGTGGGCTATAAATGTGCTATAGTGAAATGCTATTAGTTTATGTTGGTTTGTAAAACTATGTTTACATTTTGTAACGAATAGTGTACGCGAAAAGGAATAATGGAGAATGGACAAGAAGAATTTGATGACGGTTAGTAGAAATGGTGCCAACGTACAAATATATATACTCATCGTATAACTTTTGTCTCCCTTCTAAATACATTTTATCAGTATTTTATTTTGGAGTCTTTTATGTCTCACTATGTGACCTCTTAGAGCACTTTATTTTTCCATCATAGGGCCCGTTCCAGTTTCCTTCAGACAGTAAAATCCTTTCGCTACATTTTATCCTCTCCAACACCACACTCGAAACTTGAAAAAAAAGTTTGTGTTGGGATATATATATATATATATATATATATATATATATATATATATATAGGGCCGGTCCTACTTTGCATGCGATGCTTGCTAAAAATTGCGGGTGCACGTCTTAGGGGGCGCCAATACTAGATTCGGAAATGAAAATTACAGTATAGTATTTATTAATACTTAATAAATTGTAAAAAAACAACAAACAGATGTTTTGCATCTGATGAACTTAGAATGTTGAAAATATGCCCCATACATAAGTATATATATATATAATATATATAACCGTATGTGTGTGCGTATGTATATATGGATGCATACGTAAATTTTATGTAAAATTAGACACTTGAACTAAATTTTATGTTGACTCATTTTCATAGACTGCTAGGTAAGTGATCTATAGATTATAATGGACAGAATTAGAAATTAATAGAATAATTTACATAAATATATACATTTATGTGTAAAGTGGGTGATAAAGCATTAAGAATAATTCTAAATAAATTTATAAACCTAATGATATTAATGAGTAAAAACAATATATATTATAAATAAACATATATGCATTCATTAATAATGAACTTTTCGATGAATAAATAACTTTAATATAAAATGTCGACATTCATTAATAGCAAAGACCCTTGCTATTCAATGTTTATCATATATTTTTATAAATGATAATCAGAAAAATTTAACTAAATTATATTTCATAAACTTTCAATTGCATTTGTATTTCATTTACTTTAATTATAAAAATTGTATTTAATTATTTTTTCACCTCCACCTTAATCCAAATGATATTATAATTTTTTGTCTTTGCAAAAATGTCTATTTATAAAATTATACTATTTGTTATGAAATATTCATTAAGAATATTATCAGATAGATGTGTTTTTTCGGTTCAACGCTTAGGAGTATAAATAAACGCAAGGCCACATGTGGGTAATATAAACCGTTGATTAAAATTATTAAACATATGTATATATACAGTAATATATACATATATATATATATATATATATATATGTGTGCGTGTGTGTGTGTGTGCGTATTATGTTCAAATATACCTGTACTACTTACCTGCAAAATGTTTAAATTTCATAATCATTGCCAGGGCCGGATTTAGAAATTTGGCGCCCCGGGGCACTGACAAAAATGCCGCCCCATCCCTGAAATTTTACGAACTTTCGAACTTTTTCTTAAAGCAATCGCGCTGCTTCAGCTGCGTAGGGACAAAATATAGGAGCGCGTAAGCGCCGCGTCGCAGTCTAACGGATAAACAATGTTACAGAATGCATATAAATGTAAACAAAATTTATACTTATTAAAATATTTTTAAAATATCTGATAATTTGATGTGCATATGTCTTATGATCACTTTTGTCCACCAAATGTTTCTTTTTCAATTTTTTTTATTGGATTATCGAAACCGCTAAACCTGTCTCCCACAAATTTAAGCGGTTATTTATTCTGTAATTTTTTTAAATGATATTGGACGCTTCTTTTCTCAAAAACTGTATTATCATTTTTGGCATTTTGGCCCGTATCTTCAAAACAGTTGGACCTGCCTTGACCAATAACTAATCAGCACGTCTCCTTATCAATAGGAATTGAATCATTTAAATCGGTTGATCCGTGTTCCCTAAATCGACTTAAATAATTAAAAAATATTAGATTTGTATTGATAGGGAAACATGCTGATTATTTTTCGTATATCTGTACAGGCAATTACGAAAAATGGTAATTGAGTTTCGATATTTCTTCTCTGAAACAGCTACGCAGCGCGATTGCTTTGCAAAAAGTTCATAATTTTTCTTAAACTTTCAGCTTGTTTACGGATATTTATATTATCCAAATTGCCAAATTTAATAACTTATTGACCAATTTGATAATTTACGTTCGGAGGGAAATTTTGTTAAAAAAAGTTGATTTTATTGTATAGAATTTTTTTCTCACTATCCAAATTTTGCCCCCCCCAAAAATTTGCCGCCCTGGGCAGTAGCCCCGATTGCCCCTACTGTAAATCCAGCACTGATCATTGCAATAATCTATCGTTGGAAAAATTATGCAAGTAATGTTAACTCCATGCATAAAGTTAACACAAACAATAGTTATAATTATTTAAAACAAAATCTTTTGAGTATCTATGTGTAAAATACTCTATAAAAAACTTTATTACGTTGAATTGTAGTATACAACCATTTAGCTTTAATTGATTCATCTTTTTCTGAATAATAATCTTGAGACACAATATTTTACATTTTTAATTTACACAATCAGACTTTTATTGCATTTTGTGGAATTAAAATCAAAATAACTGTCAAAATTATTTCAACATACAAAATGTCGTCGGCACGCAACGGTGAAGGATGTGAAATGAATACCAACATGACAAGTTGAAATAGAAATGAAAATAGAATGTGCGTGCAAATTAAAATTCAAATATAATTTCTGAAAAAAAGAAAATAAATCGAAAATAAGATATATTAATTTACAAAGCTAAAATTATTAGTAATTACATACTCATAACTTCAACACTATCCTTCATTTTCGTTTCGTTTCAATCTTGCACTTTTAATAACCTGAAGTTGAAGATTTATATATCCTCCTGTCAAATCTTTTTCGCGCAGAAATACTTAAGTATTATTACTTAACTACTTCTGACTTAAGTGTTAAGTAAAACGTTGTTTTGTATTAATTAACAAATTAGTTATGATAATTTAATTTAATTTATTAACGATATTTATTATCACGACGCTGTATTTTGATATTCTCGCGTGCAAAGAAGAGTCACCCAAATCAGTCTGCCGTTGTCTTTCAATCGGTGCTCACGTAGAAATGTATTTATTTACAAAAAGTATTTAGAAATGACTAATTGACAAATAGTTAATTGTAATTTGTAATTTCAGGATCTATAAACCCTCAAATTCTTAAGTAAAACTGTAATAGTATTTTAACTTATAATTATTAGAGAATATTTTATATGAAAAAACATGGAATTTATTATGGCAATAAAGCGTGATGCAATAGTGAAAAAAACATCTAAGTGAAATCAGAAAACAACAACAGGAATAACATTTTGAATCAGTAAAAATAACGGATGACACTTCAAGGTAAATTATCATAAAAACAATATCTTTATAGAGTTGTTAACATTCAACAGTTAAGAGTAATAATACATAAACTTATGTGATACAAAAATATCACATTTTCAAAATTTCTTTTGACAAAGTAAACGACCATTTGTTACAGTTTCTACATTATAATATATAACTTTACAATTCAAATATATATTATACCATCTGGTAAATTCTTACCAGAGTTTCTAGAGTAAAAAAATATAAATTTTAATGAGTATACTCATATATTAACTATAATAGCCATACAATAACTATAATAAATACACTTAAAACTTGAGTATATGATAGCTTAAATAATATTTTAGATTATAAAGATTGTAAAATGCATAAATGTGCAAATATTTTTCACTATACAAACACCTAATCAAGTGCCCAGTAATTTCGGGCTTTTGCATTATAATCCTTTTGATAAGGAGTAATTGTTTAAAGCCTTATATTGAGAATTCACATCCTATAAATAAAATAATTTAAATTAATAAAATGCGCAATTTAAATCGAAATGTAAAATATATGATGTACAAAATTACTAGCATTGGCCTTAATACTTAAAATTTTGAAAATAATATTTGCCTGTAAAACCTTTGTTGTTGCCTAGAGATATTTCGCATTTACGCAGAAGATGAACTTTATATAATTAAATACAATTTCGATGAATAATTTATAATTATTTTTACAACATAAGCATTGTCATAATTTGCAACAAATGCTGATGCATTTAAAATTTTGCATTAGCCACCATTTAACAATTCTATTTGATTCAAGGGCAAGAACATCTGCATTAAGTGTTGAGAAAATGCAAATATTGTATTTTAGTACGATATTTATAATATATGCAAATTAATATATATAGGCATATATAAGCGTGTATGGATATGTTCATACACTGTTTTTATCAGTACAAAGTATATTGTTTACAAGTTTGTTACGCAATACTTATATATACTGTAATGTCACGATCATACTTATTAGTGATAAGCAAGGTTAATTATGTATATATATATATATATATATATATATATATATATAGTGTGTGTGTGTATATATATTAACTAATAAACAACTAAACTTAAAAATAAATCAATATGAGTCAATCATATACTTTTATTATCCATTACCTAATTTCTTATTTATATATTTTTCAACAATGCTCGATTGTTCCTCAAATTAGCATATTGACAAAAGTAAATATACTTTTTGTAAGTTCTGAGGCTTGGGGCTTACAATTGCTAAATAGTAAATTATCGCTCGAAAAAAATTTGGTACTGTGCAGAAAAACAGTTTCTTGAAACCTATACTTACAACAAATATAAAGACCCATTTGTACTTATAATGATATAATATAATTATCACAATAATTATATCCGTATCATCAATATAGTTCAATTTACCTGTGTTTATAATTTACTATTGTTTTTAGCATTCTTTTCCATTTAACAACAATCTTCTTTCCGCCCAATATATGAGTAATGTTCAAAATTGTAAATATCTGGTAAAATTCCATCGCTTTGTTGGAAATCCATTCAATTCAATTCGTATTTATACAAATCGATAAATAGTAGAGGAGAGGAGTTTTAAAAAACTATTCTTGGAGTTTATACTAAAATTTGGACATAAGTAGGATATAATATATACTTGTTTATATTAATTAATTAATACTATTAAATTAAATATAAATGAGGTTCTATATCTAATTAAACGGGACAATAATATCTGTTGCACTCAAATTGAACTTATAGTTCGACCCTGTTTATGCATGTAAATTATGCTTCCGACTTTTGGCCCATTCGACATTGACAATTGAAGATATATATATATATATATATATATATATATATATATATATATATAAGATATTTATTGTTTTAATCTATCGATTCTTTTGTGTTTATTGCATGTAAATTAAATATAGAATAATAAACAATGACTTTTTCAAGTAAAAAAAGATGTACAAGATAGAGGTTCAAAGTTATTACGTACCATAATACGTCCAACAAATATTGGATTAAATTAAATTAAAAAAAATATTCGTTCGAAACCAATTGATTATATTTTTGAAATACCTACCTTTTAATATATAAATCGCCTTTATAGATGATTCAATAAAAAAAATTTGAAAAACTTATATTGTGTACGTACGGGTACTATTGTAGACGATTGATTTTGAACACTTTTCGGACATTTTCAAGTTTCAAAAGAAATTGGCCTAAGAGAATAGACTAAATATGTAAAGTAAATGTATAAATTGAATTTACAATATACGCATCTTCTAAGATCTTTTATACATATCAATAATTTTGTATCAACATTTTGTATTTATGAAACCACAACGAAGTTAGTTGTTTGTATTGTGGTTTTTATACTGTGAAGTTAGATGTGGACGTTAGTTACATTTTAAAAAGCTAAACCAAATAAAACTATTAAAAACTCGCATTTTTAATAAATTTAGCATATATAAACAAATTCAATTACAAATAAAAATTACAAACAAATCCAAATGTTTTAAGATAAACAATGCTAATTTCAAAACAACAGATAAAAAACATTGAATTCCTTTCCGTTGAAGTACAATGAAGTTGATGACGATGACAACTTACCTGTAACGTTTTTAAATATATTTTTGAATTTGCATATTTTCAATTAATATATACATATTATATAATTTTGTTTGAAATATATAATAATGCAAGCCACCAATTTAAAATTTTACACGTGAACTAACAATAAGCGAATACCTTCTAGCCAAAGCAGGGGTATTTCTTTATTTATAATTTCTCTCTAATATATTGATTATTGATTAATATAATTTATAAATTAATGTAACATGCACAAGTTACAACTATGCTCAATAATATATAATTCAGAATGCATTATTACTACAAGTTGTACAAACTGTAATAATAATGTGTAGATGTAAATTTACATAATAAATGCTCTGAACTTCAAAACAATTTAGAAAAAATATATAACTTATAATAAATTGTAATAATATTCACCTAATAGGTGTAATAAATACATGCAAATATAATAATAGGATTATAACAGAAAAACCTACTAATAATGATATTAAACTGAAAAATTCATTTAAAATACATAAATTTGTTAAATGTGGCGCAAACTGCAAAGGATAAAAATAGAACTAGGTTTTGTTAATATTAAAATACATACAATAAAGCAATAAACATATAGAAAACAGTCTTGATTTAATTACTTTTGGGTACCATATGCGTTTTCGGTTAAACGATGATATTTTCGTAACAAAACCACGAAGGAAGACATTTATTTCGCAAGACTGGCCACGATTTTTGCTTCCAAACGAAACATTTCATTTCAGTTCAAATCGAAATGATGTTCTGACGAGTGGTCTGTGCCAAAAATGATGTGGAATAGCTAAAATAATATGAAATGAACTTGGAAAAGTGATACTTGTGCAAAAATTGATATATTCGTGGGTAATAGAGAGTTTTAGTTTAAATAAATGCACGTCATGTAAATAAAATATATAGAACTATGAATAGAATTTGAGTGTTATAGACTTATATGTAAAGTCCTGTTTTTAAGAATTCAAGTATATAAACTGTTTTTAAATGATAAAAAGCGCAAAAAAACAAATGTTATTAGATTGCATAAATATCCTCATAAATATCCTCAAACACAGTTTTTACTACTGTTTAGTTATTTAGTTTTTTTATACTGTGAAACTCATGTTTATATTATTTCTATTCTTTGTGAAAAAACTTGATACACTTGAACGTTGTACAAAACCATTTGTAAAATATAAACTCGCCTTTTAAATTTAAATCAAAGAAATGTTAAAAAGTGATAACTTTTAATCTATATATATATATATATATATATATATATATATATATAATTTTAGAACTCTCTGTTATATATGCTTTAGCTTTGGCAAATGTGGATTTATATTTATAGACTTTGAAATCCAAATCATGTCCTATATATAATATTAAGTTGAATAATTTACGTAAAGTGTTCCATCCATCACGCAACACATAAAAATAATATTTATTAATCATTTGTATAATTTTAACAATTTAAAAATAGAGTTTAAATATTACATTCCAAAATTACAGCATCGTACAGGCGGAGTTCTGGCAATAACTACCGAAGAAATTTTAACAGTCATGACAATTTTATTATTTATTATTATTATTATATATTATATATATATATATATATATATATATACATTTAATTCATAACTTCATGTTTTGTATAAAATATCACAAGTAATTTCATAAGTGAAATCTTTGTCCAAACATATTTCATAAACAAAGTCAACAAAGTTATTTCAAGAAATGTCGCATAATAATGTATTAACACTTTGAATTAGCGTGTAGACGACATGCAAACTTATTACACACACTTATATATATATATATATATATATATATATATATATATATATATATAAATTATTTCAATTTAATGCTTACCTATTTTCTTATTCAGGGTGCCCAGATGAAAGGGTGACAACCCCGTGTCCGCCGTCTCCGCCCCCGATTCCGCTGCAGACTTATCTTTGGGAGGACGTTAGAAGGGAACGAAAAAAAGGGGGCTACCCTTGGACGCACTTCGTTAAGAGGCCTTTCGATCCTGATGCTCCACAGGTAAAATATTAAAACATTTTTAAACAAAAATATGTTATATGACTTACACTCACTCGATGGGAAAATTCTGGTATTCTATGATATGATTATTCTTTTCCCAGGAAATTTTGGAGTACGACCGGTCCCCAGGCAGTAAACGTAAATACGGAAGCCTAGATGTTCAGGAACTAGAAGAGTCTCCGAGTGTCACTAGAAGAAGAAGAGCGGCATCCGCTGGAGAGTCTTTGGGAAACGAAACCAGACTTAACGGTGATACCAAACACAGGAGTAAATCAGTATCTATAGAAGAACAAATACCGAGTACCAGTAATGCATCGCCTAAAAGCATTTTAAAAAATCGCCCAAAAAAAATTGAACTACCTGCTGCATTGAAAAGGGGCGCTGATAGAGACTCGCCAAAGGATTCCGAATGTTGTCACCCGTTCGTGGATAAGTTAAAGACTATAGCGGACAAGAATATTTTGAAGTCTCCAAGAGCTATGAAAAAGTTATTGAGACCAAGTCCCAAAAACAGCAAGAAACATGCGGATCCCCTGCAGGAGATTGTCACTCTGGACGAATCGCCTTCTGCAGAAAGGAGAAAACGTGAGACGGAGAAAATATTTGAAAAGTGTTCGCCCAAAAGAAAGGATAGCAAAAAGTTCAAGGATCACATATACGAAAGTATAGAGGACTTACCAAATAAAAGTCTAACAGAATCAGTTTCTGAGAAAGAACTGAACGCCATCGCCAAATCTTTATCGGAAGCCGAAGACATCGGCAGAGTCACCGACGATCTCATAGCCCGTGACAGCTTGACTCGATCCTTAGATCAGTACCTCAAGGAAGAGCTTATGAGCGCCGAAGACCAGGCCATGATCGACTCCAAGAACGAAATCTTGCAAGACATCCTGAAAAGAATAGCTGATGAGAACCAAGCACAAGCACCTTTGTCCAAAATGGATTCCGAGGAGGAAGAAAAAGCCAAACTGGTCAAGCAAATGCCAATACCTGAAAAGGATGAGGAAATGGAAAATTTAGACGGCGATAAATGTCTAGTCATCGATATTACGGAAACTGTAGAAGAAGAAATTGTTGATTTTATTGTAATGCCAGATGAGGATCAGGACATTGTGAACTTTCAGAAAAAGGCGAGGTGTTCGATTCCGGTAAAGGTGAAGAAGAGAAGAAGAAAGTTTCTCAGGATAAAGAGTCGCTCTCGGATAGCGCGGAGAAAGATGAGCTGTTGGATGCCAAAAGCCGTAGATCAAAATTCAGGTCAGTAGAAAAAATATTCAAAAATACAACGAAAGTGTTTCATAAGTTCGTTTCATACTTGAATTTTATTATAATCTTATTAATAAAATAAAATAGATATAATAAATTTATCACATCTGAATTACGCGTCTGCAGTATAAACGATGCGCTTTGTAAAACGCATATGAACATTTCTGTGGATTTTTAAAAAATGCCAAATTTTTTATAAACTTATTGAGTTTAGTTTTAATATAGACATATTATGGAATAGCATATTTAAAGTGCAAGTATATATATATATATATATATATGTATATATGTTTAATTTGAGTTTAATATTCGGGCGTAACATCAATAAAAGTATTTTTTTGATGTTACCCCGAATATTAAACTCAAATTAAACATATTATCAACATCAAATTCAAGACTATTCAAATATATATATATATATATATATATATATATATATATAATCGAATATAAATTTTCATAATTTCGCTCAGAATATAAAAGAGTTTTGTGATATTTATTGATCGTAATATATACAAAGATATTGAGAAATGTAATATCAAATAACAAGATTCGTAGTACAAACGGTGCATATTGTGTAATTTTTAAAAATGTATATAACTATATTAATAATTACTATATAGCTAACAATTTCATTCTATATAAATAATCACCAATTTAATCAAAACGATGGCAACCGACATTTCTTTGTTTATTACGAAGAACTTGTCATACATTGAAACTATCAATTTTGTATATCCTTGGCATAAGTACCTGTAGTAATAATAGATTTCCAGTTAGTGCAAAATATGTTCCTGTGTGGATAAATACATAGGCATTAACGCATACATCTGAATAGTCTGAGGCTCCATCAAAACAAATATAAACCGTCTACATAATATTATTGGCATCGAAAGACTAGATATGTTATTTTGGTCGCAAGCCGGTCTGTCCTGCGCCTTTCGACAAATCTTTCGCAGTGCACGGCTGACGATCGTGTCACCTAGTAAATTAGTAATATTTTTAAGTTATTTTTGTTAATATCGAACGAAAAGGTTTCGAAAGACATACGATCGGTTTTTGTAAAATTATATATAAATTACAAGTTCTGGTGTCACTAGATACAAATTCAATATGTCCGCAAATCGTGCAAACGCGTCGCCCTTCGTCTTGTTTACATAATACATGTCCGACAAAATTATATTTTGTAAAATGTTTCAAACGTTCTCGTAATTGTGCAGATTTTATTTTTAAATATAACGCTCCACCAATATTTGAAGTGAAAAAGAAATTTTGTTCACCAGCGTATTTTTTTGTTATGTTGGTGCGTGATTGTGCGTGATTGTGAGTGCGTGAAAATTTTTGCTGTGTGTCCTATATAGAAAAAATAACTATGCTCAAATGTATTATATAATACAAGGTTAAGTGAAATTGAATCCAAAATGTATAAATTAATTACAAAAGTGTAGTTCTACAAAATGAGTGCACGTTGGAGATCAGCCTCTCTCGGTTCCCAACCGATTCAAAGACCAAAAGAGAGATCCCGGGCAGGAAGTGCAGCTCCAGTAACACCAGAAGTAAGATGTGCCTGCCAATTTTTTCAAAGTGATTCTTTACTTCCCGATAGAATTAATCCCGTAGGCTCCAGATCATCTTCTAGAGCTGACAAATCCGTAGAATATTACAAATCAGATTACAATCAAGATGTATCAATGGACATGGATGTTGACACGATGGGAACTCCTCTACAAAAACAAGTACTGTCGACAGAGTCATCTTTGCGTGATTTTATTAAAAAATTAGAAGAAAAATCTGGTGATGTAACTGATGATAAACTGTATGACTTGGATCAAGAATTGTCTGTGCCGGAGATACAAATAGAATTCGATAACAGATCAGAGTCCAAACTACGTTTTGATGAATTTATTCAGCAAAAATTAAAACAAGAAGAAGAAGCTAAAAAATCGTCTGAAAAACCACCACAACTCTTCGTATCACGTCTAAGAGATCGCTCCAAAGACGTTTACATCCCTCCACAAAGATCGAGCACCGAAGAGAGTTTCATCGATGACTTAGACTATTTGGATGAGCCAAAACTGAAACGAAAAACACAATCCTTCAGAACTTTTTTCCAAAAATCACCCAAAGATAGACCAACATCGAAATCACTAAAACATCGTCCCAGGTCTCGAAACAGACGACAGAGAAAACAGTCATTTAAATCTTGGCTTCAAAAATCGGCAGACCATGAGGAAGGTCCCAAAGAACAAAATATTAAAGAAAAAGAAACGGTCCTCTTCAATCACAAAATGGTTTGCAAAACTGAAAGAAGGCATACGATTTAGATAA